ANNNTNNNTGANNNTTTNNGGGTACGGAGNCNATCGGATGAGAAAGAGAAGCTTGGGTCGCTTCTCGATGGCCCGTACGACGCGTTTGATGGATGTGCATGAGGCTAGCCAGTGGGAGATAGATTCGCGGAAGAGGGAGCGTGAAACAATAAATACAGTGAGCGCGCCCGAAAGAGCGGCGAAATAAGAGATGATAGCACCGGTCCATGGGCCGAAAGTATAACCTGATAAGATAATGAGCGTAGAATACAGTGGGATTGGAGCTAATGAAACGTGATTTAGCTGCGGTATGATGATGTGAAGGGTAACTTACGAATGGTAGTAATGAAAATGAGACAGAAAAGGATGGCATGACCAGATTGCCCGTCAACGCGCAGCCAGAGGGATAGCTCGTCGAGACCTAAACGGGTGTGACCATAGATAATACAATGTTACGAGGGAAAACTCACGTGCAAAAACGTCGGTTCTGTAAAGGGCGATGGCAACGACGAATGCCAGACTGGTGAGTGCATACAAGAGAAGGGGTACCCAAGGCCTGAGAAGCCTAGCTATACGCAGAGCCTTTGATGGACGAGGGTAGGGCGAGGCGCTGGAAAAGGATCGATTGTGTACTTGGAGATTCAATGGCGGTGGCGGGTGCCGTAGAAACTGTGAAGGGGGATGTAATGATCGATGTGGACGAGAAGATGCTGGTGAGGAGTGCTCGCGAGGGAGATGCCTCCCTCGAGAAGACTGACGGGGAATGGGTGCTTTCTCGTCAAAGTCATCTGTTGGGCGGGCAGGAGTGGCGAGGGATATAAGGTCGAGAGAGGGCGAAGGTGGATTCTCCATGGATACCAGCCCAGGATTGGGGTGTCAGGAAGAGATTGAGAAGAGAGCTGGCTCTGAGAGAAAGGAGAGAGAGGGTCAGTGGCTATGCTCTCACGCTATAGTCCTCTCACAAATGCTACATCGGCCTCTTCGCCTGAATCGCACATATTCCACAAATGTCAACCACAAATCCTTATATTCCGATATCATTCCAGCAATGATTCCAATCGTTCTTTTGGGCTCGGCCGTCTATCTTGTTCGAATCTCCATCTCAGCCCTTCTTCTTCTGATACTTACGTTCTCGTAGGGCCTACAACTCACCCAGTCGAAACTGTCACATGAAAAGTATATGGAGGAGGCTTCCGCTCGCCTAAAACACTTGGAGGAGGATATTGCCACCCTTCAAGCAATTCGATCCACTCCCTCTCTCCAAGAAAAACCGCCCCAGTCACGATGGTGGTGGTGATCCAAGCAGTTTCATACATTCCCGTTAATTATACGCAACATAAATGATATAGATTCTAGCAGGTATAGTGGAAAGCGTGCAGGCCTATTACGATGTCATGATAGCCTTGAGAAGCGTAGTCTTGTGTCGCTCATACAGCTTGGCAGAGCTGACAGACAGGCGCAATCATGTCAGAGGCACAACTTTACAACAGAAACAGTGTGGCGCACCTCAACATCGCCGCCGTGAGACCTGTAAACGCCTTCATGGCGTCTTTTCCGCGCCGAATGTTGAACACCTCATACGCTGCGATCAACCGAGTCGGATACGCACACACATGATGATCAAGTCAACGAACTCACAGACAAAAATTAAATCCATTACGAGTTTGGCGCGTGAAACCTGTAACCAATAATCTTGCTTTTGCAGCCTCGCCAATTCCTTCTCGTCGTATACCGATGCCTTGGGTTTTGATGTGGCTGAGACGGGACCTGCCATTGATTCCGTGTACATTCGACCCTCCACTGTTATATAGCGGTTGATAAGGAACATTTATAAACAAGGATGAAACGTGCCTTCAGCTGTACGACTAGTGATCAGCTGCCGTTCAAATCCATTCTCCACGAGACCAGCCAATGTCGAGAAGAGCCAACACCAATCCGAAAAGCGAGCCGCGCGGTCCCCGAGCTTCTTTCCCAAAAGCCCTAATAATGAAAACGTTGCCACATCGTCTGCGACCGCATTGACCAACTCCAATAAAATGGGGGGAGGAGCATAGAGGACGGTGTGAAGAAATGGTTTCTGTGTCTTTCTGGCTACCTCTGCAGATTGTTCAGAGGAAAATGGAACAGTTTGTTGTGCCCGAATCTCGGTCAACGGTCGCAACCAGTTGAAGAGCAACAGCAACTTCCTACGTCGGACGTCAGGACGAAAGGTATGCTGATATTTGAACCAACCTTGTAAAAGATAGTCCAGAAGCAGCCGATTGTAGCCGTTGGACGATATTCAACTCCCATGGCGGACGCGTTGGTCGGCGCAAAAGTCGACTGCTTGTGAAAGAGCTGTGAAACAGGAGGAACACGCGGATCGAATATTGTATCAGTTTCTAAGTGAAATAATAAGCATAGCGGACGACGCAAGATGGCAAAACTACTTGCGAATGCCTTGTCTCGTCCGTCGCTGGTCAAGAACATCTCCCGCCAGACCTCCTCCTTCAGGATTCTCTTCTCCGCAGCCTGGACTTTATCCCCTTCCTCGTCTAGTTCTACACTTTCGGCGTCAGCCTTCTCCACTGTTTCCTCATTAGATTCGTAGCCAGTTGGGTTGTAGGAGTGTGGTGAATTGGATATGATGGACGTTCTCGGTGTTCGTGGCGGATGGGAAGACAGCGGATTCATTTGAAACGAAGAACTGGGGTCAAAGGGAGATGAGTAGAACTGGTCTTCGGATGGCCTAGACGAAGACTCTGGAAAGGATATGGACGACATGGCGAGCAACGAGCGTTGAGCTTGAGAGTGAATGAGCCTGAAATCTATAACACGTGGAGGAACAAATAACTGGACAAATAAAGCAAACGCGAACTTTAGGGATTTGCAAATTGCCATTCCGTCCCTTCTTCATGGCAAATGCGTCCGGTTTACGTTCACCAACTCCTTCCCGGTCTTCAGCACCATCTCCGCGTCAAAAATTTGACACAGATCTTCTCAAGGCTTACATTAAGAAGCTCCTTTCATCTACTCTCCAGAACAACGTCTGGCCAGAAGCAAGGGAAAAGGATCGCGTGAAAGGGTGGATGAAGGAGATCGGAGAGAGAGTTAAAGAGAGGATGCTTGAAATTCAGCCGAAAGGATTGTGAGTAGCCCGATCCGGCTCTGCTATAATCCCTGGTGATCATCCTCCACAGCAAGTATATCGTATTAACACAAATAAATGAGAATTTGGGGCAGGGTGGCAGGTGTGTTCTTGCATAGTAGGCTACCCCGTTGCTCAATGTCTCCCAGAGCAGACATGGTGTGTCATTGGGAAGATTCTGATGTTGTTGCCCAAGAAATGTATTCTAATGTAAGCCAATGGTTATTACAGCTAGAAATACGTCTAATGACACTCTCTGTGATAAGGATTCTCTGATTTGTATTTGCATAGCATTTGCCCTTGTTGCTTGAACTAAACGACGCGTCGCTTCCCAAATATAGAGCTGTAATAAAGAATTGTAATTGATACATTTTATATTACTTTAGATTAGGGTTAGGGTTAGGAAGATCGAAAAAGCAAAAAGAAAGAGCCCACCCAGCCAGAGTGGCCGAAGTGGGACAGGAAAATATTGAGACGGTGCATGCACCGAAGCACATACAAGCCGCAGACACCCCCTGAGGACAAGGTCGCCGTGCTATGGAGGATCTCCACGGCCCATAAACCCAGGTAGTTGAAGGAGCTTATGCCATCAAGGTAAGTATGAGTTGTCTATGTGTTCATCCATCCCTTTTATACTTCTGTCACGCGCACGGACCATCTTGTATGTTTGCCCTACAAGAAAGTGACCAAATATCTTCGGACCGTGCTATTATTAGGACTATCCTCTCCATACCGCTCTGCTTATTTTTGGATGCGGGGCAATTGCACACTCCCTTGTAGGACCTTGTCGCCGCGACCATTCGCCACCTCAAGTATGCAGCTACGCTTACGATGGCCTAGCCCCGGATTTTACCGCGCACCGAGTCGCTGAATCTCTCCTCCTCTCAACACCCGCACTAGTATGTATCACCACAAGATCTCCATCCGTCCAAATTTTCGCTTCTCACATCCCTTTCTCGGAATTACGCAACAGTATTTTTGCGGTCCGCACAGTCCGACTCGCAGGCGAGCTTGGGATGAACAACAAGAACAGGTTATGAGATCGTAATGCTCACCATTGCAGTAACCTGATCCTGGACCTGTCCGTGTGCCATTCCGGAACTGTTAATTATCCCTGAAGGAGACTGGTTCGGGATCTCTTGTCTACCAGTTTCGACTCCATGTGTTTGCCCTCATGGCTCACAGACTCATCAAAGGAAAACCCTGTTTCACAGAAGTCACAGTAAGAAATGGGCAGTATTACATTACAAGACGACAGAATAGAGAGAGGGAACTGAAGGGCATGAAATTTACTACTACACATGATATTGGAGGCGTGCGTTGCAAGGTACGGTGTGGTATTTGTCCGCCGATAATGATAATGGAGAGAACGAAGAAAGGATATAAATACATAACACAGTACGAGGATCGCAGGCAAGGCAGCAGTGCATGGGAAGGAGTCGAACCAGCTGGGAGCCAATGAACGACTTAAGTTCGCCTGCCACAGCCCTATGAGACCTCAGAAAGCACATCTTGCTCCCCAACTCGTAAACCCTCCATCCTCAGAGGGCTTACAGTCGATGCACCTGCGAGTGGACTGCTCCCGATCACCCTCTTGTTTCTACGTCCTAGAAGCGTGGCAGCGTCCATGTCCAGCTCGAATCCTTTTGCGGCAGCACCTCGAGCACGTCTGCCTCGGCTTTGGGCGGCAGGATTCACCCCAGTACCTTGATCTCTCTGACCAGCGCGTCCATCCATGTCGTTCAGGTGTGCCCGCTGTTGACCTGCTCCCACCCCTGCCAGCCCCGCACTATCTATTTTTGACCGCTCGTCCTCGCTCGTATCATTGGTCTCCTCATTGGCTTCGTCCTCATCCTCATCATCCTCGTTTAAGCCTCCGAGGAAACCTCGCGCTCCAGCTCCACCGGGACCGTTATACTTGCGTCTTCGGGCACCCTCTTCCTCCATCCGATGGACAGCATATGTTATATCAAAAGCTTCCTTCAGCGTCGCGATGCCAGGACTGCGACCCTCGTGATTGCGGCCACCGCGTGCGGCTGACAACAAGGGGGAGTCCAGGGGTTTTCCTTTCAGGTCACCATAAGTGAAAGGAGTCGGAGGTGGGGGTGGAGCTGGAGCAGCGTTACACCATGGGTGGGCGAGGAACTCATCAATCGTGTACCGCTGCGCAGGGTCAACGCAAAGGAGGTGGGTGATCAAGTCCTTGGCTATGGAGGTATTGAGATTTAATTGTTGCTCTCATGGTGTTCAATACACGTACCGCTATGGCTGATGTCGTCCCACCAAGGACTCAGGAACGTGTAATAACCCCTTGCAACCTTTTCCGTAAGAACATTGATGCTTTCGTCGTAGAACGGCGGAAACCCGCACAACAGCGTGTAGAGGACGCATCCAAGAGCCCACATGTCCACGCTCTTGCTGTATCGCTCGTCTTTGACAATTTCTGGAGCCGTGTAACCAACTGTGCCGCATGGCGTCATCGTCTCTTCGTTCCAAACAACTTTGCTAAGACCAAAGTCGGCGATCTTGACACGTCCGATCCCTCCACCTCCAACTCCAGGTATGAACTCGCCTTCATCTTCCTTCTCCTCATCATACGGCCGATGAATAGGATCTTTTGAAGGAATGATTTCGATCCGCTCGAACAAGAGGTTTTCAGGCTTAATATCACGGTGTACAACACCACGTTCCTCATGAAGATATCTGATGCCCTGGGCCACTTGGAGGATAACGTGGCGGGCAAGGTTCTCGCTGAAGTAAGTGAGTTTGACAATCTGGTGGAAAAGCTCCCCGCCTTCCATGACTATCAAAAATGACAATTAAAATTCTGGAGGGTCAGATAGGTCACAATCTCTACCTTCGAGGACGAGAAAATAATGCTCCTGAGATTCCGAGAAAGAGTACAGCTTTATAATGGACGGATGGTTTGTGCCGCGCATTATTTGCACCTCTAATTTTCCGTTAGTGCGAATCGTACATGAAAATATGGGGAGGGCACTCGCCTTTGAGAATATTTGATCGCTAGAGGCAAGTATTAGAAATTGCTTTCCGGAAGCTGGCGAAAGACCGATAAAGGAAAACGGCACCTCTGTCACGCGCGGTTTCTTCTTGAATTGTGGGTTTAGGTGCTTGTCACCCGCCTAATTTCGAAGTATTAACAAAAGAGACCGCGCGCAAGAGAGTTGAAATTGATATTTTAAGAAGGTGGTCAATGGGACCAGGCGAGAGGAAAACGACGGCAGGGGGAAGACTAACCTGAGATGCATTGAGTTCATACTTCCGAACGACTTTTACTGTTACGATAGTTTCATTAACCTTTAATGGTGATCAAAGAGATGATGATGCCAATTACCAGCCACTTTCTTGCCCGTTGTAAGATCGAGCGCTTTGTAGACATTAGAGAAGGCACCGCTAATGAGATCGAAGGTCAGATGACGAGATTGAGTGAGAGATCTCATTGAGGGGCGCACTCTCCCATCTTCTCGATTAGCTTGAAATTCTCAAGTCCCCTGTAGTGGGGCATCTTGGTTTTGGCCTCGCGCTCCTCGTTGACGATAATTTCTGCGGCCTCCCGAGGGTGAGGGATTTCGTGCGGTGGATTGCTTTGTGCTTGTGGTTGTTGACGAACAACACGTGAGGCTGTCGGAGATGGAGGCTCTTCCTTTAATGCGTGGTGATTGTGGTGCTTTCCATGTCTAATGAGATCTGAGAAGAAAATGAGTAAACAAAGAGGGAGGAGAGAAGAGGAAATACTTTTGAAGGCGTCGACGACGCCGGTGCCAGGCATGGTTGTTGAAGCTGAAGGACGGAGTAAAGAAAAGTGACGAAGGTTAAAAGCAAAAGCTGCTGAAGGAGCATCCGTGTGATCGATGACGTAACCCTCCGTCATCCATCACATGACGCCACTAGTCACACAGTGACATTGAATTCACTCACAACCATGAGCGGCCTTGCAGACGAGCTCCTCGCAGACCTCGATGGTCTCTCCGACGCAGACGACGATGACATGCAGGTTCAACCCTCCTCTGGTTCCCCATCTCATAAGCGCAAAGCTCAGTCAGACGACGACATATCTGATCCAGAAGAGCAAGGACAAGAATCTCAAAGAGACGTGGGCTCCCTCGTTCTTGAGGGAGGCATTAAACCAGCAGATGAACTTGACGTGGAGGATGTACAGCAGATGGAACTAGGCAGCGTAGAAGACGTCACAAAAATCGCAAAGCTCTACGGTAGCAAGAGGATGAACGACATCCTGACTGTGCGCCCATCCCATTTCATGCCAATCCAGCCGTTTACTCTCACTCTAGGAAATAAATAAATACCAAGAAAATCCAAGCACGCCGGCAGCAATGGCTCTTCCTGCCCATATGAATCCCGAATATAATGTCATTGTGCAGGCTAACAATCTTTCAGTCGACGTCGACAATGAGATTTTGGTTGTGCACAAGGCGTGTAGACCTAGATCATTCACTTTATTTGCCTGTCTTAACGTCAACGCAGTTTATTCGTGACCATTATGCGCCAAAGTTTCCAGAGCTGGAGCAGCTTGTGACAGACCCAGCAATGTTCATTCGGTCTGTGCGAGTGCTAGGAAACAACGAGGTGAGTGACCGTGTGCGTTTTCCTTTCCTTTTACAAATTCGGGATACCTCTAGGATCTTACAAAAGTGGACCTTGCGGGAGTACTTCCACCAGCCATCATTATGAGTGTTGTTGTGACGGCGACAACGACGTCTGGTAAACAACTCTCCGATCCCGATTGGAGGTCAGTGCAGCGTGCTTGCGACCTTGCAGATCATCTGGAGGAGGCTCGAAAAAAGGTACATACATCACTTTTTTTCTCTTTTCATGTCCCACTCATTGAGAATCATTTTTGTTATATAGATATTCATGTACGTCAGCTCGAGAATGAATGTACTTGCACCCAATTTGTCAGCTATTGTCGGTACTACCACAGCTGCGAAACTTCTTGGTGTTGCTGGAGGCTTGAGTGGCCTTGCAAAAATGCCTTCTTGCAACGTTCATGTGTGTTGACTCTTACCTGGTGTCAATCTGCACTAACTCGATGCCCTAGCTACTTGGTGCACAAAAAAAGATCACTGCAGGGTTCTCAACGGCGACGCAGAAACGTCATACAGGTTTCATCTTTCAGTCCGAACTCGTCACTCAGACTCCTCCTGAGTATCAGTTGAAGGTTCAGCGAACTGTTGGTGCTAAATGCGTGCTAGCAGCCCGTATGGATCTTGAACGCCAAAGGAGAGATGGTTTGTTGCACTCGCTTCTTTTCCAGCGCTGGTTTTTTGTCTAATATGCTGGTTGAAGGAACATACGGAGAACTCTTGCGAGATAAAATCGAGAAACATATTGACCGCTTGGCTGCTCCTCCGCCCTCAAAGGTTATCAAAGCATTGCCTTTACCAAATGATGGCCCCAAAAAGCGCAGAGGCGGCAAGCGGTAGCGTCATCTCTGAGATCGCTGAAAACCTATTAATTTGTCTGTAGTGCGCGGAAGGCTAAAGAAGCATATGCTCAGACGGAACTACGCAAACTTCAGAACCGCATGGCGTTTGGTGAGGCGGAGGAGGAGGTCGGCGCATTTGATCAAACGAAGGGCATGGGTATGATTGGGGCGGGCACAGGGAAGGTCAGAGCCGGTCTGGGCGAGGCTAAGAGCCGCGGTTCGTTCTATCTCACTGAGCGACCAATCTATTATTCTGACCGTTTTTTCAGCCAAGCTATCGAAGGCGAATAAGCTGAGAACCGCAGCCATTACCCGATCAGCTCAGACGGCACAGTCGTCTGGGACAGCAACGTCATTGAGCGTCACGCCAGCACAAGGTGTGCCACGTTTTCTTTGTAACTACTTGACAACTGATGCCGGGCCAGGATTTGAGCTAACGAATCATGCCATAAGTGCACAAAGGGTTAAGGAGGCTAATGAGAGGTGGTTTGCTGCTGGAAATTTTTCTTTTGTCGGGAAGAAGGGGGAGTGATTACGTTGCCAATCATAAGAGGAGTCAGTTGGCAATTTTCACTTTTCAGGCTGTGTGAATGCAGTAACATATTGCCTGGTGAAGATTGTCTAGATATCAAAGACAGAAGCCATCAAGTATTTTACCCTGGAAGGTCGTTCATAGCACTATGCAGAAGAGAAATAATCATATGGTACAACTAAAGGATGCTAAAATTGGGTAATGGAAACGAGCGGTGATTTTTGATTGTTGTGAGAAAAGGCAAGAGCGATGAGGCCAAGACTTAGGCGTGTGCAGTCGTCCTTGAGAGCCACCACCTAATGAGCTCTGACAGAGGCACCTGGGCTTTCAGTGACGTCAATGAATCCGGACTGCTTGGGGTTCGCCAGATTCGAGCGCTTGGTCCGATAATCCCGAATGGCAGAGCGGATAGCATCTTCAGCCAACACTGAGGGGTGATATCAACAAGGAGAACAGAATCACACGACGGAATACTTACTGGAGCAGTGAAGCTTGACTGGGGGCAAGCAGAGCTCTTTTGCAATCTCTGTGTTTTTAATTTTGCCCGCCTCGTCCAGCGACAACCCTTTCACCCGTTCAGTCATATAAGAACTGGATGCTATGGCACTTCCGCATCCGAACGTCTTGAATTTAACATCAGAAATGATACCATTGTCGTCAACACGGATTTGTAACTTCATCACATCGCCGCAGCTGGTTGCAAGGGTAAAGTTAGCACCGAGAAAGAGCAACGAGTGGCCGAGGCCCAACGTCGACTAATGAACACATACGCAGGGGCACCGACGAGACCTGTTCCAACATCCAAGTCACCTTTGGGCAAAGAGCCAACCTGTGTTAAATGTTTATCAGATAAGGGGGTCCAGACTTGAGCCAGAAAGACCCATTTACATTTCTAGGCTTTTCGTAGTGTGAAATGACTTTTTCGTGATAGGCACGGGCAGCGAGGGGTCGCAGGGCAACTCTCGAAGCCGCGGAAGGAGACAGGAGAGATTTGGTGATGGCTGAGCGGAACATGTCGATGTTGGAGCAAAGGTTGACAGCGACGAGTAAGCACTGTCAGCACAAGGTTGCAAGACAACAACCGTCAACAATGCTGCTCCTCTTATGTCACGTCCAGTCGACAATCTTCCAAGCACCGCACGAGCCATCGCCCTCCTTCTTGCCTCGGCGCCGGCGGTGCAAGATGCGCAACCAGGAGTCCTCCACCAGCTGCTCGAGTTCTCCCATCGATATACAACGCAGGTCCTAGACGATGCACGCGTGTATGCAGAACATGCAGGCAGAACTGGAAAGATAGAAATGGACGACGTTGTTTTGGCTATACAAGCACGCGTTGGATGGGAATTTGGTGGTCGTGTTCCAAAAGAGGTTCGTTGTCGATCATGCTCTCTTTACATTTATCAACCTCCAGTTCGTGCTTGCAGTACATCTTGTCGCTAGCAACAGAAGTTAATGCAGAGCCCCTTCCTGCCGTTCCAGAAGTTTTTGGAGTTCGTCTTCCTCAAATATCCGAATGTTTGACCTCCGTCGACTTTGATCTGGTTCCGACGAAACCACCACCTGGCGTGAAACTCTACGAAGAAGAGATAAATGAAATCGAAGAATCCGAGTCGTCTGAAGAAGAAGTGGAAGAGGACGAGGATGCAGATATGGAAGTTGCGGCAATCGCAAAGGCTCATGGTGTGGGCACTCCATTGTCCAATTCGCAAGATCATATTATGAGGGAGGAAGCACCCTTTCCAATCAGTGCTATCGCCACACCTTCGGACATTGATATGCTTGGAACTCCAGCTGGTAACGGAGCAAGGCTCGAGACTGAAGAGGGTAGTGAAGCTGCAGAGGAAGAAGACGGGCTGTTTGCCGGAGGGGATGACGAAGAGGAAGAGAGCGACGGTATGGAAGAAGTCCGTACAACACTAGGCGAAACGAGCACAAACGGAATGAAACGAAAATTGGTAGAGGAAGATGATTATGATTAGAACGATAAGTTACATAGACATTTATACATTGATGTATAAGTACCCAAATTTACCAGGTAACGCCATTGTAATTGAGATACTCACGTATCGCTATAGCGAGAAGGATTACAAGAAGGGCAAGCACAACATAGAGGAAAGTCCAAGCTGTACATTTATGATCAGTCGTTGATGCAAGCTCATGCAACATAAGTCACTCACAGGAGCTGCCAGCTACATCTGGTACGGTGACGACCCGCATCGAATTATCAGCGCTGCCGGAAACCAGAAATGTCGCTGTGGAGTTGAATTTAATCGTCGTCGGTGGGAACTCGTGAGCTTTCAGGATCGTTGCTATTGGCTAGACGGCACATGAGGGAGGTATATGCCAGGGTAAAGAAAATCATACACTCAAGTTCTTTCCCTCCAACATACCAATGGTCAAATCCGACGAACCAAATGCTAAAAAGCGTCCGTCGCCACTACGGTAGATTTCAACAATGGCCAACAAATAATCGAGGATGTACGCACCTTATATCGATGCATGTCAAACCTCGATCACTAATCTTCCTCGTTTTATCAACTACCCAGCTCTCCGTATTCCATTTGCAGACATACGCTTGGCGCGTTGAGGACTTTATTTTACGAGAACGCGGTGAAGAGGCGTTGATTGCTGTATATAGCGTGGCAGGGTCTTGGGGATGATATCTACGATTCTGAGTTGATGGAAAGAAATTTACTGGACCAAACGTACCTTACTGCTCGGAACGAACTCCCCGCGCCTGTTGACGCGGGGAGTTCGATGGTATGCTGCAAAGTTAGAGCGACCGGCTTATTTTCACTGCCGTTGGATTTATTCTTCCCCCCTCCTTTCGAAGAAGGTTTGTTTGCGGAGAACTCTTCTGGTAGCTGATAAACAAAGAGATTGTGGGTTGTCGCAATCACTAGCTAAATTAAAGGACATTGGAAAAGTCAAACTTCTGAATTCACAAGAGTCCTCACTGTCTGACTGGAAAATGTTGCGTCGTAGATCTCCATCTCAGTATGGATAGGTTCCGCAGCCGGTATGAGAGAAGGATAATGAAGAAGCGAAAGCTATAACACATGATCAATACAGTAGGGGCACAGCGAAAAGGACATCCCTACATCATGAGCTCCAGCGACTGCAAGCAGCTTGCCATCTGAAGACAACACCGTGACTTTCTAGGTCGGGTTAGTTAGTAAAGACCTCAAAAACCAAGAAACACCGATGAACACCTGGTAATCTTCTGGATCCGCATTTGGAATGGTTTTTCGTGTACGGAGAAATTTGATTCTAAAAATGATAATCAGAGTTGGGGAGTTGAGGGTTGACGTGTCGTCGTACGTGTGGTCTTTAACGCCAAAGGCACGACAATTTTCGTTTTCGCCCTTTTCAAGTTTCTCAACCGTACTATTGACGCCACATACAAGAGTTTTAGTCTGAAAGGGTAGGGAAATTGATTGATTCTCGAAAGAAAAGAAAAAGGTAACCAGTACCAGAATGTCTGCCGCCATGCTCATAGGTGCATCTTCGCCTTTCTCTAGTTCGTATTCATCCTTGAGTTCCGCAGTCCTGTCTTCGTTGATGACGTAGAGTCTCTGGGTTTCCTACTCAGACAACGGAAAGTAGGAAGCATGTGAACCCACAAGTTTATTCTTTATACCAGTTCTCGAGGCGCCGCCTCCGCCACCAAGTACCAGCAAATCCTCGGACAAGAATACGGCGGAGTATATGGGAAAGGAAGGAAACGAATGTGAAGAATGATGGGGCCGCATGAGAGTGTTGATTTGCTGAGCGCTCAGTTAGCGCCGTTCACTTCAGAAGGGCCCGGCCGGCACGGTCCGTTTTGCCTCAGTTTGATTCCGAATCAACAGGCAGTTGGCCAGTCGCTTGGATGAGCCAACTCGCCGTGCTGGGTCACTGGCGCCTTCCTCAGGATATGGACGACCTACCCAAGTTGACCACCAGAACCTTCGTTGGCATTGTCGTCGCCATCTCAGGAAACGTTCTAATCTCGTTGGCTCTCAATCTCCAAAAGCTTGCCCATAAACGAGCCGAAACGAACAAACTATCAGCCCACAATAGACTAAACAACGGTCGCATCCACAGAATTTCAGAAGGGCCAAGTCTTGACGAGAACGATGAAGACAGAGAATATCATATAAGCGAAGATGTTTTTCTGGTTTCGGGTCCGCCTGCCAATTCTGAACTTCAACCTCTGTCCACCCCCCGAGCTGAACGTGGTTACGGTTCAGCATCTCCTAATCCTCACGAAACAAGGCGCCCACCGATATTCAGACTACCTTTTCGATCAAAGCAGTCAAGAAAAGCACCTTTGATACCCCCTGCGACGGGTGAGGCTGCCTCACCTCAGGAATTCGTGAAAGAGGAGCGGAATGAAGGCGAATACCTGAAATCCAAACTTTGGTACGAAATATATTGCTTATCGAATCCGCAACCTACTAACTACCAACTGCTTCAGGTGGTGCGGCTTTCTCTTGATGAACGTTGGCGAAACGGGCAATTTTATCTCATACGCATTCGCGCCTGCCTCCGTCGTAGCACCGTTAGGCACTGTGCGTTGAACAATATTCGAACCAGGTGGATATTTATTGACCCGTGATTTGTAGTTTGCTCTCATGGCCAACTGCTTTTTCGCTCCAATCATACAAGGGGAACGGTTTCGCATGGTGAGTTTGACGGTCTGTACTGTTTATTCAAGAATTGAGTAAATGGGGTTACAGCGCGATCTTCTGGGTGTCGCCATCGCCATCGTCGGTGCTGTGACCGTTGTTCTTGCTTCCAATGCATCGGACGCTCGACTAGACCCCGAAGCTCTCGTACATGCCCTTTCTCAAATCCCCTTTATTGTGTTTACCTCCGTTTATGTCGCAAGTGCGATCGTTTTAGCCACACTCTCCGAAGGAATAATTGGAAGAACATGGGTCGTCGTTGATATTGGGCTCTGCGCACTCTTTGGTGGTTTCACCGTATTATCCACAAAAGCATTGTCAACCTTGTTAACGTTGGAGTGGCTGGAGGTGTTTGCGCAGTGGATTACATATCCACTCTTCGCGGTACGTCATTCACACAGCACACCCACTTGAAATTCACCTGTGATCCACAAGGTACTTTTGTTGACTGGCGTCGGACAAATCAAGTATCTCAATCGAGCTCTGATGCGCTTTGACAGCAAGGTTCGTAGCCAACAAGCACCCATAAGTCCTAGCACTGATTGCCATGGAAGGTCGTCATTCCGATTCAATTTGTCCTGTTCACTCTTTCAGCAATTATTGGCTCCGCCATCCTGTACGGCGACTTTCAGAAAGCGACGTTTCACCAGCTTGTTACCTTTATATATGGATGCGCAGCCACTTTTTGTGGAGTTTTTGTAATCGCCTGGGCTCCCAACCCCACGACAAACCAAGAATTATCACAGGATGACAGGTCCGAAGGAGTTGTTCCAGATGTCGTCGTGTCTACGAGGCTTGAAGGCTCAAGATCAGCGATGGGGACTCTAGGAAGGAAGCCAATCCACGTCCTACCTAGTCGCCTCAATGACCTCAGAGATACCCCGACTCTGAGGCGCAAGCGTAGTTCCATAAGCCTGATGGGCATATCCCCCGCTCAAGTTCGTTTACTTTTTCAAAAACAGAACTCCCGACTCTAACTTATTCTTCCAGCATCTCTTGCTCGTTCACACTCCACCTAGAGACATTCCTGTCTCACATTTGGGAAGTGAAAATGGAGATCTAGAGTTTGGTATACAAACCCCAGATCCGTATGAACGGCAAAGGGCAATGACTTGGTACGAAAGTGAGAGGTCTGACGAGAGGAGCAGGAGCATGAGCAGAACGAGAGATGGAGGTTTTGCTGGGAAATTTATTGCAAGGGTGGGTAGTTTGGATGGACAAACTTCACATCGATAATAATGCAGGTATAATGATGACTGATAAATTATGGCTTGCATCTAGTTGACCTGTTATATTTAGGTTCTCTTTCTTGTTTCCTTCGTTGCATATAAGTCTAAAAAACAGCCCGGCTGACTTGCGAATTCGGTAAGCGATTCAGAAGAGTATGCGCACTCCCGACTCCTTGAGCCTGTGGGTGGTGCTTGAGGCACACCACATCGAAGTTGATATATGTGGGCGGGCGCATTGTGGCTTCTACGACGGAGACGATGGTGTGTGCTTGTCGTTTGTTCTTCTAGTGACGTTGACATTCAGAGTGAAAAGCAGTTCACTTTCACACCGAGCTTGTTCACTTTTTGGCTCTACCAACCTCCCTCCTCTTCGAGTTTCGACGTAAATGCTACCCACGCTTCATGACGGGATCACAAGACATGATTGTGCCGCATCCTTTTTCCCGCACTGTTCTGCCACCTTCAGACAATCATCATGCGTGTGTATTGTCAGAAATTTTGTAACTTGCAAGGAGAACTGTCTGGACCAGTCAGCCTTGAATTTCACGCGATATATACTCAGCCACCACGTCTCGCCAGAGCTGTGGACTTCTGAGGGAGGTGATAACTCAGAGGAGCCGATGGAAACCCATTGTGGCATTGTCGTAGCGCAGTATGAATCTATTGGAAAATTAAGTACAAATAAGTACATGATACCATTCCTCATTGAATCCGCCCCAAAGGCACGTCCACTTTCAGTGCAAGTCTGACAATATCTTGTTTCACAGACGACAATCTCGTCCGCCTAGTAGAGGACAAAGTCAGACTACGAAGAACAAAAGACACCCAAGTTGACTCACTCCAGATTTGAACGCTCCCCATACTCAAAGGCCTGTGAAAACCCAAGCTGTTGGTTATTTTCAACAACTTTATCCTTCCGTAGTTTCTCTTTCTCGAGTATGTTCTTTAAAGCAGGTGCTAAACGAGCATATTCTTGTTCAAGCTGTATCTCGGATGAGCGCCGAAAACTAACGTGTGGGGGAGGTAAATGGCGTACCAGCCTGGTCCTGGCAACGAGTGACCCTTCATCGTATCTTCCAGCTCCAATAATATCCTCCTTCATTCGCTTCAACTCTTCAAACCACTTTGTTTCATGTTCACTCAAGTCCGGCGATGCCTTCTCCATCAAGGATTGCAACATCCTGTCCAATCTCGCCAGTAGACTCTTTTGCTTGTCTTCGATCCTCTTGATTCGTGCCTCAGTTGTATCTTTGGTGACACCTTTGAGTTTCAGTATGGTTGTCTCCATTTCCTTGCACTTGTTCGACAAGCGAACCAATTCCTGTTTCTGCAAGGACGCACGAAGATCTGCGGCTCGATAAGCCAAATGAGTCTCGTGGATATGGCCGGTGATCTGGGCTACGGTGGTTGCAATATATCGTAATGTATCAGGAGTCAGAGTAAATCCCTTTGAATCTGATGAGCTGGGAGGCAAAGAGAGTTTCGGGATTGGGGAAAACCCCGAGGATGGAGCAAGAAAAGGGGGTGGTTTATAGGGTTCGCCACCTAGCAGAGATACATATGTTGACTGCCCCTCAACCGGGGTCAGCCATTGGCTTTTTCCAAGGGGAGGCGGAACATCAACACCATCCTCGAGTGCAACAGGCCTTGACCGCGGTGATTCAGACCGAAGATTCAACGGAAACACTGTAATGCGCATCACAGACGTCAATATAAATACACTGTACGTCAGATAGACGTCGTTGGGAATAGCGACGGCAACGACAGGATTTGAGCACCTAAAAGTGATCACTTTTAGCTTTCGGGCTAAGTATAGGATAAAAAATTAAAACCTTCTTTCGACGGAGAAGGTAGTTAATATGGGCTTGACAACGGTCCCCAAAGACCGTTGCAGCGCGGACGTTAATGACTTTTCAGACTCATCGTCCGCACGAAGGGCCGCGGATAGGCCCTGCAGAAGCGGTCCAATATCCAACGCATGAACTCCGAATGCATGGTAGACGTACACCACATCATCGTGGATTGGATCCGTTAAAAATGTTGGGTGGTTACCGGTCAACAGGTCAAGGGAAGGGGGTTGGTTCGGGGCGGGCGATATTGAATTTAATGTGGATACCAGCCCAAGATCAATTGTTTCGTAGACAGCGAGCATTGGGAGATCGCGACTCGAAGACTGGCAAAGAGTCAGATGGTTATTGAGCACATGACAAAATGCTGGACTGACTTGTTTGACATCCCACCGTGCTTCAACTTTCTCAACGTCAAGGAAAACATCAACCTTACCATCTTGATATGAAACCAACAAAACTCCCAAATGCTCTGTTTCTCCGCCATCTTCTTCTGGCTGCTCATCAGTTCCGAATGCGAGATACGAGATGTCGGTAGCGTCTCCTCCGTCGCTGCCTTCCAATGTCCTCGGAGAGGGTTGCAGAAGGAATGGGCCTTGTCTCGTGGGTGTAGATTTAATGGTTGTCGGAGGATGTACGAGAAATGTTCGTGACGCAGCTGGGAAAACGGTACCAGCAGGAAGTTGTCTTGTGAGAGCCGTAATGAATTTGCGTTGATAGTCATACAAGGTTGAGATATCCCGCCCTGTCGTCGAGGTTCCTTGCGCAAGGAACTCTTGTTTTGCCGCTATAAAACACTCAAGAGAATGGATATAAGATGATGGGATGGAGCTACAAGAGCGCATGTTTGAGCAAACTCTCCACATCGAAGACTCGATGCTTACGAATTTTTAGGCATATAAGGGCAGATAGCGTAGATATCGCCTGACTTCATGAGGGAATACATCGTGAGGGGGCCCCAATCAGCCCTTCCTTTCCCAAGAACGAATGACACCACTTCTCGTTCTGACCCGTCGTCAGCTACAAAAGATTTCGTCTTCTTCTCAGGAACGAACGACAAAACTTGTTGTGGCTCTTCAGTGTCCAAAGAGATATCATATTCTCTACACGTAAGGATCAGACGACGTTCATTGGGCATTAAGATTGGGAGTATACCTACCTTAACTTTCCATCACTGGTCATGACCAACAAAGTAGAACCAGCATCTCCCCATGGATGCCAGTCGATTTTCGCAACAGACGCAGGATTTTTGGACGCGTGATAGAACTGGCCAACTTGTACAGATCTGAGATTAATTCAAGTAAGAGTATGAACCTGTGGTTTGAAAAAACATCACATACTTGCAATCTACGACGTCTGGGACAAGTCGAATAAAGCCAGCACGAGGCAAGACGACGACAGCAACTTGAAAGGCACCTGCAACGGCCAGAAGTTTCCCGCTTGGGTTCAAGGAAATTTGGTGTATTTCGAATTGGATGTTAGGTGTATGTAGCGTCTGAAGTACTTCAGTAATGGGGCTCAGAGGGTGGGGCGGGATTCCTTATACCTTGTATGTATTTTTCGTGCGCTGACTTAGTTTGAGATCGCCAAGGGACGTCATCCTAATTTCTTTCCCAGCCGCCACGATAAGTTCAGCATCTTTGAGGACCATAACCTGCCGTCGTCCGGATGGTGTTGCGCCGTCATCTGTGAGATCGAGGTCGGTGAAATTGGGGAGGGTGGACGTAGAAAGTTCAAGCGATGATTGTGACCTTGCGACGGGTCCACTGAAGGCTGTTGGTAGAGTGAATATGGGATGATCCTGAAGGAGTTTGTTCCAGTCCTCGTCGCCGCTCATTGTGACGAGGGAAACCTAAGACGCGACTTGATGTTCACACGCTTGACTGACGCGTCTCCTTCAATTGATCAGTTGTAAACCTTTCACCTCCACAATGACTTCCATTGGCACTGGCTACGATCTTTCTGCGAGTACATATTCACCCGATGGACGCATATTCCAGGTCTTTCTTATCGCCAATCTCTGGCTAGCAACTCACCTTCTTCATTAGGTAGAATACGCTAATAAAGCCGTCGAGAATTCAGGGCATGTTTCGACAACCTGATCATAATCTTTCAACTGATTTTGAAACTACAAAAGGACAGCGATTGGTTTGAAAGTGAAAGATGGCATCGTACTCGCTGTGGAGAAGCTCGTGCACTCCAAACTTCTAGTTCCCGACGCGAACAGGCGAATCCAGACTATAGATCGACATATTGGCCTGGTCAGTCTCCGCAGTCTCAGGCCGTCGCTTTTATAACTAGTTTTATGTGTAGGCTACTGCTGGCCTTCTCGCAGATGGAAGACACTTGTCGAACAGAGCCCGTGACGAAGCCTCGAATTACCGTGACACGTACAACTCAGCCCCACCACTGAAAGTATGCCGTACTCGTTCTTCTCCCTTCAAATATCCCCTTAATTTTCCACTAGGCTGTTGCAGATCGTCTGGGTCTCTACGTGCAAGCATACACGCTCTATTCTTCCGTTCGTCCGTTTGGAATCAGCACTATCCTGGGTGCCGTAGACAAAGACGGCCCTTCACTCTTTGTCGTGGAACCCAGCGGTGTCTTTTTTGTAAGAATCTTTCTCTTTCTCTTTCAAACCCTTCTGACGCAGTATAGGGATACAACGGCGCTGCAGTTGGCAAAGGCCGCCAGTTGGCAAAGACAGAGCTTGAGAAGCTGAATCTTACAGAACTGTCGACGCGTGAAGCTGTCATGGAAGCTGCGCGAATGTACATTCATTGTTTCTCTATCCAATTTTTGAATACTGATCAAGTCGTAGAATTTATCTTGTGCATGAAGATGCGAAGGAGAAAGAGTTCGAACTTGAAATGTCATGGATTGGGTCTGAGAGCGGGGGAGTGCATGTGCATGTCCCAAAGGACTTGCTTCAAGAAGCGGAAGCCGCTGCGAAGGCTGCATTAGAGAATTTCGAGTGAATGTCTTAGTGATGCACGATATAATCTAACGATTTCTCGGATGAAATATGACTCGCGCGGTGTTGCAATACATTATGTCCTATACGATCTGTTCTAATTCCCTAGCATATGCAAGAGATGCAGCGATGAGTCTCTGCTTTGGTATCTCCATTTTTTCTTCCCCCTTCTTGGCAAACGTTATAGTTGAAGCTGTAAGGTTGACTTCCCATCCCCGCTATAACAAGCATTAGCAGGTGGAAGGGTAACGAGGTTGACTACGAACGTTTTGAGCATATTTCAACAGGTCAGACTGGTTGGTAAAGAATAGCAAAGTGGCCGCGTCTTTCAGAGGCAGACTTTCGTACGCTGCTTCTTCACAGCTGGCTATTTCGTTTCTGAAACCCGCGAGATGCGTCAGATTATAGTATCCGCCACAGAACTGGGTAAGCGTACCTGATAGTGCCCATCAAACTGTCCACAAAAAACTTGTATTCTTCTGCAGGTGCCTCCTCTCGTGCATTCCACACTTTACTATAGCTCCCCTCCATGAGCCACCTCTCCAGGTTAACAGGGTGTCGAATGAAAGGGTTTTCAGCGATGACGTCCGCGGGGAGATTCTCTAATGTCGTGTGGAAATCTGCTATCCGGTTCTGAGTGAGCAGGCGGACTAGGTTAAGGCCACGGATGGGATATTCTCGTTTTGAGGGTGGAAGAGAAGAGCTTGTCGCATTGGATCAATAAAGGAAGGACCAGAGAGCCAAGGCAAGTCTTACCTATAGTCAATGTAAAAGGTTTGGAGTTGGGAGAAATATCTGTCGAATGAAGGTACATCTTGTGACCTAATGCTGGAGAATGCACCAATTTCAAGAATATCCCCTGCGGTTCGGCTTAAAATAATGATAAACAGCAAGTTATAAGAGGACGCACGAGCAACGACTAGATCGCCAAGGTTTACATTCCCTTGCGGAAGTAAGAGACCTGCTTGTATCAAACCAATCTACGAAACATGAGGTAGAATACTTGGAGAACGGAGACTTTTTAACCTTGAGTTGAGTAAGGACAGCAGCACACTTCTTTAGATCTGACGATGGTTGTGCGTAAAATGCACGCTGAAGTTCTTCATACAGAGTCTTGAGCTGCGAGGCCATCGTTGTTGTGTGGTTGCAGTAAGTAACGCGTCTGATAAGAAGACGCGTCAGCTCGCATCAATTACTTGCACTTTCAATTTCTACCGTCATGGAACACATCGACATGGATCGCCTCAAAAGCGGAGAGGTCAACCTTGGGGTATGTCTTTCAACTCTTCAATCCTTCACTCACTCATTTCTCAAGTAGACCTCCATCATGGCCGTCCAGTTCGAGGGAGGCGTCGTCATCGGTGCAGACAGTCGTACGACGACAGGGAGCTATATTGTAACCGTTCTTCACAGCTCTTTCATCTGCGTACTTTGACGACAATCTTCCCTCAGGCCAATCGCGTCACCGATAAACTTACACATGTTCATGACCGCATCTATTGTTGTCGCTCAGGTTCAGCTGCAGATACCCAGGCTGTGGCAGACATCGTCCACTATTATCTCCAAATGTTTACGTCCGTCCCCATCTTTTCCTTCTGGTTTTCTGACTCTAATCGCGGCATATAGACAAACATCTGGTGCCCCACCTTCTGTGCATACGGCAGCTGCCCTTTTTCAAAAGCTGTGCTACGAAAACAAGGACGCTCTGAGCGCGGGTATCATTGTTGCAGGATGGGATAAGGACGCTGGTCCCAGTGTATACAATATTCCCGTGGGAGGTGGTATGTTCCGGCAGCCATGGGCTATTGGAGGTGTTTCTTGTCCATTGCGTGACAAACTATCTGTCACTTATAGTTTTAAAACCCACAGGCTCTGGATCGACATATGTATATGGCTATTGCGACGCGACCTACAAGGAGGGCTGGGGACGAGAAGAGACTGTTGAATTTGTCAGAAATAGTATGTCTTACCCTCCCTTCGCATCTTCTTACACACGGCTTACCCCACTCTCAAGCCCTGGCGTTAGCTATGTCCCGTGATGGATCTTCAGGAGGCGTCATCCGGATGTGTGTTATTACAGAAGACAAAGTTGAGAGGTTATTTGTTCCCGGGGATCAGCTACCAAAGTTCTGGGAGGGACGTGAAATTGTTGGTGGTGCTGTTAAGAAGCTTGATGTAGACCCCATCCCAATGGCAGTGGAAGTATGATGTGTAAAATATAATCTCCACTTCGTTGAATTTATAGTGCTACGATACATTGCAAGTTCCTTCAAACATGCGCAGTCGCCATAAGGCAATGGCAACAGCAGCGGCATCCCCTCTCTTACTGCTATCTGCGTTTGAGCGTAGCAAGAAGGCGTGGCTAGCTTTTGATTGTTCTCCAGCTGGACGAACGCCAGCGAGATAACGCATCTTTCTTTCATAACCCAATAGGCGAGTGAGTAGCGCGAAAAGTGCTGCACGCTGCGAACGGTTCGGGAACGCCGTCAATCCATTGTAAAGAGGTATACCTAGTTTGGGCAGTAAGTTCGGAAGCACACTTGCGGGAGGACTGAGGTCAAGGGGTGAGTACAGCATCTCCGACAAGGGTGGTAAGGGCTTGGAGAAGGACACATTTTCCTCCTCTGGAGGCATCGCAGACATAGAAGGTTCGGGACGTTCCTTCGTTACGCGATGCTTGTTCAGCGGAGGGACAACCAGAATAGCGAGCGCGTCATCGTAGGGTACACTACCACTTGATTTCAGGTCATTCCACTCCGAGCGTGTCAGCTTCCGGATTATCGTTTGAGATGTTCCAGCGTCAGAACGGCTTCCGGTTCCACAATGTAACCGATCTGCAAGTAATTCCAGCTCCTGCAGGACGCGTAGACGCAACAAATGAGCGATCTGATCTGCTAGACGTGGGTTCATGAAAATTTGGGCTCCCCGTAGAGCGCGTTTATAGCTGCCAGATTTGACCGTCTGAGAGATGGCTTCCCGGGAGCAAATAATGTAGCTTGCCCTGCCGGATCTGCGAGGAGCAAATTTGGGGTGGAGTACACCATCTGGAACGATGGTTATTCGTGTTTGCGACTTTGACATGCGAGTGGGCGGAAGTTGCACTAGCGCTAAACGTATCAGGGTATCTAGCTTCTATCAGTTTCCGGCTCTGGGAAGAAGATTGTCAAATACCTGCGGGGAAATGGTGGTCTGTATCAAAACAATATCGCATGGGCGAGGAGAGGATTCGGACTGCACCAAATCAGAGGAAATGGAGTAAGACGAGGAAGACACGTACGCACGATATGGATTCGCCCACCAACGACGTTCCTCCGCTGTCATGGTCCGTGGTGAATCTGTTTCTCCTTGTCTTGTGTTGGCATTCTGAGGAATAAAAACACGAGGAGGTAGAGTTTTATGGTAAAGATAGCTTTGAGAACTGGTGATTGGGTTGTCTGGACCCGTGTCTAAAAGAATAGACCGAGGGTGATGTGCAGGGTTGAAAGACGGGCGAGGAGGAAGGGGGCGGTGAAGTGACTTTGGGCGTCGTGGAGGCCCGTAAAACGGGAAATTCTTTTGGTGTTGAGCCTGCTGCGAGATTTTGTCAATAAGACGTGGAAGAATGCGAGGCATTGCAATTGCAAGTCACGGAGTTTGTAGTTTATCAACATCATGATGATTGAACATGTGTCTCCCGATGATGGCGCTTGCTACACCACTACACGCCACTACATCTACAGAAGCTCTGTTGTAAGTGTTGCTGCGGAACTATTACACCAGCGTCAGGGCCGCTATTACATCTATTTAACAGTGGGCGTTTCTCTACAACCAAAACTACCTCACGTTCATGTCCGCTCTGCTCAGTAACACAAAGAATCTATGGCGGAGATCCGTCAAGTTAAAGGAATCGCCCTTTGTCCAAGGGGTCGACTCAAGCGTTGAACTGCATCCTTCAAATACTGTCACCTTTGCTGTCATTGGATGTGGGCAGCGGGGAAAGGTAAAATTGGCCCTATCGTTCCAAACCCTGGATATCTAAATTTTATTCTAGGCGTACACTAAATATGCCTTGAGCTATCCCGAACGCTGCAAGGTCGTCGCCATCGCCGAACCACGTCCCCAAACGCAAAAACATTTTGCCAAACTGCACAAAGTGGATCAAACGCTTGTTTTCGATACATGGCAAGATCTCCACGCTGCTTCCGCAGAAACAATAAGCACCATTGGCAAGCGTCTGGCTGACGCCGTCCTCATCGCCGTGCAGGATAACCTCCATCTTGAGGTTGCCGTGGCGTTCGCACAGCAGGGCTATCATATTCTGTGCGAGAAACCGATGGCGACCAGCGTAGAAGATTGCATCAATATGGAGAACGCCATTAAGGAAGCAGGTACAATTTTTGGAATGGGACACGGTTCGTTTCATAGTGCTAATCATGCCAACCTCTCACACAAATGGTCCACAGTCATGAGATATTCGCCCTACAGCAAAGAAATAACGGAAATCGTTCGTTCCGGCGCCCTCGGCGAATTGATCAACGTTGTTCATGTTGAACCTATCGGATATTATCATTTTGCACATTCTTATGTGCGAGGAAACTGGAGTACCGAGAAAGAGTGCTCTTTCTCTCTCATGACAAAGAGTTGCCAGTATGTTCCCACTCCTTCCGCATGCACTGCGCGGCGAATAATAGCCTCTCAGTGATATCGATATGATCTGCCACTGGTTGTCTCCATCAACACCAGTCAAGGTCTCGTCTTTCGGTTCTCTTAAACACTTCAGAAATGCTTCAAAGCCGGCGGCGGCAGGCGCTTCAACGCGGTGCCTCGACTGTCCAATGGAGAAAGATTGCGAGTATAGTGCTAAAAAGAGTTGGTTGTCAGCCTACTCGTATAAACCGGACAATGCTGACCACTCTTGAAAAAAGTTTATCTCGATCCTGTGTCCCACGGAAACGCTGGATGGCCAGTTGAGACGATCGTTGACGGCATCCCGGACATCGAGAATGTAACCGCCGCTCTAAGGAACGGGCCATATGGGAAATGCGTCTATGAAAGCACAAATGACGTCTGCGATCACCAAGTTGTCAATTTGGAGTTTTCGAACGGAAGCACGGCCTCCTTCACCATGGTTGCATTTACATCTACCATTTGCGAGCGTCAGACCCGAATGCACTTTGCGCATGGTGAAATCGTTGGCGACATGACCAAGTTTACCGTCTCCGACTTCCGAAAGAAAACAAACAAGGTCTACCATCCAAAGAATGAGGGGGGTGGCCACGGAGGTGGAGACCTTGGACTTATGCGTTCGTTCGTCGAAGCCGTCAGTGCAGGCAAACAAGAGCTGCTAGGGACTAGTGTCGAGGAAGTGTTGAAGAGCCACCTAACAGTATTTGCAGCTGAAGTGAGCCGAAAGGAAGGGAGGGTCGTGGATTGTGAGGCTTTCGAGCGTGAAGCTAGAAAAGCTTTCAAGTGCTTGGAAAGGCCGAAAGATGTTTTTGATGAATCAATCACGAAAGATACCAACTGAAGATGTGTATACCAAGTCTGTCCATGTCCGTTGATTTTCTACTTTGTATTCTGCTGTGTCGTTTCAGACCCCTATTACTTTAAGTGATTCAGACTTTTTTGATCCTCACTTGTCATGCGCTGCGGCCCTCTGCGGCCCTTGCCAAGCTCTCTGCGGAATTGGTGGGCATCCTCCATAAACTCCAGTTTGTTTTCAATACTGTAAACCTCGCCCATGACTCCTGATTCGGAAAAGTACCTCAATCTCCCAGAGGGTCGAACTCTGGCATACACAGAGTCTGGCAATCCTTCAAGTTCTACACTTGTTCTCTTCTTCCATGGAGTTTTTGGCATAGGAGACGCTTCTCATCCCTCGCCTTTCCTGGTAGAACAAGGTGTACACTTCGTTGCACCAACTCTCCCAGGCTGGGGTAAATCCTCGCCTCGAAACCCGGCCACACCGTATGACATTGCCGTCGCATCCGATATCACAGCTTTGGTGCAACATCTGCACCCCAATGACTCTAATTTCAAGTTATACATTGCAGGGGGGTCATATGGAACCGTCATCGCCCAAATGCTCTATGGAGCGCCCTTCGATGTGTTTCCCCCTGGAAGACATCTTGCGGGATGCATGGTGCTAGCCCCCTTTTCCCCATTTTCTTTGCACAAGGAGTACACCGCGACAATGACCATGCCCAACTACATCGCCGTTGGTCCACCCTCTCAATGGATTCCCTCCAGGCTCTTGCAACGCCTTGCTGTGCTTCTCATTGGCAGGAAGTTGAAGACGGTAGACAGTGCCGAGGTTTTCATTCGCAGCACCCTCTTTGATAAAATGGGCGAAGAAGAACTTGCCGCGTTCAAGAAATGGAGAGAAGAGAACGGAAGAGGTGAAGGAGAAGTCGAGAGGTCCATGGCGGAAAATGTTGTGCAAAGCGTACGCCAAACTTGGGCAGGTTTTATGGAGGTCTCGGATGTCATTCACAGTGACTGGGGGTATGATCCCGGCGCGCTCGACGAAGAACACATGTCCCGGCCAATCTTGGTGGTCGCGTCCAAAGGTGACACCATGGCCCCAGACGCAATGGCGAAGTGGCTTTGCACACATTACGCGAATGCGCATTCCAGAACCGTTACGGGAGGTCACCTCGCTGCTCTATTTCAATTAAATGACTTGTGGAAGGAGCTGTTTACCCTGTAATAGCTCAACAACGTTATTCGCAGGTTACATTCCTTCGCCACTTTATTTCAATCAAACGACTTGTGGAAGGATCTGTTTACTCGTAGCTCAGCAACGTTATATTTATTTTCTGTACACATTCAAACAGTTTTACAAATCGATTGGGTATGGCAGGTACATAAGTGGGCGTAAATTCAGCAATCAATGTAGATCAGTTTTGGAGTTCCAGCTCCCTTCGGATAATTTCCCTGACTTCCCTCAACCCACCAGCTTCTCTTCTAACACTTCTGGGACTCCGAGTAACAAGTGCATGGGCACTTTCTTCCTTACCCTTAACTGGCTTAGGACTTGCAGAAACCGCAGGTCCTCGTTTAGTCGGACTTTCTTCATTTGACGCGCTTCCAGCAGTCGTTGTATTGATTGAAGATGGCATTTCAAGCCATTCGGCTCCAGCGACAGTAAGCTTCTTGAGAAAAAAAGGACAGAGGTCGGTAAGGATTGCCAGGGATTCATTGGCTTCAGCTGTTGAGATTGGTACGGGCGAAGATTTGATGATGGCAAGCGCCACCTCCGTGGCCGGCAACGCACGTCTTTTTCTTCCAGATGGAGTTCCAGAGGCTCCCGTTACTGGGTTAGAAAACAGCCTTGCAGGAGAGAGAGCAAAATCTCAATTAATGTGGCGCTTAGTGAACCACGAAGAGAGTACTTACATCCAAACGCTGTCAGCAACTCCACCAAGTCGGCCAAGAAGACAACGTCGTCGCATTTCTTCTTGGTTCATCTTTAACATTTGGTCTCGCGTAAGGGTACCTCGTGTAACCTCATTGCCCAATGACTTGGTCGGTGACGCCGTTAGAGAGCGCTGGCGAACACGCTCATACAAAGCCTGTCTGCGAGATGTTGAAGGAGTTTGAGGAGCAGTTCCTGCACTGGATCCTCGTTGGTGGACGGGAGTAGATGGCATCGAACCTTCGGACGGAGTTAAAAGTAATGCAACAGGTGTTTGTGGGGTAAGCAACGAGGACGACGGGTTAGAACGATTACGACGAGGAGTTTGCGGTGGAAATAATGTGGTCTTTTTCGTGGGAGAGGTTCCCGATGCCACCAGGGGAAAGGGCACCGCAAAATCACGAACACTCTTCTTCATCGGCGACCGGGATGGAGAAGAGGGTGGCGCTGGGAACTTTTGAGGAGAAGTTGATGCCTTGGGTGAACAAGACGCAAGGGCGTGAGTCAAGGAGGAGACCTTGGGGGTAACGGCAAGCACAGGAAGTTCCACAAGTGGCACTGGAGGAACGCTGAGGTCATCGGCATGAAGCTACATCAGGAACAGGTAAGTTTCAACGAGTTAAATGGCAATGTACAGATCTCACCGTCGCCCATTGCTCAAGCTTGCGACGAAATTCAATTCGACGTTTGGTGCTTGCGGCTGTCCAGCGGGCAACGGCTGCCATACCACCTCCCATGTCCTTGTCAATATCCATTTCCACTTCGATACCTATCCCATATGCTGGAACTCGTTTTCTGTCACTCTTTGAATAGTGGGTCGCAGGACTCAGAACGAAACCCATCGACCCGCGCGTCCATTCAACACCTGAAATCGGCACTCGATCCAAAAAAGGATTGTCTTCCTCCTCCTCCACAGGCGTGGGTTTCTGCTTGAGACATTCGAGCGACGTCCCATCCCATCCCCAGACCCAGCAGAGTCTTTTGAGATCGTCAATCTCGAAAGCCGTGAGCCCAGTATAAGTCTTCAGTGATAAGTGGTTGAGCACATTTTTGACTATCCCGGAGTCCGACGTGGGGGCTACAGCACAAGTTGCCAACGCATGAGAGAGGGCCTGTTGTACCGCTATTTGAATGTTGAAAAGACGCGTGAGGTGACCAGGGAGTTCGGTTTGTGCTTTAGTGCCGCTACGAGTTACGGAGCGTGGGGGCGTGGGGGGTCTACAGATGAAATTGAGATGTGAGAATCGAAGAAAGGATGTGAGATACAAACACAGTTCGAAGTTTCTTCGGTGTAAGGGTAATGACATCGTCAAGCGCAGCTTGAAATCCTCTCTTCTTTCTAGGAGATACTTGGAGACTTGTGTAGAGTTCAGAACTTTTGTAGATGTCAGACATCGAGGTTCCGTTTCTTGCGTGCAATTATCCAGTATTGGCGCGTCTTTTGATTTGCTACGGACCGCTGGTTTTGAAGAGGCGCAGGTCGTGCCACTGCCAAAGGACAACTACGCGATAACGTGACATTGCAGACATATGGCCACCTTGGCCTTGTCGTTGTTTGGCATCCGCTCCTCCACCGTCGATCGACATGCACTCACAAGGTGGGTGCCATCTTGTGGTGTTCAAAGTGTAGTTTCAGAGGGTGGAAAATTCTGAACATGCCTTGTCGGTATGCTCTAATTTAACCAGTCGAAAACGGTCATGCGCTCGCAGGACACGGAAACACAAGTTTGAAAAAATTTGTCCCATGTTTCTTGAGAATAATGAAGTTCGCGATGCCTCCGCACCCACTCTTCCATAAATTCTTCTTATCATGGTTTGTTACACATGCTTTAGCGACTCAGGCGAAAATCGAACCATCCTTAACAAAAGACGTCTCTGCTCACCTCATCTCACAAGGTCAAGCTGGCGAGCACGCCGCCGCGTGTGTATTATCAGACTCTATCATCCAATTGGTATCAACTTCGGATCTACGTGTTTCTAAATAAAAATGGCCTCAAGAACACTCCGGGTCGCTCAGGATTCGGACGGGCAAAAACCAGACTTTATGGTTGGTTTTGACCAGGCAGTGGAACGTTTTACGGTTGTTGACGGTGGTAATGGCAGAGAAGCAGCTGACGCCTAATCAAAGTTACATTCTTCGCTTCATTTCCACAGCCCTTTACCGATGTTTCTTCGAATCTCCAGCATTGCCAGAAGATGAAATCCGGCTGCCCCAGGGTGGAAAAATTGTCTTTGTATCTAATGTGATTTACTCACCTACATATTTGCAGGTTGTCATGATCATGGCTACCTCGCAACTCTCCTCGCACAGACAGCCACAGGCTTTGTTAGCAGAGGTTGGCTTAGCACACTCTCCCCTCGTAGCCCCCCACCTTCACTCGACCCATCCTCAACGCCGTTGAAGGCCGCAGTTTCGAGGCGTCTTTCTGACGTTTCACCGTCAGGGCTGCCCGAAGCTTACGTTCCTAATAATCAGGAATGAGGATCTTGATGTCCTTCCCTTCGCCATCGTTGAGTTAGAGCAAGCCCACGAGTCCTTCCCAGATGTTCATCTGCAGTTCGAGCCCTCCCCAAGCAAGCTATTGCAGTTCTTGACTAGGCTCCAGCGGAAGCACCACTACATCGAGCAGTGATGGCGCCTCAGTGACACCATATACGTTCTAACGTTGTCACTTTTCTTCCATGCTTCTTGCTTATTCGACTGTAACGCCGTTAAAGTTAGCCTCTATCCAAACGGTTGTATACTTCTTTCTCTATATCCACAATGACGGATGTGGACTGACTTGAGCAGGTACACCCCTCCATATACACTGTTCGACCTTGGAAGCTGCAAGCATGGGATCGAGTGCAAATATGCCCATGATTATCTGCTATAACCCGAACACTTCCAAGAGTGATCCAGCCTAGGTGTACGGACCAATGCGAAGAAGGCGCCGGCTATTAATAAAGGTATGCACTACTAGCTAAGTAGGAACTTTGCAAATAATTTCTGCCTCTGGGGCGAGGATTGCTGCCATGGCCACTTCCTCAAACGATGCAGTTCATACACCTCATATTTGACATGCACAGGGAGTAAGATCGATACAGTATAACGCGCTAGTTGCTTGTAGCATAGATGTCCAGACTTTTCGGTTTGCACCTGTATAATTATGGTGCTTCGTATTTACATGCTTATCTGAATTGAAACTCAGCGCTGATGATCGGGGCGTTCCGCGGAGTTTCGGCGTCGAAAAGAGTTACTTCACACTTCAGTTGATACTTGAGCTAATTTCAAGCCAACTTCATTGCACTCCAGTTGTATCCATAGTGGAAACCCCATGAAACGCAGCGCACACAACCATGGGCTGGTATCTTTTTCGTCTGATTTTATCTTAACCCAGCGCTTGCCAGAGCTGAAAGAGGCGCTTACGTCGTGCAGGGTGTCATCGTAAAAGAACTTCGATGAACGCGCTCATTCAAGGTTCGTGTGAGTTTAAGAACTGTCTGGCTGATATAATTATCATCTCCCACTTCCTTTTCCGATCTGTACCTTCCCCGTCTGGCAAAAGGCCCCGGAGAAGGCCTTAACAGTTGTTCATTTGTTGGAAGCCCAGACATGACTTAAAGGCACCTTACGTTGAGCAAGGCTTTCGTTCCCGTCTCCTACAGCCATATTCCCTGCAATCATTCCCAGGCCTACCATGGCGGCCCAACCTGTTGGTGAGGCAAACCAACAGCTCTGGTAAGTCGCCTCCCCTAATGTATACTTTCTGTGATCGTGATTTTCCGACATCACAAGGGACGAGACGCTCACGAGGCTTCTTAGTGAGTTGAATGGACTTTTTGTCAGTACATTGAATCAGACGACTTTGCAGACCTCTCAGCGGCAACCGTCCGGCGCAACACCGATCTGGAGAGTCGTGTGGCAGAGCTCGAGGTCGAACTTCTTGTATGGAAGCAGGCGCATTCCGTGGCGCTGGAGGCTTCTGAGCGCGAAAACAAAGCACATAACGTGCAGATGGCTGCTCTTAATCGGCAGATTTCTGGCCTGGACCCAGTGAAATCGGTGTGCTTTGATTACATGCACTCCTTGACGGAAAATTCATGGAAGAAAATTGTAGCAGAATCAAAATCCTCTCATCCTCTGTATAATTCATGGCGACGAGCTCGTGTTTAACCGAGAGTTTCTGACAGAAGGCTATCATGGCGGAAGGGCGGCAGCCCAACAACTTACAAAAGCAATTGCTGAACATTTATCGAATGAAGACGTCCACCTTTATGGGAGGCTCTCTTTCTGGATCACAGTATATTTGAATAAACGAAACCTATCGGAAACGCTGCTTTTGAACAATGTCTGCTCCGAAGAGCAGTTTGAATCTTTTTTGACTGGGTTCGGCCATGCTTCGCCTCGATTTTCCGTCATCGACGTAGGCTTCGGGGCAGAGTCTTCGGAGTCGAAAATCAAAGGTACTGCAGATCATACGTGGAAGATATTGCTGTTCTGATAGCGTATCTTCAGAATATCTGCAAACCTTCATTTATTTTCCTCAAACCTTGCGTGTTTTCTTTGGTGGCGAGTCCAACCACATCTTCTCTGATTTCTCCAATCACAATTTATTTCAAGGATACGACGTTTCATACATGGCAACATTTAGTGCCTTGGAAAAGGATCAAATCTTGGGTAAATTGGTTCTCATCGATGCTAATCCGCAGACGGGACTAGGAGATCAATTTCAAATACATGCAATACCACGGCTGTGCGTGGATAGTCTCTTCATGTTCGAGCGGCTCCCAAAGATCTCCCGAATACTGACTCCGTTGACGATGGCTTCTTTCAATTCGGCGGCGAGCAATGGAGGTCTGATAAGTCCCCAGTCACCCGACCGCGTTTTGGGTCGAGTTATCGACCCATCCTTGGTGAGTATTTCCCTCGTGATCACATTTGGTAGTTTGTCGTCCAAATAAACTGAATAAACTGACTTTCTGTCATAACATAGCCACTCCATAAACGTGAGTCTGCTATATACTTGAGTAGCCATTCACAACTAATCTTTGGAGGCACAGAAAATCCACCTCCATGCAACGAACACTACCTGATGACCTGTTCGAAAGGGGTGAGCCGTGCACTCGTTAGTCGCTCTTGTCCTCACACATTTTTCGAAGCAGGCTGGAATGTGCAAATATTCGCATGATTACATCCTAACATCTGAGCAACTTGTGTCGTTGGCCAATAACGCGAAGAAGGCACCCTGCAATTGGTTAAAAAATGGTGAAAACGAACATGTTCAATTTTTTCCTCCTGGTTGACTATTACATCCCAGGTGTGCAATGCCCGTACGGGGAAAAATGTTGTTGGGGTCATGTCTGTCCTAATGGACCGAAATGCTTCCATCTTAGCAAAGGGAAATGCTGGTTCAAGGGAGGTAAAGACAACCCCTTTCGGCGAATACACATACCTGAGATGTTTCCTTTTTTTTTTTTGCAGAAGCCATGCACCCAGATTCTTCTTGACATTTAACAGGATAGCCATGAAATTTCTCCAAGTTACATAGTCAGGCTGAGGGGGAATTCCATTGAAAATATGCTTGGCTAGTTTACCACTATGTTTTGTACTTCGGCAGTTAGCGATAGCATGCGTGCGAAATCGATCTGGACAGGGGCTGCCTTATATTTGGGCACCATCTTAGTGGTTCAAGTCAGACGATCTGTGCGCAACTAAAGCATCTTATCATGTCCAGTGTATTTTTCTCCTCATTACTACTTTTATTCTGCTCTGACGCGTCCAGCTCTGCTTTCTCAGAACGATGATCAGGAAGAACTGAAGCCTACCTTTACCCCAGGTAAGGTCACTGTCTCTCTCGTGCGATTTCAAGCTCACAACCCCATCAAGGTTACAAACCTGGCGCTGCAAAATCTGCAGATGAATACGCGAAACTGGATGCCGAAGACGAGAGCTTAGCTCGTTGGAAAGCATCGCTTGGGATCGTTCCAGGCGCGGGAGACAACACAAGTGGTCCCAAAGTAAAGAAAAAGAACTTTCATTCCGTCAACGATCCCTCTTCAGCTATCTTTTTATCACTAGGTCACCGTTTTGACTCTTGAGCTTGCATCGCCTACCTTGCCACCGGGGAAGAAGATCGTTTTCGATCTGAAAGACACGGCGAAGCTGGCAGACACCAAGAAGAACCCTGTTATAATCAAGGAAGGAGTTGAGTACAAGTTCGTGTCATCCCAGCAGGTCTTGGCTGTATTTCTTATGATCTCACAGTGTCCGAATCACCTTCAAAGTAAACCATTCCATCATCTCCGTACGTCAGTTTATGACCTTCGTGCTGTGGATCTCTTTTGAGTGTATATAGGGTGTCCGGTACATGCAACTCGTCAAGCGAGCAGGAGTGAAAGGTGAGATTGGTTTATCAAGACCGACATTCAAGATTGAATAGCATCTGCACATATCAGTCGATAAGATGGAGCAAATGCTGGGTTCTTACGGCCCGTCGCCCAGCGGGGAACCTTACACAAAGAATTTTGACCCTGAGGAGTCACCATCTGGTCTGCTGGCTCGTTCTGGATCCTACAACGTTCGAAGTCGCGTGGTTGACGACGACGGGGAGGTATACGCAGGTTTGTGGTTTTTCCAAAAATTTGAAAGCAAAGCTAACATAGATTCAGATTGGGAGTGGACCTTCAAGCTTGCGAAAGAATGGGCTTAACACATACGAATGCCTGTTTGTTTCCTACTTTGCTATCTTTCCAGCATCTTTGTACATTGAATCGCATCCATGAATCACGTCCATTGACATGCAATTACTTCGAAATTGGATCATCTTACAAAGTCACAGTAGTCACATTGTCCTCGTGAGTCTTTTTCCATGTTGGCGTGTTATACAGTGAGATCCAATATTTCCCTCTCTTCTTCTCGGCGTACAACCACGATATACAATGCCCTTTGTGTTCGAAAAACGTTCGCCGTATCCCACGTTCCTTCCGTTTTATCTTCAAGGAAATTTTCCACATCCCCTGGGCCTCAAAAGTCATGGGTGGATCGCTTACCTCAAAAAGTGCAACCATACGTCCATCTTACCCGCATAGACAAACCAATTGGGACGCTTCTTCTCTTCTATCCATGCGGTAAGAGGACGAACAATTAGCTATGAGGATTCTGTACTCATTTGCGTTTAGCGTGGTCTATTACCATGGCCTCTTATGCGTTACAAACGCCATATACTGTGCCTTTGACTTACATGAGTCTTTTCGGTCTTGGTGCACTCGTTATGCGCGGCGCAGGCTGCACGATCAATGACATGTGGGACAAAAACCTAGACAAAGCCGTAGGTCGGTCAACATTCCACCTCCATACTCAATTAACTAACTCCCCCTTCAAGACAGAACTAGAGACCGCCCTCTAGCTCGTGGTGACATTACCCAAAATCAAGCCCTTGTTTTTCTCGGAGGTCAGCTGGCAGCTGGGTTGGGAGTTTTGATGCAAATCAACTGGTATAGGCAAGTTCTACCGCTTGCATGTCAGGTCATGGAATGGAAGCCTCATATTTTCTACAGCATCTTTCTCGGAGCATCTTCCTTGTCGCTCGTGACTATATATCCCCTTATGAAGCGAATAACGCATTGGCCCCAGGCTGTCCTTGGTCAGTGACATTTCTCATCATGTTAGCTGTACAATGGGCCAAGAGGAATATTGCACTACGTTCAGGCCTTGCTTTCAACTGGGGTGCCCTGCTAGGATGGTCAGCAGTAGCTGGTTCTGCCGATTGGAGTGTCTGTCTGCCTTTGTATGCTGGCGGTGTATGCTGGACTCTCGTCTACGATAGCATCTACGCTCACCAGGTGAGTCTAGAATTCCAATGCACGTCTCAGAAAATGCCTACCTTTTCAACAGGACAAAAATGACGATGTGCATGCAGGTATCCGCTCCACCGCATTGCTGTTTGGGCCTCAAACCCGGCCCATCCTTACAGGCCTTGCCGTTTCCTCTCTTTCTTTGATTTCCTATGCTGGCTATCTCAACTCCCAAAGGGAGGCGTTTTACATTGGCATTGGCCTAGCTTCGCTCCAGCTTGCGCGCGTGATTTATCGCACCAATTTCGATGATCGATCTTCTTGTTGGAATGGTTTTGTAGGATCTGGATGGGCTGGCTTTTGGATCTGGATGGGAGCACTAGGTGACTATGGGATGCTCATGTCCTCGTGATATACGTTACATGGCACAACATAAATGACCGTGAATGTGAAAGTTAAATGCGTGAAATTGGCCGTACAGTGGACAAGTGAAATTACGAACGAAGATGATGTCTAACAGATAATCAAGAAAGGTCTTGTCAGAAATCGTATCACGCAGGACTACGATATGTGATGACACCATGGGTTCGAGATTTGAGCCAACCCTTGAAACCCACAACAAAAAGCGTCCAGCAGCAAGCGAAGCACGTAATTGCAACTGAAAGGTTCAAGAACATCATGACATCTACCCAACATTTGTTAGTCATTCAAAAACTTTTCATTGGACAGATACTAACCATCTCGGCCTCGACGCATAGCGGCGAACGTCACTTCCTCAGTCGAAAACATGAATACGAGACCTCCGCATGCCAAAAAGAAGCTCCCGAGGGCCTCAGTAGGAGGGCGACTGGGCAAAATGGACTGCGGAGGGCCGAGCCATAAGAAAAAGTAGGTGAAACACCTCAACACCGCGAAAGCAACGAGTAGATTTCCCCACAGTGCGTGGATTTGGACCTGGTTGAACGTAAATGGGGAGGGTAATAGCCGCGCACTGCGAATACACACCTGGAAAAGATAGGTCTGTGCATGAGCTGCCATTGCCGCACCCGTCACGCCGATCACAAGGGCCGGGAAGGGATTAAAGCTCCCAAGGTAGCTGGGCGGCTCAGTGACAGCATCATTGGGCACTTTAGCATGCTTTGACAATGAAGCGAAGGTCGAAGACGCCAGCCACTTGCGAATCCTCTTTGATTCGATCCCCATACCAACAATGCCTGCGAAGCAAAACATGACCTTATTTTTTTCAATAATTCAACTTCCAATGGGCCAGTGATAAGCGAAGAACCTACCGCAATGCTGATATGCTGGATCTGCTTTGTAGTAAATGGATCACCGGCATGCGCACCAAAACGCTCCATCCACATATTTGTTGCACCGTATAAGAAGATGACAAACGATTCGACGAATTCAGCGGAATAGCAATCTGGAGACGGTGCTCTGTTCCATGCCCAACCTAGTTCGGCGAACAATCCCAGGAACCTGGCAAATGTCACTAAACCATACGACCAAAATATCCCACCCTCTGCGAAAAAAAATATTCGAATGAAGCTATTACTTGATGAAAACATGTCGGGACATACTGATCAAATGTGCCATGCACCCATTCAAATAATTTTCCCTGCATCCACCTGCAATCTGAATAAGTTTGGACTACTCAATCAAAGAGGGATTGTAAAGGTACCTGTGTAAACAACGATACCTGAAAGAAGTTGAGTAAATCCTGCAAACACAAGAACTCTTTCTGCAACAGCGAAGGCACTAGTTCCCACTCGGCGCAAGAAGCTTCTTTTTGATAGTCGCTTGCGAGTGGAGTCGTGCAGTGTGTCATCAGAATGGACCGTAGAGTGCAATCCAAAAACAGTTCTCTCAGACGTCGTAGAGGAATGTCTGTGGTGGCGATGTACATCGTTCGCCCACTGCGCGGTCTGAGAGACATCAGAAAGTTCAAAAGTTTGGAGGTCAGCCGAATTTCTTGTAAGTTTTCCTTCAAATTCTTCTGGCTCTTCGACAATAAGTCCCAGATACTCAGATTCTTGATGAGCGTGTTCAACTTCTTTGTTCAAGATCACTGTTTCCCAGAACGACCCCAGACTTTTCTTTTCTTGACTTCTAAAATATGTCACCATGCGTCCGATTGCAGCTAAAATGTCAAGGGCTGATACCAGCACGGCGAAGAGAAGAACAATATATCCGTGACGTCCATGAGCGGCGCCTGAATGTCGCAGTGTTGAGAGCTGGGGAAAGAGGAATTGAGCATGCAACGTGTTTACCTTGATACCTGACGATGAAAGTTCACCAAAAAGACAAATAAACGGAGATTCCACTACATACATATTCGGTGTCAACTTGGTGTATAATGCACTTGCTGAACAACCCAAAGCACATAATGCATAGAATGCTAACATGACGGCTCCATGACCTGCTTGCTTGACCGACCGCACGATAATGGCTTATTGTGCAAGTTGAGCCCACTATGTCAAACAAAGTATGAAACCTCTTACCAACTGGAAGCAGCAGAAAAAAGGCCAAAGACATAAGAACGGCATGAGAGACCAGCAATCCAGGATGGCGTTTCTCGGAGCCATCACCCTCCCAATCAATGGTGTAATATGAAGGAGGTGTCGGGGCATGATGCATGAGGACCTCCGTTTCGTTGAGTTGAAGAAGTGGGGCGGCATGGTGGTTATGATGCCCTCCGTCCCTTGCAGAGATTAGATGTGAAGATACATTATCCAAAGCTGACGGCGTCGCTGAAACTTGCTGAAAAGCGAGGAAGCAGAGGTGGGCAAGGAGAAAGGATGAAAGGGCAGAACAGCGAATATGCATCGCGTCGGAGGACAAGACGCAGAGACAAGTTTGAAATGGCGTACAGACCTCATTTACTTACTCGAGGGAGCTTTGTCAGATGTCTGACGAGCCGGTGATCGAACATGCACCTCTGAGTCAGCAACAGGACAACTGAGGTGAGCTGCACAACAAATCATCGGCGCTAAGGCGGTCCCGAGTAGACAGTAATATCGATAGCCCTCGCTGTCCAGTATCGATTTCCTTGGGATGCTGGTTGGGGGTCAGTCAGTGCGCAGGTGCCTTGATGTCAAATCAAAAGGGTACGAATCTCGGACGTTTGTCACTGTGACCCAGACTAAGCTCTTTTTACACACGGCGAACGAAGCATATGATGCTACTGGAAGATTTATGAAGACGGCAGGTACGCATAGTACTAAAAGATCACCCGTTGGTAGTAAATTTCAACCGTCAGACTCTGTGTTTGGAGGTAGTCTTCAAGAGCCTGCCATCACCAGATACCGCCTTGCTGCGAGATGCCTGTCGGCGACCCAAACGACTCTCGAGGGGCCCATGCAACAGCACCCTGAACCAGCTGCGAGTTCGAAGGATCGACAACGGATGAGTCGTATGATGCGCTGTGTGGGGATTGATAATCAAATGTGCTGGGGGTCGGAGCGTGCCAGCAACGTGCCGAGCTGCTGAAGGTCAAACCCGCTGGACGAATATGGTCAGGGGGCAAGTGTTCCGTGAACGGGGTCGAGTTGCGTAGTCGGCTCTAGAGGTACTTGGCCTCCACTTTTCCGTGGAGAAGTAGAAGCCGTTCGGAGACGTGATAAAGACCAAGTTGGCATCGCGAATACAGGACACGGTGCTGGAATATTTGATGACCACGATTTGTGGAGCTTGAGCTAGAAACACATATCTGTTGAGTTGTTTCTGTGTTGTGAACGGTTGTTGTTCAATAAAGTAAGGTAAAAATCAAAGCGTACAAGATGAGGATGTTTACGTGAAATACACGGTACATATCACAGAGTAATGGGTATAGTTGTTACACAGAGCTCATCGCGACAACGATAGCCTGGGGCCATAACGCTCCCCTGCCTTTCGTTCCATGATCTCCCGGAGAGGTCCCAGCAAGCGGGTGAATGCAGCTTCATCCAGCGCTGCCACCTTTAATTTCGGCGTCGCAGCGTTTGTTCTGTGAATGGCGCTCACCGTCGCCGCCCTTGGCGCTGCTCGCAGAAGAGAAAGCTCTGTGGCGGGTTAGCACATATAGCAGACTTGTTCAACGCAAAGACATACCGCCAAAGTAGTCACCCTTTTTCAAATGACCGACTTTGATTTCACGACTCTCTCCCTCGTCGGTTTGCTGGGTTTTCGTAGCAATCGCCTCCCCTTCCTCAATAAAAAAGAATGTGTCCCCGAGTTCTCCTTGCTTGACAACTGCTTCACCGTCTTTGTATACGCTGCTAACTAGGGCATCGGCGATCTTGCTCCTCTCGGGGGCATCCAGCGACGACAACAGCGTCACAGTTGACAAGAACTGTTCATACATCGTGCGCCTCCTATGAGCCGCCTTCAAAATAATGGTGCGGAATGTGATGCGGTCCAGCGCCCACAAAGTGGATGGCTCCATAGCCAAAACAGATGCAGCACGAGGATGGCCATACATCAGGGCCAACTCGCCAAAAGAGCTGCCAGGTTTGCATTCCTGTACTTGTCTACCGAGTTCAGGATGGTACTTTGGTTGGAGAAATTTGTCCTCCGTGGATGATGCTTTACTATCTGTGAGCCATGCAGGCGGGAGCGGCTCCGGACGAATGTAACAATGAAGGAGCCCAGATTCAACAACGTAGAAGTACTCTCCTACATCACCCTGCCGAATCACCACTTCATCCTTGGGCACTTTTCGCTCTTGCATTGCAGCCAACACGCCCGTTTCTTGCTCCTCATCAAGATCACGAAAGATAAAGTTACCCCTGATGGCTGCTTTGATGCGGCGTAGCTGGTCGTCCGTTTTAGGGTATACAGGGAGTGGCTCATCGCTATGACTATCAACAGCAATGGATTCTGCGGAAACTGACGTTCGCCGTGCAAATATCGAGGATGTTGGAGCGTGTAGATAATCTCCAGAATCCCGAGATGTAGGAGTCGTGGTATCAAATGTCGCAAAGGGGTTCACGGTGGTAAGTGGTGAAGTGGGAGGAAGCTCGTGCTGCCCGTATCTTAGTGATGGCGGCGTCCGATCACCCGAAAGCAGCGCGTTACCTGGAACATTGAGTGTGCCAAATGGACTCTGTGCGATGCTATCTCGGATAGATGAGCGGGGTCGGGGAAAGGGTGAGAGTGTGGGTAGCCCAATGCTATTGCCAAAATGCGTGTCTGTATGAAGCTCGCAAGGTGCTGAGACGGAGCGCTGAGAAAGGATATCGCGGGTACGCGCTCTTTGTTCCTCCAAGCGAGATTGAAACCAATTGGCACAGAATTGGAGAGCATCTTTGGGTTGAACGCGATGGGCGTCGCGAGTCAGATCATTGACAAGTGCTTCAAATGTTGACATGTTAGCAGGTCGGAGCTGCAATAAATCTAGCTAAACAAAAGGTATGAGGTCGCGAGGAAACAGCGAAAGGAAATTGTTCGAGGCGAAATCAGTTCAAGGTATGGGCGTGAGTTATTTACAATATTTTGACAATGAACAATGAGTGTCATGTGACGCGTACTACATATCAGTCTGAATCGTCAACCCAATCCGCGGCAACAACACGTTCCATGTAACGCTGAATCCACAGAGGTTGACGTGCATGTTGCGACCGAAGTCCTTCCTGTGTCTGACTTGCCCTATTTGCCGCAGGTCCGTTCTCCCCAGCTTCCTGTGGTGTTGGCATGCTCATTTCCGTCCTGATAACCCCTTCCCTTCGCCTAAGAGCAACCCGCCTCCGATTCCAGATAGCTGGGTGCAAAGTTGTAATCAATAAGCCAAAGAAGGACATGATTTTGTGCCCCAAGCCCGGTTGTGATGTTACTGTACCGGGAGTTTGATTGATGATATTTTGTTCTTCCTCTATGTTCATGTTGGCCAGAGTGTCAAGAAGTACGCCGGCTTGAGTTCCAGGCCCACCTGGTACGATGGGCCCTGCTACAGGAGCGTCTGCGGGAGGTTGCTGTGCTGGATGAGCATTCTGGGCAAGGTGTTGCCCTTGTCTTGCAGCTCGGTCAGCGTTCTGGTGTTGGCGGTTGTCCACGGCACGTCGTATGCCACGAAGAAAACCATTCCTAATAGGCTGCCAGATCTCGTACAACATCCATGCGAGAATCAGAATCGCGAATATGGGTTTTCGGGCTGGTGCGACGAAATATAGAAGCAACAGTGTACGGAGCACCAACATAATCATGGGTGCTAGCAGCGGTCGTAATGGAATTTCGCGAAGCTCCGGAAGTAGAGCGTTCTGGTTTGGAATAGGGTTGTGAATCTCAGCAACGCGAAGGGGAGGTAGCCCAAGTTGTTGAAGGAGCTGGTTGACATTGGGCGGAATGGTCACTGGCTGAGTTGATGAAGACGGGATGACCGTGGCAGGTGGCGAATCAATTGATAATAGAGTGAAGGTGTAAGAGAGAACCTCGAGCGCATGTGCCTGGAAAGCGGTCGGCGTCTCGGAAGGGTTTCGCAGTGAAAGATAAGGTTGACCACTATAAGACAAAAGCCAATTGAGACGTGTGGAGAGTGAGGAAGAGACGACACATACTCGATGATGACACGATCGTATTGCAGACCCCCGGGAGTTGCGGCTGGGAATTCTTCATCCAATATGGAGGGCCAAATCCAGCCATGTTGCTCAACCGCTGAAATTGCAACTGAACGCAGAAACGTGACGTCCTCAACGCCAGTCGACATCGGGATGGTAGGCGATGTTAGCGCCGACAAGGCGCTCTCGTGCTTCAACAAAACGAAACCCAATGGGCGATGAATAGTTTGAGTGGGAGCTAAGGAGGGTTCCATCGGGGGAAATACGGTGCGCAGAGTAGATGACTGGCGGGATGGTATCGTTTCGGAATGGAGTCCTTGGGCCGTCTGTGTGTTGGGTATCTCAGGCGGTATTGACGACCAAGCAGAAGGATGGACAGCAAGATGGATGATGCGTGGCTCTGCGTCCGACTGTATGATACGGTGTCAATCAATATAAAGGGAGACGGGGAGGTCGGATGGAAGATACCTTCCAAAGATCTTCGACCCTCTCATGGTCAGCCAGACTCCTCCCTCTCCAGATAAGTCGTTGGCCTTCCACTCGTGGTTGGCCCGGACATGCACGACATATCTCCTGCTTCACTTGTAGAATTGTACTTGCATTGTATACTTTAACTGGAAAGGAACGAGAGTACGCAGGTAGCTCTATACGAAGCTCGATGAGGGACATGATAGTCAAATGACAGTTTTTTTGAACAAACTTGGAAGTGATAGGACTTGGATGGTGACATAATACTTACATGGACATCATGAACGTGGAGGTCATGTGATTACATCTATTTTGGGACCTTGACTGTTACAGCTTTCGATGCACTTTCTTGGGCGAGCTCAATCATCTCAATCACCCCTGTTGCTTCATCCCATTTGACCGCGAGCTCTGCTCCATCCCGAATGGCGGCTCCAAGGTTGCGAAACAGTTCGGCGTATGCTCCCGCCTCCGAAGAACGCCACCTGCAAGGCTCTTTAGTTTCTCTAAACTCTACACCATCCAGCAACTCACGTGGATTTCGTGACTGTAATTTCATCGGCCTCCATCTTCTCGATAGTCCCCCACAGGTACTCTGGTTCCCGGCCATATTGGTCCTCGAGGATTGCACTTGGAGACGATATGACTTTGAGCTGGTCTTCCTGTAAATCAACGCCAAACTTCGAGTACGTTCCCTGCGTCCCCCGTACTACGTATCGCAATTGAGGCGAGCGAACAGAAAGTATATGAGCACGGAGGATGACCGTTACTGGGTACCTTTTGGTTGGTCCAGGATTATAATGCATATGGATGGTAAACTGCATTCAGTGATTCTTCCTTACGGGTAGGAAAGCGATGGTAACGAATGACATACTGAATCATCAACTTCTGGATGGCCGACTCCACGCAAATTTTGCGCAAACGCAGTGAGCGCATCTGGTCGTCCGAACAACTGGAGCGCTTGGTCTATAAGATGCGAGCCAAGATCATAGGTAAGACCTGCAGCTTCCAATGGCTGATCTTTCCAAGTACCCTTCAGGCCCTTTCGGTAGCGGTCAAAGCTGCATGGAACTCTGATCAATGGCTGTACAAGTTAATTTTGAATATGTAGAAGAGGATTTACTGCGATTCAAATTCAGTGATTGTGCCCAGTGATTGAGGAGAAGATTCGGGCAAAGACAGAAGCTGCTTTAAAGCCAAAAAGTCCGAGTCCCATCGCCTGTTTTGGAAGCCATACAAGACAAGGCCTTTTGTTTTGGCAAGGTTTCCAAGTTCTCGTGCCTGGCTTACCGTTGCTGTAACAGGTTTATCAACGAGAACTATATCCAAGTCAGAAAAGTGATCTGCGTCTATCGCAAGGTCCTACCGTGTTTCCCCGCACTCAGAGCAGCCTTAGCAAATTCGTAATGAGTGTTATTAGGCGTGCCGATAATGACAAGTTCAACATCTGGGTCAGCCAGAACATCGTCGAGGGATCTGTGTATTTTGACGGAGACGCCAAAACGTTCAGCTACTTTGCCTCCTGCCGTGCTTGGGTTCCGCTCTAGCACAGAGTGCAAAGTGAAGATATCAGAAAGGGCGAGTATAAAGGGGACGTGAAAGGTTAAGCCTGCGAGTCCGACACCGAGAACGCAGGTATTGATCGGCTTCGACATGGGGGTGAGCACACTGAAGGAGATTTGAGCCTAACTTGAGGTAATTTTTGGTGGAATGTCCCACTCAGGGGTCTTTAACATTAATCGGATCGAAAAGCGCGGTCACGTGGTGATCGAACTTGGATGAGTTGACAGTTTTGCTTGTTACTGCCCTTGTAGCATCGTTCTCGAGGCGGTCCTTGGTTTACGATGCGATTCATGATTTTGTATACGACGATTCGACCATTGGTTATTCTACTGACTTTGTGCACATCTGTTCTCGCCCAACTTTCTCTCCCCAACCCACCCTTCTTGCCACCAAACAGTTCATCCGGCGCCCAACCTTCGTCTGGCGGTTACCCGAATCAACAATGGACAACACTACTCGGGAATCTTCTTTACTTTTACGAAGCACAGCGGAGTGGTGAACTCCCATCTTCAAATCGAGTGTCATGGAGAAATAGCAGTGCACTCGACGACGGGATAGACGCACATATAGACCTTTCTGGTGTGTAACACCACAGTTTCTAAAACAACGCTCACTGACCCAAAGCATTCAGGTGGATATTACGATGCTGGAGGCCAGTGCTACGTTATTCCTCGAGAGAAAACGTAGCTGACCCGACCCTTTCAGATTATTCCAAAGACACATTTCCTTTGGTCAACTTTTCGACAGTCAATGCGTGACGAATGAGAACTGAGTTCCTCACAGAGCTTTACTTTGATGTCGATATGCTGGGGTGCAAACGACTTTGGAAAAGGCGAATGTTCTGCAACGAGATAAAAACCTATTCTCATCCATTCTTGACAGGATATGATCTGGCAAACCAAACTGCCTATCTTGATGATATGTTACGCTGGGGCCTTGATTGGCTGATAAAGGTATGTTGTGGATAGTAAGCAGTGTATCTCTCCAATGTTACGATGTGCATAGGCCCACCCCAACGACACGACACTTTACGTTTTGATTGCATCAAGTGGGTTCCTCTGGATATAACGCATACTTTTTCCTTACTGTTTTGGCCAGAGGACACCGCTGATGGGACATACTGGGGGGGAGATCGAAGCATCCCTTCGCCTCGACCAGTTTATAAAATCAACGACTCTCAGCCAGGCACAGACGCAGCTGCTGGTGCAGCTGCTGCATTTGCAGCGTGCTCAAATCTCTATGCCAGTCGTGCACTTGATAACGGCACATTTTCCGCTCCAGCAAAGCTTAGAAATGACTCATACTCCAGTACGCTTCTCACGCACGCACAGCAACTCTATGCATTTGCCGCCAACGCGACTGGTGGGCGCAAAACCTACCAAACATCTGTACCACAGGTTGCGGCTGCTTATCAATCATCGGGCTACGGAGATGAACTTGCAATCGCGGCTCTTTTCCTGTCATGGGCAACGGGTTCTGCTTCTTTGTATCAGGAAGCTGAAGCTTACTATTCGAAATACAAGCTCGGAGATGCGAACCGAGTTTTCAATTGGGATTCGAAAACGCCTGGATTGGCTGTATTATTCTCTCAGATTGCGCAGTCATTTTCGGCTTCGAGCGGGAACTTCTCAGCGTGGCAGGCCGTCGCGGAAAATTACTTCGACTCGATTGTCAATAATCAAGGTCCGGGAAGTTTGACCAAAGGTGTGACATTTTATTTGCTTAGTTTTCAAGCAAAAATCGGCTCAAAATGATTCCAAGATGGACTTTTGTTCTTTCAAGGAGACTCTAATCTGGCCAGTCTGAATCCCGCTCTCAACACTGCCATGTTATTGCACCGATTCTCACCCTTAGCCTCTTCTGCAGCAAAGAAAGCTGCCTACTTGGTAGTTATAATTTTTTTTGGTTGCCATAATTGGTCTCTTAATGTGAAAAAGGATTTCGCAAACCGGCAAGTAGCATATGCACTAGGAAAGAATTCCATGTCAGGTTGGTGCTTAATCATTGCTGGAATGCCAATCAAGGTGCTGGCCACTGATTAACATTTACAGTTCCATATATCGTGGGGGTCAATCCAAACTCGCCTTCGAATCCTCACTCCGCAATGGCCAGCGGCGGCCAAGATATCGGTCAAATTGATACTAGTCCAGCGCAGGAGACATATGTGCTCTATGGTGCTGTTATCGGTGGGCCGGACGAACGCGGCAGATTTTTTGACATTCGAAGTGACTGGCCACAGACAGAGGTATAAATTCACTTTTTCTCCTTTCTCCAGAATATTGAACCCGGCACTTGATATATAGGTTGCGCTTGACTACAACGCGCCCATGCTTACCCTCGCAGCAATGCACGTGTTGGCGGACACAAACGACCCCTACTACACCTCGCTGAAAGCTGGGGCTTACGACAAAGTCAAACCACAAGGCTTCCCATGCGATCCTGTCTTCTCCCAAGGGTGCCAAGGCCCGCATCTCAGCAAGGGCGGACTAATAGCGATGGCTGTGGTGATCACAGTGGTTGGCCTGATTATCCTTGGCCTGACTGTTTATTATGTGGTGCTACTACTCAAGAGAACGGTAACCACATAGAATTGCTTTTCGTTCACACTTACTTTTGATTCTGTTGGATCTGATAACATGTTGACATTTTCCTTAGATACTTCGTTCTGATGACATCCAATCCTGCTACATATGTATGCTGGTATATACCCCCATGATATAAGTAGTTTCCGCCGGAATATCCAAATCCCCATAATTAGTATACCTATTTTGGAGAGGTTCATGTTAGCGCACAATATGTAGTCTGGACAAGTAATGTCTGCATACCTCGAGAACATATCGCTCCTTCTCCTTCAAACTTTCTAGGTATTCGCCCGCTTTAACTGAATCGGAACCTTTGTACTTGACGAGCGCATTGACCAGTGCCTCATATACATCCGGCACGGGCCATGTAGGGCCGCACAAATAGAAGACTCCCTCGTCGTCATGGAGCATCTGAGCAAGCGCTTCCGAGTCCTCGAGCATCTTGTGCTGGATATAAACTTTCTTGGCACTGTCTCTGGAGAACGCAAGTCCTGCTCGAGAAATGACACCGTCAAGAACAAAGGCTTCAATTTCTTCTCCGTAGAGGTATTCAGACGCTTGATGTCTTGAGCCAAAGTAATAGTAAACGGGCCCAATTTCTTCACCGTTGCGGGCAAGCCACGCCAAGTGTTGAAGGAATGCACGGAAGGGCGCCGCGCCCGTCCCGAGCCCAGCCATGATGATGGGTTGTTTGGGATTGGGAGGCAACTGAAGGCAGCGTCAGTGGCTCGTCATAGAAAAGGAGTACGATATGCTGACCTTCATTACACTGGGCTTTATCGAGACAGTCACTTTCTGACCAACTCTAAGGCCAGCCAGGTATCGTGTGCACTGCCCATACCTTATCTTGCCTGGAATAAAGTCAGAATCGGAGCAGAGTAACATGGATGAACACTGGACCATTTGAGTCTTTCCAGTCAACAGTCACGACCAACAAATCCACTCTGTCGCCAACGACGCTTTGCGCACTTGCAATACTGTAATGCCTCGGCTTGATATCTCCAATAAGTTCACAAAGCTTTTCAACGCCAGGTCTGGCGCTCGGATACTTCTTCAGAACGTCCGCGAAGGTGAGAGTATCCTTTTCCGACATTTTCTTGAACGTCGAGGAGCCATCTGGTGACCCAATGAATAGGAGCGCGTGCCTGTCTACGCTGGAGGTCGCATATTCTGCAAGATCCGAATAGAAAGACTTCGGAGGGCGGCCAAATAAGTCGACTTGCTGCTGAAGGGCCTGAAGAACAGTCCGCGTGTGCATCTTCTGCTCCTCGCCGACAACAGGAATGGTAATAAGTCTATTGTGATCCACGCCATACCACGCGCAGAAGTCCAAAACCTGTGCCTCTTCATTCCAGCCATGGATCCCCAGTGCTTCACCAATGGAATACTTCAACCCAGTACCCGCAGTATCAAATTCGAGGTGGAATACGTTGCGATCGTATTCCAAGGGAGTGAGGCGCTTATTCACTGTACACGTAACGAGATACGTATGATCCGGAATTTCTGGGCGCAATGCTCTTAATGGTTGAGCGGAGGGCGAAAATGTTGCTGAGAATAAGAAGTGTTTCGCCGCGTCGTGCCATGAGCCAATTCGACCGGTTTGAATGACGCCTTCAACGTTCTGATCGACCGTGATGGTATTAGATTCAAAGTTCTTTAACAAAGGACTTGCATCCGATGAAACGGGTAGGAAAGAAGTTTCTATTTCCACAATCCGTAAGCCTGACCATGCATGGGCATTGATTTTCAAGAGTGAAAAGCCCTGAACGACCTCGCCATACTCATTCTGGGTCACTTTAAGGACGGCTGCCTCTTCCGCCCCTGGGCCAAGATACAGCCGAAGAAATGAAAGGTGAACGATGAGGTTTTGAACGGCGTCACGGACTGGTCCAGGTGCTCCAGCTAGGTTTGCAGCAAGGCGACTCGAGTCAATGGCGAACACGGTCAAATTTCGCTCTACGATTGATTTGATTTGATCTGCAGGAAGGTTATGGGAAAACTCTGCATTTGTCCAAGATGTGTCTACGAGGATTGTGGAATTCGGTTTGGCATACTGGAGCAACGAATGCGACTTGAGTAGGCTTTGGTCCAAAATAGCCAAAAAGTCCGCCTCGCCATTACTCAATGGGTCCAGTGGTAATGCCATAGCGACGGGAGGTATGGAGGTCAAATTGCTCCCGGATGCCAAAAGGATGCGATGGGCTGCAACCCCGCCTGATTTTGAAAATGCATCGTAGTCTGTGAGAAGGCGCGCAACCATGCCTCTGTTTGCGAGGAACAGCTCCTGGACGGCATGGGCAATCCGTGACAACGAAGAGTAAGGAGTATCGAAGAACAGGAGCTTCCTTAAGGATAAGGGTTCTGCGAGAGGCTTTTCTGCGCGTGTAGGGGCGAAAGTATTGAGAAATTGAAGGAAGGAGTTGTCGTTTCCAAGATAAAGTTGATGCTGCGATGGGGTAGCACGATGGGCATAAACTGAACGATTATTCGTTCCATCCCATAGGGCGCTGAACACGTCCACATACAAATTCCCTTGGGTAACAGAGTTTGGGACGTCATCCAAAACGTGTACGGCTTTGACGCTGGATGGTACGATGGACTGAAGAGTCGCTTCGTCCCAGGGTCGAAGCACGTTGACGATGACCACTCCTAGGCCATTGATTTGTCTGGAGGTCACAAATGTTTTGATTTTCAAGGCCAATAGAGAATTCAACAAAACAACGACCGTGACCGCTTCGCTATCGCCACTGTACTCAAAAAATGAGTATCCCGCGCGGCACATTACATCATGGACGGAGTCTCCGTGATCTTGCGGATCAGGCGGAGCGGTAAGAGAGTGACCGACTTCGCGGGAACTGCTGTAATGGTCAAAGAGGTGAATTGCATGCCAGTTCGTCAGCTGATAGGATATGGCCGCAAAGTCAAGGGTTTGTTGGGGGGTTGCGGAGAAGAGAATGGCGATATTATTGGGGAGGATCGGCCATACAGCCGCGAGGGACGCGAGAGATGGAGATAAAGCAAGTCCCTCTCCTGTAGACGTGACAGTGGGAACCTGGATGACCAACCTGCTGAAGGAGGTCGCGGGAGGTAGGTAGGCGAAAGAGGAGGCCATGGATGCGAGACCCGCGGGGGTGGTGTATGCAGTCAGAACAGCATTTGAACCTGCGTCGTGGCTAGTGCCTTGAGAAAGCCTGCCAATTAAACCGAGTCCTCCACCAGCCCTTGTCTGGAGCTTGAGGACAGTGGCGATCTCTTTGCCTGCTTTTGACCACTTGTCAGTCAAGGTACCGAACCCGACTTGCTCAGCAACGTCATAAAGATAGACGGCAGAGGATGTCCTGGACTGAGACGCAATGTGTTCTACTAGATGGTAGGCCGGTATGTGATGATTTTCATACAAGGTCTTGGGTATTGCTGATTTTTTTGGGTAGGGAGAGGGTGGTGAAGAAAGTGTGGTTGTTGAGGATATCGGAGTCGACCAGCCAGAGCCATTCAAAGACATGATTGTCGACGAGGAAAGAAAGGTCAACGCAAAGAGATGCAAAGTTACGAACGGAAGCCCACTCGGAAATAAAATCTCCGTCGGAATTCATTTCTAGCCAAGAAAAACAAAAATTGAGCAATTCGTGCTCACGATCGCGTCTTCTTGTCACGTGAACGGAAAGCTATTCCAAGTTGGGAAATGATATTACAAACAAAGAAGCTATCCCCATTTGGGAAATGATATTACAATTGAGGATCTATTTCCTACACCAATGTTACACCCCTTCATCGTACAATAACCGTATTGAAAAGGCGATCACCCTAGCAAAGACGTCAACTTATAGTATGACTTTAATTAAATAGGACTCAACAGTATCGCCAAGACCAGGGCTTATGATGCCCTCTGACGTCAAAATTTCATCCACTCCAGCGACCCAGATCTGTGAAATCGGTTCATTGACATTAACATCAAAACAACAACTAATTACCTCGAGGTCAGGATATTCGGCCTGGACGTGGTTCAAGCCATCTTGCGATGCTAATATGCATAGCAACTTGATGTCCTTGACTGTGTTTGGGCGTAACGTTTTAGAGACGACCATGGTTTCGTTTGAGGCCTCACCAGGAATACCCCAATCTACAATCATCGCAAGTGCTGCGCATGCTGTACCACCTGTAGCGATCAAAGGGTCAAGCAAAAAAACGTTGTCGAGAGCGGGAGAAGGGGGAAGCTTGGAATAATCTACATGTCAACTGAGAAACGTTCGGACAAGGAGGAACTTCTGGGCCCACATTCGACTGGTTGGAGGGTCACCTTCTCACGGAAGAGCCCAAGATGGTATACGGGTGCGGCTCTGAGTCGACGAGGTCAATCCTGATGCTCACAGCGCGATCTCCATTGACAACTTACGGAAATAGGGTCAGCTAAATTACATATCGATGAGCAATTATAACAGGTAAACCGAATCAAAGAACTGACCAGAGCGTCTGTCATCCCCAAACCCGCTCGCAGGATAGGAGTTAAACCAATCCGTGGCTTTATTTTGGTCCCCGTGAAGGGGCCAACAGGTGTTCTCTGCAATCATGCAGGTCAACATCAACGAAACAAGGCCGAGGCCGAAAATGCGCTTGCATCGTCGAAAGACTCCTCTTCAAGATTTCGACTGGCTTCATAGCCCAGCAGTACACTAATGTGTTGGATACCCTGCCAGATGTCGATGAGACGATGAGAATCGTGTCCTTTGATTAACCCATGCCTCGCGAAACTCCTTCGACGATGTTGATGCCTGCCTTAACTTGGAGAGCTCTGCGTTGATCAGAGGATGAGAAAGGAGGTTGACGTTCTTCGACATCGTTTCAGAGATTAGTGCCAATCGACAGAAGGAAGGGTTGGTTAGCGGTAGGGAGACCAAATTAGCACAAGTAACGTGATCATCCTAACTCAAACGTCGTGGCGACCACCTGAGTGAGTGAGTTGAGGAGTATGCTAGCACCGACAGAGAGATGACCAAAAAGGGTGCTCTGATCAAAGCGAATGGTGCTCTTTGTAAAGATTATGGCATATGAGATACTAATAGATAGGATGCGAATTGAATGATCACCGATTCAGTAACTACTCATCTCCGTTTGTACTCACATGGTTTTAGAGTTCCCGCTTTTGATAAAATCTTCGTCCACTCTTTCTCGGCCTTTCCTTTCCGAGGCAACTTTGTGAATTCAAATAAGGTGAAGTGTGTGTTGTCATTGTTCTGGAACGGTATGTCAAATTTCAGGGAAGATGGCTTCAGGAATATCCATACCTTCGACCTTAATCGGAAGCCGATGGAACTAACAAGACTTTGAAAGTCTCCGACATCGGTGAACCGACTAGTAACTTCGGCAATTTTGAGCTCGCCTCTTTTTTTTTTTTGAAATACTTGTGAGAATGCGTCCCTGGTAAAAAGGGAGTGGACTTACAGGGGTTTCAATATTCTCCACGCCTCTCGAAGACAGTTGGGCCAGTTGGTGCCCATCAAGCTAAGGGCGCAAACCACGACGTCAACAATTTGCCCTTCGCCATTTGACTCCTCCGTTATAGCTCCTTCGGACCCGGGGAGGGGAATTTTACTGCAAGTATCAGCCTCGATAACATAGACGCCGTCAGAAACCAGGTCAAATGATAAGACCGACAAGTCTTTCGGAATCAGGGCACGAGCTAGCGCTGCATCGCCGCACCCTAGGTCGGCAATGACTGTCTTGGGCGGATACCTAGCTAACATCGTTACGTAGTATTCGACGGGGTTGGTTGGCCATGATTGTACTTGATGCCGGAAACCAACGTGATACTGTGCTGAAGAATCAGTATTCGCAAAAAGATTGACGGTTTGATGTCGGTAAACTTGCATCCTCATATACACTTCGATCTTTTTGCATCATAGAATACGCCGTGCGGCTATCCGACTTATAGAGATCTTCGTTTATCATTCTGCTCAGGGGTCAGAGGCGTAAGACCGACAAAGTAAATGAACTCGCACCTGAAGCGAGCACCCCCCAAGCTTCGCTTCATGTCTTTTTGAAGCGGCGTCAGATTAGTTTCATGTTCACCACTGAGCGTAGAGCCAGGTTTCGGTACGTCGCCAGCATCACGCTTAATCTTCTGTTTCTTCGCCGGTCTTTCGCCTTTCTCTCCAGAAATTGCCAGCGGCTTTGGACGTGAAATGATCTTCTTATCGACACTTTTACTTTTGTTCCCGGATCTTGATATGCGATCTTTTGCTGAAGACTTTGAGGTGGCAGGCCTGGTAGTCTTCTTCAAGCGCTCGACAATTTTTTCTATATTAATCTCCGTGGAGAGCAACTGGCTAGAAGTACTTGTTGGGCGCTTGCGTTTTTTTGACGCCTCGTGAAGGGAAGGTGCGGAGGGTAGTGACCAGCCGGGGACGTCAAATAAGACCATGGTTGTCAAGAAGTTGAGGCTCGATCGTGAACCAAGTAGTGTTTATTTACAACTCTATGTATGTAGCGATTCGCGGCTTTGCCGCGTGCACTTCCAGAAAAATTCTTTCTCGTTAGTCTAAGTACCTCTATAAATGTAGATGCCTCCCAAACTCCTCCCAACTCCTCTCTACGGTCTGTTACTTCCAGCCACTCTTAGGGCAAGACGATGCAATCCATGATGACTTCTGACTCCCAGGTACTGTGCTTATAAGCTTAGTTCCACGGTAATTGGCAACCCGGGGCTTGACCATTTCTCCCAGGAAGAAGAGTGGCAGCTACTGGATGACTCTGACTCTGAGGACTCGTACATTCGTTCCATTCAAGAGCATGATTTGATCACTGCCCCGCTGATGACGCGGGAGGCATTTGTTCGCTCAAATCAGTCATTGAGAACACAATATGGTCTTATTGGTAAAGTTTTGGCAATACAGTACGTATGCTGCGCTGTATTCTTGCCCCCCTGTTCTAACTTTGATTTAGCTCAAAGGGAGGTACCGAGATACCAGAAGACCAACGGTTGTACTTGAGCTCAGTGAGTTCTTCAGCCATCTCTTGCTCCTCATACCGAAAAATACGTTGCACAGAATGCTCCCTTCTCCGCCCTTGTATGTGGAGTTCAAGGTACAGGTTTTACTCTCGTTTTCTAGCTTACGATGCCTAACAGCCACGACTGAAGGCACTGGAAAGTCCCACACGGTGGGCACGATACTGGAAAATATGCTGATACCCAATTTCCCACCCATTGGTTCTGTGACCAAAGCCCTTTCTGGGCTTGTTCTACATTTCGGTGAGGGTGGTTCCGGCACCCACCCCAACGAGACCGCTTGGCTCTGCGAGTCTATTTCATCTCTTGTTTCAGGACCGGCCGTGCGTGTGTATGTCTCCCATTCTTCTCTGGCAACTATGCGTGCCGTGTATGCCCCGCTAGGCAATAAAGTAACAGTCGAGCCACTCTATTTTCAAAACTCTGAGCTAGATGCTGCCGCCTTTTTGTCAATGATGGCAATCGGGTCATCTGAATCAGCTCCGTTATACATGCAGGTCGTTTTGGTAGGTGAATGTTGCTGGTATCCGAACAAATGTGACTTATCTCCCCCGTTAGTCTATTCTACGTGAATTAGGGGAACGCTACTCTTTCCAAGCTTTCTTGAAAAAATTAGAGCTATCAAAGCAAAAATTCAATCCTGCTCAGTTATCCGGTCTGGAGCAACGCATGTCTCTCTTGAGATCATTTCTTGACCCGTCTTCCACCGGTTCTGCTAAAAGTCGATTTGCTTCGGGCCAATTGACTATCATTGACCTCTCAGATCCCTTTCTTGATGCAGCCTCGGCGTGTGGCCTTTTCGAAATTATTCTTCGACTCTTTGTTCGAGCTGATGTTGGTACTGGAAAGGTGCTCGTTATGGATGAGGCGCACAAGGTCTGTTCTACAATCAAATCAAAGTACTCAGAATTCACATCTTTGTTTCATAATTAGTATCTGTCATGTTCTAAATCCTCCTCTGGCCTGACTCAGGCTCTCTTGCGTCTCGTTCGACAGCAACGCCACTTGGCAATGAGGGTCATTATCAGCACTCAAGGTAACGTCGTCTTTAATGGGCCTGAATCATCAGTAAAAAGACGTTCATTTAGAGCCGACAGTTGTTCCCCCAGTCTTATTAGACTTATGCACTGTGGCCATTTTGCACCGCTTCTCCTCCCCATCATGGTGGCAGCACCTCATTCAACACGTTTCGGCTGATTTCTCTCAGAGCGATGCATTTGACAAACTGGTCAACCTCCAGGTGATTACTCTCATTGCGTCTAATACATATTTTGATCGTTCAATAACTATGACCCCATCAGACGGGACAGGCAATAGTTTTAGCACCTTCAGCAATAGGTGTCTTTGAAGACAGCGGAGATGTCGAATCGAGCCGGCGCCCTCAACGGTCCCATGACACACTTGGCTATTTTGGCCGGCGATACATTATCATGAAGACTCGCAAGCGGGTCACGCAAGACGGGGGGGCCTCTGTTCTTGTCCTTGACTCCTAAATATCATTCGTTTATCTTGCAGCTTTCGTTTCACCAGGAGTCTACTTACTACTTTAATCAATATTCCAACCATAAATCCTCTCACTGCGCTAGAGGGCCTTGTCCTGACCACGAGCGTTTTTCTATAAAACATAAACATTTTTGATTCCATCCTTTCCTAGTCTACCATCGTTGTAGAGATGGGGGAATATGCTCCAGGCTCGACAGCTGATGATGGTAAGGTTTACTATGCTAATCAAATACCGACATTCGACTTCCCGTTGCGAAGAAAAATTGAGTGTTCCAGGGACTTGTAAGGAAGTTGAGAGCTCGATGCTAACTCCAGGTCGCTGAGAGAAAGGTTCTCTGGAAAAGGACTGTTGCACAACACTGAACAAATAATACCAGCTTGTCGTGACTCGTCGCTTTGATCTCAACTAAGATGAGCTTTTTTAATAATCCTGCCAGTTCATCAACGCAAGGAAGCTCTGGCAGCAGCACCACAGCTTCGGGCCCCGGAGGTGCAGGTATATTCGGCGCACAAGGAGGTGCGAAACCTTTGCTTTCTCTATTTCATTTTGTTGAATCATTTGAGCAGCAACCAGCAATATCTTTGGCGCACCAAGACCTGCCAATACAGGGGGGTTATTCGGCTCTAACGCGCCGAATACGGGTACTGCAGGAGGGCTCTTTGGCAATTCGGCGGCATCGACACCTTCGTCTAGCATATTTGGAGGTGGAGCCGCTCCTGCCTCTACTTCAATTCCCACCTTCGGCGGAAGTGGCAGTGGTACTACAAGTGCAACCCCCTCCACTTCAAACACACTCTTTGGAAGCAGCAGTACGACGGCCGCCAGTTCTACAGCGCCCTCTAACACAAATACCCTTTTTGGCGGAGGTTCGGCCTTCACTCTTCCCAAACCTGCTGACCAGGCTACAAACACTCCAAAAAATACACCCTCCAGTTGTGAGAATTTCCGTTATTCCCATTTTCATCAATTCAAAATAATTTGGATAGTCTTCAATCAAGCAGGTCCTTCAACCACAGGTTTGATACAACGTTCAAATGCATTCTCGATATATCAATGCTGACTATAATTTTAGCAAGCTCTACCAATGCGGATGGATTATCCACCAAGTTAGCTGAAGGTGCGAGCACTGCAGCCAGTACTGCCGCTACATCTGGTGGACTCTTTGGAGGAGGAATTTTTGGAAAACCTGCAAACTCTTCTGCTACCACGCCTCTGGCGGCGAACAAAGATGCTGCCCCCTTAGGTATGGTTCCCTTTTTATATATCCATTTCAAGTATTTTTATGTGCCACGTTCAAAGCTACATCGGGAGGTCTTTTTGGAAATAACGGAAACAAACAATCTGATAAGAAAGATGCTACACAAACGGGTAACTACCTTTGAGTATGAAAACCGTATCCTTGTCTCATCACGTCCCTTCAGCTCCTACTACGTTCAACATTTTTGGTGGTGCCAAGACGGACGAAAAGAAAGATGCACCCACCCGTACGTGTGCGTGAAACATTGTGATCCAGTTGATAAACTGGGCTGCAGCAACCGGATTGAATGCGACAACATTGAAAGAAGTCGATAAAACTACAGGTGAATGCGGCTATTTTATGACGTTGGTTCCAGACTTCATCATTTTTCAGTACCTGGGTCGGCTGCGGCTGCTGCAGTATCAAGCACGACTGTAACCGTTCCCCCTCCATCGATGCTTCGGGGTAAAACGCTCGAGGAAATTGTCAATAGGTGGACCACGGAGCTTGAAACACACGTACGAGAGTTTGGTAGATTTGCCGGAGAAGTGGCTGTATGGGATCGCGCTCTAATTGAGAATGGTAACAACGTCAGTTGTATTTTCAATCTATCTTGGTTTCGCCACTGAGTAGTTTTTAGATAGCAGCTCTCTACAGCCATGTTCTGGCAGCCGAAAGGCAGCAAAATGATATTTCACAGTCCCTCGATCACATCGAACAACAGCAAGCGGACATCGCTTCGACGTTGGACGCATATGAAAAGGTCTCTCAGGAAATTTTAGGGGGACAAGGAGGAAGTTTAAGAACACTTGATACTGGTCCTGCTGATACAGAGCGAGACAAAAAGTGAGCGAATTGCACCATCCCACGAGAAATAGGCAGCCTCATTCGCTCATTTTCACAGTTACATGCTTGCGACCGACCTGCACACGCATCTCGATGACCTCTCTGGTTCTTTGACCCAGATGATTGATTCAGTCAATGCACTATCAATCAGCCAGAAACCTCACTCTGACTCGGGGGATGATGCCATGACACAAATAGCTCAGATTTTGAGCAGTCACCTCGAGAGTTTGCAATGGATCGATGCCGCAGTACGCGAGGTTGAAAGCAAGGTGACAGACGTGGAGAAGCGTGTGAGAGAGTCAGGGCACAGCACTCCAGCAGGGGCGAAACCCCGGGGCTTTGGTCTTAATCGGTAACCGTTGGAAACTTTGTGCTTACAAAAATGTCAAGTTGATAATCAGCAACGCATTTTTATTTTACAAAACACTGTATCTCCCAGTTGCTGTTGGATTGCGCATTTCTGCCTGCAAGGCAGCAGCAGATGCCTCGATCAGCAAACGCTTAATCTCCCTAACAGCTTGCTCGACCTGCAAGTGATTCGGATAAATCAGCGCGAACATCGTTTGAGGAAGTATGGATGCTTACGCGATATTCCTCGTTCGACTCCACGAGGAGATGGAGCTTGGGTGGCCCTTCCAAAGGAGGCTCTTTGCCATGATCGTAATAGATACCTCCACGTGCGATGTTTATAATATGTCAATGAAGAAATAAATTGACTCACCCTTGTTAGTAACTGACGCGCCGGTCATGTCGATGAGCTGCAGGGCGTTAATAGCGTGCAAGAGAACAAAGATTGAACAGTGGCTGACCTGGACCATAGTCTCCTTATTCGTGACACGCCAACGAGCCTTTTGAGGGTAATCATTGATGGGTATGATGGCATGGAAATCTGTCGAGTCAGGATTTGCTTTTCTTCCGCTCGTGTCTTCTGCCTGAAGCTGAGATTGCTGAACCAGCTTGAATGCTCTCAACTGAGCGTTCAGCTTCGCCACAACGCTGGAGGCTTGCTTGTGTGCTGCAGTATCTTTTCCAGCACGAGCCGCTGCTTCCTCGGCCGCACGCATCTGATTCTGTATCTTCTCTTCTTCTTTCGCATGGGCCAGGCGTCTGGCGGCTGCGATGGCCCCACCGACGCCAAGAAGACCTTTCGAAGAATCTGGCGCTGGACCGCGTTTGATTTCAACCTTGAAATTTCCGAAAGTCATATCATCACCACTGGATGCTGTCGCTTTGGCAGCCATCTCTTCGGCTGGCGTAGGTTTATCCTCCTCTCCTGGCTCTCCATACGCCTTACGTTCGGCCTTCTCTCGAGCGTCACGTTCCTTGTCTAATCTATCGAGGCCTTTGCCACCAAAGCCAGACCCAGCCGCTTGAGCCTTGCCTGTCTTCAACTTGTCCAAAAAGCCTGCAGCAGTGTAAGGTAGTCCTGATCATAGCTATATCGTGCTCACCATTTGCAAGTTCCTCCAAATCCTTGGGTATGGTGGCGTTGCTGGCTTTGACTGCCCGATAGATATCCACCGAATATCTTTCCTGCTCGGGTGTTATGAAAGTCACGCAGGTTCCCTTATTACCAGCACGTCCTGTCCGTCCAGCACGATGAACATAATCTTCCATATGATTAGGCGCGTCATAGTTGATGACCAGCTTTAATTGCTTCACATCCAAACCCCGCGCAGCGACGGAGGTGGCGATCACGATAGGTACAACTCCAGATTTAAAATCGGCGATGGTGGAGTCCCGATCAACCTGATCTTTACCACCGTGTAGGGACATACAAAGATACCCTTTTCGCATGAGTTCACGAAGGAGATTGTCAGCGGCTTCCTGGCGATCAACGAAGACTAGGGTACGGCATTCCGGGTCTTCATTGTACATTTGACCGAGAATTTCAAGAAGGCGATTGAACTTGGTATCTTCTGGGCGTACTTCGACAATCTGTTCAATCTCTGCAGCCACGACAGATCGACCGCCGACAGTGATTTCTAACGGTTTATGAAGAATTTTTCGAGCCAGAGAATCCATCTGTTTGGGAAATGTAGCTGAGAACAGGACGGTTTGTCGATCTGGTCGAATGTTATTGATGATTTTCATGACCTGGGGTTCAAAACCCATATCAAACATCCGGTCAGCTTCGTCAAGAACGACGTAGGTTACTCGTTTGAGATTTGTGACACGACCTGAGTTGGCGGTTAGCAGATCGATCATACGCCCTGGAGTACAGACAATGATTTCAGCTCCTTTTTTGAGTTCTGCAATCTGGTCCTTGATAGGCGAGCCCCCATACGCACAGACAGCCTGCAATACAGCGAACTTTGTCAATGTGCATGACCCAGCGTGAAGTGGCAAAAACGTACGCGTAGATTCAACACTTTTAGAAATGCCTTACACTCCTTATGAATTTGAACAGCAAGTTCACGAGTTGGAGTCATCACCACAGCAATTGGACCCTCCATCTGTTCAAGAGAGCGCTGATCTTTGATATGACGAAAAAGAGGCAGTAAGAATGCGATGGTCTTCCCTGACCCAGTCTTGGCAACGCCAATAACATCTCGCCCAGACATTATTGCGGGAATCGCCTGTGCTTGTATGGAAGTGGGAGCCGTGTAGTTCAGTCGCTTAATGACATCTAGACTGAGGAGTAGAGAGAAGTCAGTCCCGGAGAGAGCCACTATTTCTTGACGCACCAGTTCGCTGGTAACCCGAAGTGACTCCATTTTGTGACGGGTTTTGGACAATCAATGCCACGAATTTTGATACTATCAAGTTCAAGCCTAAGGAACTCAGCTTCTTCCTCTGTCATCGCCGCAATATCGGGAGGAGGGATATAGAACTCCTTTCGAAAAGGTTCATAACGTACTCGTCCGTGGTCGACCGCTGCAAGTTCCTTTTTTTTGGCCTTCTTGGCTGCTAGCGCGAGAATATCTTCAGGATTGAGATCGGTGGCGTCAAGCTCGTCGGGAACGACGCTCTCTATGACATCCTCCATGCCGTCTTCAGCCATTCTCTCGTCCAGCCTTATTCTAGATCTGCCGCCTTGTGCCCCCACCACCTTTTGCATATCTTCCAAATTAACCTTTTTGACTTCAGCCTTTACTTCAGTCATGAACGCATCCAATGGGTCAACGCCGTCCTCATCATCGACTTCCATGGCATCCTTTGCCTTTGCTTTCAAGGCTTGATCCATTCTGTTAGCTTCTTCGTCATCATCATCCACCTCGAGATCCCCTACACCGGTTGCATCCTCAGTCATTGTCATGTCGATAGCTGGCATGTCCCCTAGAGTCTCCAATTTACGTTGCGACTCTTCAGAGTCATCCAAAGAGGCAGTAAGACCTTTTGCAGGATTCGCAAATTCGGGTTTGAGGGGCAAGCCCTTGAGGCCAAGCCCAGTGAGAGCGGCACGGTTGAGTTGACCAGCTGGCTTCGACGTAGCGACAGGTATAGAAGCTGTGGGGCATGGATCAAGTGATGTGAAACCAAGAATACTCTTACACAGATCCATGAACACTCACATGGAGCAGACTTTCCAGCTAGCGCCATGGCTTTGGCCTTGGCCTCATCTAAAGCTTTTTTTGCCTCCCTTTCCTTTTTCCACGCTTCAAGCTTGGCCCGCTTCGCCCTGAGCTTTTCGTCTTCCGGTGGGGGCGTTTGGACCGGCTCATCTGTTGGCTGAGGGCGTGGTGGAGTTGGTGGGCGTCGGTCGCGTGAACGGGAGCGTCGCCGGTTATCTCTCCTCTCATCACGGGTACCATCTCTATACGAATCCCTCCTCCTGTCGTCTCGATATCTATCGTCGCGGTGGCGATCCCTGTCCCGGTACCTGTCTCTGTCTCGGTCGTCTTCATGCCTCGACCTAGTTGTGCTGGGCCTTTGGGTATTGCGCCTCGTCGGCGAGGGAGACCGAGGAGAAGAGCGATAAGATGGTCTTACCCGTTTGTTTGAAGGTTCCGGTGAGAAAGATCTGTCTCTGCGAGCCATAAGGAAAATAGACGTGACGATACAAAGCAAAGGTATTATTTGTCTCTGTTTCTTTTGGAGGATATAACTTTACTGGCGCTGACGTCAGCTAGCTCAGCGCACTAAGTAATGTCTCCTTCTGATATCTTTGACCCAGCAGCATTGATCTCTCTGCTGCCAACCCTATTGCCATCGTCTTCGAAATCACTTTCTTCTCCTCAAGATGCAATTTCAGCCCTTATACACACTGCTCTAACCGTCTTGGCATTTCGATTGATATCTGTAGACGACGACGACTCTGCCACACTCACCGCCAACTCTCTTCCGCCTCAATGGAATAAGGGTGGCCCAGGACATTACACCTTCAAGTATAAACATGACCAGAGTAGTCTTGATTTTGTCATCAAGATATCCAAACTCGGCCCGCGCACAGTCGTGAATGCGATTGCTTTCCAGGTCAGTACACACTCCCTTGTTACCGACGTCAATCTGAGTGCCAACAATAGAGCGACAAGGTTGCGACTCTGGACTTTTCTATTGATGAGTTTACATCGCCGTCTTTCTATCCGCATGACATCGATGTAGCAAACGGGCAACCTCTTGTGCACGGGTTCATATCATCCACCCGTGTTAAAGATTTGATGTCACTACTCAAACTCAACATTATACAAAAATTAATGCCTAGCCTGCAAAAGGAGGGTTACATGGAAGAGATATCCGGTAGTTCTAGCTCCACATCAAACAATCCACCTCCCGCACGTCCAGTCAACCCTCCGTATACGCCGTACCAGCCACCCCCTCCTACACGCCCCGCCCATAATCCGTTAGAGATTGGCCGGCGGGATTTGGATCCATTTCCAATCAACCCATTTGCGCCGCCTCCCCTTTTTCCGCCTGGCAGTGGCGATGGTATGCTTGTAGGGCCTAATCATCCAATCTTCGGTATGAACAGGGATCGTCGACCGAATCAAGGGCCCTGGGGTGGCGACGGATTCCTGCCACCTCTTGGTGCACCCCCCGGGGCAAGATTTGATCCTGTCGGTCCTGACTTTTTCCCCGACAGAAGTGGACTTGGACCTCTTGGTGGTGGAAGAGGCGGCCGGTTTGGGGGTGGCAACACGCAAGGGCCAGACAATGACGAGTTTATGCCTCCCGGTTCGGTGAGTTGTTTAGTTCTTTTTTCTTATCCATGGCTCATCGACGACGCAGGGTGATATGTACATGTAATGACCTTTTACTTGATGTTTCCCTGGTACGATGTAGTTATAGATTGTATAATACTCAGGCAATTCGGCGAATAACGATGCCATCAAAGTTGTACTTAGTTATTGTCCCGCTATTGACTCCGCATTTCCTCTTCAACACGTTAAGTATCAGACTTCACAAGCTTCACAATCGGTCTCCAACTCCGCCAGCAACATGTACAGTCCACCACCGTCGTCACCGATATCGCCCATTCGGAACAGGCAACCCATACTACCAGGTTTCCGACCATCCCCAAGACCAAAACAGCGCCCTGTACCTGAGATGACCGTTCGTGAACTACAAGACTTGCATAGCTTGAATGCAAGGGTTCTCGCGTCGCCGTCCGTCTCATTGATCTGCTACATCTACCGTATTTATCTAATCATCCTGCAGGGGAGCTTCAACCTCCACACTCATCCAAAGGGTATTAGCTCAGCAATCTGCTGTAGAATCGCGGTTGATTGAACTTGAAGGAATGGAATCTATCAATACAGGATTGAAAAGAACTATGATCAGAGGTGAAGGAGATATATTGATAGATGCTCCACCCGAACCACCCACAAGTAGGACAATTGAAGCAAAGCGGAAGGCACTTTCTCAATTTGTTCGTCTTGATCATTAACTTTCTTTGCTGTTACATCTCACGCAAATATAATTCGTGTAGGGACCCAACAACGAGTCAATTCGCACTAATACTTTGACGATGCGGGAGGCTATCGATTTGGAGCGTCAGGCACATGCCCAAGACCTGGAGAGGCAGCAGCGGATAATCGAAAAGAAGAAGCGTCTTGGAATGCCAATCAAAGGAGAAATCCTGACCAGGCAGGAGAGAGAAGCCCGTATCTGGGCATTTATGTATGTTCGCATTTTCAAGAATGTTTTCATGGGGTACTGATAACGTTCAGGAATCACAAACCCACAGAATCAGATCTCGAAGACGATGATGAGGATGAAGATGAAGATGAAGACCCTGCGTCATGGTTTGAGGATGACCAAGACGACGGCCGTAAAGGGCAAGATATCATCGAGCCAGATATCGGAGATCTTACAGACATAATTCGGGTCGACGAAAGCAGACTCTGTTATAACACGTTATACAAACCTGGATATGAGGGCGACTAATGAACATTCTTTCTTCCTCGATTTTGTCAAGAACCAGTGCGATACAAAGCGATTGAGCAAAAATTGTCAGGGTGATCAAACTGTGTCAAGGTAAGTCTGCGCTCACCAGAGAACATGAGCATTCAACGACATCTGCATGATGTGATTCATATTGTCATTGGGTAGTCTATTAAATTTGCAAGGTATCATATAGGGTACACCCTAACTAAAATTGACCTAAAAAAGGGTAGTATTTTGGACGCTCTTCAACGCGCGTGCACTGGGCAATCTTTTCCCCGTTGTAACCAACAAGACAGGCAAGCTAAGGGAGATTGAGCAGGTGAGAATAACATTGAGAAGAAACAAACCACTGTGAAAACTGCAGAAACAGCTTAGGCGCCCGACCGAAGTTCCTAGCACCGAAAATTAGAACCATTCCAGAAGAAATTGCTATCATTCACCTTTGACGAACTCTCCTCCCAAGCAGATGACACCTAGATGGCCTATGAGAATCGAAAATATCACACGACTACTAGCTCACACTGAATGCCGATCAAGGGGCTTGCCGCTGGGAGACAATATACGAAATACTTGGCGGCTTGGGGAGTAGAACCGGATTCGCCCTCTAAACAACGCTTGACGTGAATTTCTTGCTTTGACGATCCTCCAACGTCGTCGAGGTTTTGGTTGCAAACGGGACAGCTAAAGACGGACAAAAACAAAGTTTGTTAACATCCGGTAACTAGATGATGGCCACTAACTCTGCCAGATCACTGAGCTGCGAACTGCGTTGCATTGTCGTCAGGCGTCCGGGTATCGTCAGCCTCTCTTGGTCAACAATAACACACTCCATGGATGTGCCTCCGTCACGTAACTTGTCGGGGCGATCTGCGTTGACTTCATCAAAACATCCTTGACAAAGGCGCTGTGGGGTCGCGGAAGCTGGCACGTCTGGTGATGTAGGGTCGTAAACAATATCCGAAGGATCGAGTGACGCCCAATGCGATGAGCAACGATCGCAGAATATCCGGCCGCATTTACGGCAATGCTTAATAAAATGGTAAAGATTGAGAAAAATTGCCGGTAAACTACAACTTACATGCTACTTCACAATCAGTTTTATTATAATGAAGGGGGATGTTCGACTTACTCGACGGAGAATGAAATTAAACCGCCGTTGACATTCACGACATTGTTTCACGCTTTCATCTCTTTCCCACTGCGCATTTGACCCATGGGGAGAAGGAGAGATCCATTGATGCGATATCACCTTTTGAGGTGCCTCACGCGTAGGCACGCGAAAGTCCGGTGCTTGTGAGAGCTGGGGAGTGAGATCTGCAGGGACACGAGAAGTTCCTGGTCGAGTGAAGTGATCAGTAGATGCAAACGAAGTCGAGGACAGTCGGGCCATCTCGCGTGACGGAGGAGAGGTTGGGTAGTGAAATTCCTCATCGGAACTGTTGTCACCACTATCAAATTGTTCATCATCTACATCATCGACGATTCAGCGCGTATTTGCAATCAGGAAAGTGATATGCACCATGTTCGGCAAGGAGGCCCAGAGCGCCGGCGGAGAGCCGACGACGTTCAAGTTCCCGACTATACGCATTGAGGAGTACTTCCGCTTGAATTTTGCGTTCGGAATCGTCATCTCCTACCAAACCATCAACTTCCCTGTTGTAGCAGTTTGCTCGAAATGCCTACCGAGAATTCCTTGCCTTAACTCCGTTGTAGAGCGCTCTAAATTGGCAATGGCGCGACGGGTCTCAACAGCAGAGGTAAGGGCCGCATTTGAGTCGAGATCCTGGGAATGTTTCTCGACAAGATATCGTGCGCGCGCCACGTAGTCTTGTGCAGAGGACAAAAATGTAGAAGCCATAGTTCCAAGCTCTTGCCCATCGCTCGGATCATTTTGGGTCTCTTCGATAAAAGGAATCAATGAACCGTCGGCCTCAAGATGATACATGGCACCATCAGGTTCCAGGAATGGCAGCGGCGGGATATCTAGTCTACGTCGCATGATACGGACCCAGCGTCGACGTCGAACCCAAGTGTGAGTAACCCGACCAGGACTTGAAGATGACAGCGATGCGCTACGTTTCGAGGTCGAACCACCATTACCGTGTAACATGCGTTCCAGGTGAGGAGGTTTCTCAGCAACCCAACATTCATCTGATTCACCAAAGGATTGAGCATACTGCCATCCTTCCTGTGGATCAACAGCAAAATGAGATATGTCGAGGATCCAATCGGAACTAAGAAAAAAAATCATCCATCGTGACGCAGCACTACAAGAAACTGGACTTACAGCCAAAAGTGACTCCTCTCAACATTTTCTGTGACGGCTTCCGGCTTTGGCAATACCCAAGGAGCTTCGCGGGCGGGCAATTGCACACCACTGCGCCACGCAGCAATCTCTTGTGCGCCAGTATCATCATCAGGCTTTGGTAATTTCAACTCAAAAGGCGGACGACGTCCATGTCGGCCTAGTCCAGAGGCAGAGAACTTGGGCCGGCCTCTGGTATCAAGACGTTGGTTTTCATACAAGAGTAAAGGCAACGTGGTGTGAACTAGGAGGGGATTATACGGGGTTGGCGAAGCATGCCATCGTTTGGATTCGGCTTGTTGAAGAACCTGGAAACTGTGTGCAGACAAAGCGACAATCAAACGCCTGAGAGCTTACCTCGCATATCCATACCTCGAACACAGCAGCTGCCACATCATAAGCTGTTTCACCCCATTTGTTTCGTACTAACGGGTTTGCAGACTGCTTGGTCAATAGGTACAGCACAACGGGCAAATGCCCCTTTGAAGACGCGTTCACTGTTGCAGCCTTTAGTATATCATTCACTAACTGTGCGGATAACCTCACTCAATGGCGTCCAACCATCATTGCTCCGCACATCTACCCCAGAAACTCCATTTTTTGTGGACGCCGCGCCGCCATTTTCGCAGAGCCACATCACGATATCAAGATAACCCTGCGAAAATCAATTTTTATAGGAATGAACGTGAAAAGTATTGTGCTCACCTTGGAACATGCATTGTGCAATGCAGTCCAGCCATCGGCATCTTGAGCATGTACATCGGCTTTGCCTGGTAGCAGGTAACTAACTATGGATATGTGGCCATGGAGTGCAGCTTTATGGAGGGCCGTCTGACATCAAGATGAGAAAGTGAAAGCGTGCATAGCACGATATCACTTACTTCACCTTCCCTATCCTCCAAATCTGGCATTGCACCACAATCATCAACAACTAGAACACGGTGAGTACCCGGAAGGGGGAAGAAAGCAAGAGGCTCACGCCATGTAACTATATCAAGATATCCACGACTAGCGGAAGCATGCAGAGCAGTAAACCCCGTTCTTGACGACGCGTCATTAGCCAAACTAAATGGCTGGACATCCCCAGTCTCAGTCGCGCTCTTGAACAGTCGCTTCAGAAGAGTTAAGTCACCCGACGAGGCGGCGGCATACAGTGACTCTAGTTGTGCCGGTGTGGGATGAATCTGACGTGGGGGAGTGGCTTCCCGAATATTACTACTCGAGGGGGCTGGGTAGACGAAGTGTTCATCGTCGCCGTCGTCACTGAGTTGCATTGTAAAAGTGAGAAATGGAAGTTTTGCCAACAAGTAGGATATAACACGTGACATGTGAGATTAGCACTATCTTAGTATCTATTACGACTAGCATTATTATCACTGGTATCATTAGTACTTACTAGCTACTAGTCAGGTAATCTTCACACCATTTTATGATCATCCGCCGTTTTACCGATTTTTTCCGCTTTCCTCGAGCTCTGTCAACAATGTCTTCCACTCAAGATCGTTCAAACCTCGTCAAGTTCTCCTCACGTCTGAAAGAAGGCAGAGCCCTTGCACTCGATGTCTGGTCCATCTTTAGGTATCCTTTTCCTCATACTTATCTTTCCTCGTCATCTCACTTCCACAGCGCCGCCAACTTACCCGCCGATTGCATCAACCTGGGTCAGGGTTACATGAACTTTGCCCCTCCCACTTGGATCACAGCTGCCGCCGAAGACGCTTTGAAATCTGTCGCACCCAATCATTACTCTCACCCTCGCGGTCGGATCCGCCTCAGGGAGGCCCTCAAGGCTTTCTACAGTCCTCAGTTTCATAGGGATCTTGATGTCGAATCCGAAATTCTTGTTACAAGCGGGGCAAATGAAGGTGCCGTTATACGCAAAAAGTTCCCTGTTCAATCTCAAGTTGGGCTTCCTAGGTCAATACTCAGTCTTCACCGCGTTCCTCGAGCATGGGGACGAAGTCATCATGTTTGAACCTTTCTTTGATCAGTATCTCCCCTCTGTAACCTTCAATGGAGGAAAGCCTGTCTATGTACCGTTGCATCCACCTTCACCTTCAACGAACAAGCCAACGAGTGATGATTGGACCATCGATGTTGACGAGCTGAGGTCCTTTGTCCATATCGTCTTGTGGAATCCTTTTGATGTCCAATCCAGGGCCGCCGTTACTTCACGCACCAAAATGATTATCGTAAACACTCCTCACAATCCTGTTGGAAAGGTATTTACGAAGAAGGAACTCGAGGCCATTGCGGCTATAGCAGAAGAATTTAATCTTCTAGTAATGGCAGATGAAGTGGTGAGTTTTGAACTTTTTTTTTGCATTTCCTTCCTTTAGTATGCGTCTAATGCTGATGCTAACGCCTATTTCAGTACGACTGCCTAGTCTTCGACGGAAAGGAACACATCCGTATTGCCAACTTACCTGGAATGTGGGATCGCACCGTAACTGTTGGTTCTGCGGGGAGTAAGAAAGCCGTCCCCATATTCTGCACAATTCCAACTGACTTGCTGTGGCTAGAGGCGTTCGCGGCGACTGGCTGGCGAATCGGCTGGCTTATCGCTCCCCCATCAATCATACAACCTACATTGGCGGCCTCCACTCGCATTATCTTCTGTACAAATTCTCCCTTACAGGAAGCCGCTGCCTGTGGCTTAGAGCAGGCGAAGGAACGTCACTTCTTTGAAGTTCAGCGCTCCGAATATGATGCAAGACGGGCCGTTTTATCCCACACTTTTGATGCGCTGGGTTTAAAGTATACTTTGCCTGAAGGAAGCTACTTCATTCTACTGGTTAGCATTTGAACAATACTTTTGGATCGCATTCTCAATCACGGCCTTGTTGCAGGATATTTCCAAAGTGAAGTTCCCAGACGACTACCCCTTCCCGCCAAGTGTCCTCGGGAGAGGCAGAGATTTCAAGTAATTGGGGCATCAGATTCAATGCGAAGTCTGACCATGACAAAACAGGGCTTGCTGGTTTATCGCAATCGAGATAGGTGTCTCATCCATTCCAGTCAGCGAGGTGCGTAGTGGCCGGCATTTTTTAGTGTTGGGTTACTTTACGAGCTCAACATTACATTTTAGTTCTATTGTGAGGAGCACGCTAACATCGGAGAGGCATACGCACGCTTTGCTTTCTGTAAAGATCTTGATACCCTTCACCGTGCTGCAGAACGGTTTCAGCGATTACGGAAATACATCCATGATTAACCGAACGTGTAGAGTCTCGGTTTCTCAAGAAGTGTTTACTAGTAAATTTGTTTCAATGATAGATTTGTCAAGCTGTTCCCCCATCGTCGTACAACAAATTGTCAACGATACGAGACAAACTTTCATCCCGCTTGGTATTCGAGAATCCGTAATATGACGGATTACTGGCGATTCTGCGAGAAAGGAACGTAAAGGACAGAATATCCGTAAGCTGCTGTTTGCTGGCAATATCTGGAGCGACAACACGCTGTGTCTTGCACCAAGATTCCAAGACGGGTGAGTCCTGAAGCTGAGATTCCAGTGGTACTCCGTCGTTCAAGAAACGCATGAGAGTGTCCAAAGCTTCCGCTTGGCAGAAAAGATGAAAATGACCTGTTCCTTTGTGTCGGACGGCCCGGCTTTGCATACGAACAAGCTCCGTTATGCTGTAATCCTGAATCTGCCGCGAGTTGTCTCCTGGTTCCACATGCGTGTACTGAGTGCCCATCACAACAACAACGGCGGCTCGTAAGGGTAAGCTCCAGCAGGACACTCTCGGGACGATAAGCACACGCAGGATACCTTCGGCGTATAATTCAAGCATTATATTACGATCACCCCTCTTGATTCCACCGTGAAAGAATCCAACTCCTTTTGAGATAAAATCAATCAATGTTGTATCTTGAAGACGGGCACAATAGCTTTGGAGGAATTCATCGGCAACGTCGTTGGGGAGATATCCCCGCGCGGTCTCCGTCTCCAAAGAACACTGAGTGATGAGTTCCAGGGCGATCGTTCTAGATTGACCTCGCGAAGGAACAAAAATTATAGCAGATTCCTCGAGTGGAACACTGCGGATTGCCGAGTGCGCCGGTTTCGCCATCGCTTTAAATAGTGAAGCAGAGTGTGGTATGGTGAAAGTCTGCGCCGAAAAGGATAAAGACTGGTCCCGGTCGCGGGGACGAAAGCTACATATCGCGATCGGGTCGACACTGATCCAATCAGCCAAATCCACTGGGTCATTGATCGATTGAGAAACACCAACGAATCTTGTGGGAGCGGACTGAGTAGCGAAACGGAGAAGCGATATTCCAAGTTCATAAGTGGCATCCAACTGCTCTAGATTCTCACAGATCACTAGGTCTAACCATGGAATGGGAGTAAACGGGTTTCTGCCCGACAGAAGACGAAGTAGATGAGCTGATGTTGCAACGCGAATAGTCGGAGTCTTCGGCTGGACAAGAGTTTTCTCATCTACGCTATATTCCACCGTGCAACCAACGGCTTGTGAGACAAGTTTCAATTCGGTGACGGTTTCTGTCGCCACACTGCTCTGAGGGGTGACGATCAGAGTACATCCACCGTGAGCCCTCAAGGTGTTTGACCTGAAAAGCATTGAGACTGTGATTGTTCTGGATAACCGGAAGCATACCAAATCGCAAGTTGCACAAGGGCAGATTTACCACCACCAGCAGGTGCACAAAGCAACGAGTGCAATTTTGTGTTTGAAAGCAACCAGAAACACTGTGTTTGGATATTGTTGAGGGTGTCCAGCCGACCCGAAAGCGCCTCTACAACCGAATTATGGCAGACGGAAATCGGGAGAAACGGCAGGGTTATTAGAGACGAGTGGCACTGAGGGGGGTCTGGCATGATCAACCCATCCAAGGGAACTGGGAGCTCCATTTCTGCTCCCACCCACCGATCTGAAACCCATCTCAGCGTTAGGGACGGCGGTGGATGGCCGTCAGGTATCGCAACTACAAAATCCACCTTGAGGAAACTCGACGTTTGGTGGAAAGCAAGGTGAGTCATTTGAAGGATGGTCAGACCTTCATGATCTTCTACCCAAAGCCAGAAGGGTTCAGCTGATCCATGCGCTTTAATATTCCACGTAAATGCGCGTTCCACGTGTAAAACGAGTTTGAGGACGTCACTCCCGAGAGGCTTGAGGTCATAAGTAATCCTCGCTACAGGAAACTGCTTCGCAGCATTAAGGATTGCAAGGCCGTGTTGTTCATTCAAGTGCACTAGCTTGCCTAGCGCAGTGGCGTCAAGACTGGCCAAATCCATCACAGAGCACTCGTCCGCCCATTCCTGTAACGCATGTAAAGATTCGGGCTTAAGTGCAAATTGCTTCAAAGGTTGTTCAAAAGGCCAGAGGCGTTTTTCAACAGCTTTACTTAAGCCCATCAAGATCGCCGCAACATAGGACCATTTTCGGCTGATCGCTATCTCAAGAAGCGCACGTACGATGCGACCGCCGTTTTGAGCCGCGTATGCCATATCAGAGACCAAGGCAAAATCTTCAACGACTTCGCGTGAGATGAAAGCCTGCAACAAAATGTTCACCTTTCCAGCGCTGGTATCGGTACCACCCTATAGAATTAATGTCAGTTAACGGCTGAGCACTATGAATACACGGTTAGAGAACCTTGACGTCGCATGGTATTCGTCCCATAAGCATCTCCAGCTCCTTAATTTCTGTTTCGCGGACCTGAATTTGCTCGAACTGGACTCCCTTTCAACAAATGCTACGGGAATGAATACAAAGGGGGACTCACTTCCGTACTTCTGCATAGCATGGCTAGAATATCAGCCTCAGACATTTTGGGTCGAAAATTTTCATTGAAGATCTCAATTGATGTATGACGGATATAATATTTGGCTGCAATTCTTCCCAGGTCGCTGATCGTAAACCCTCCACTTGGGCGATCGAAAAGAATCATGCGTGCATCTGCTAACTTCTTCGCGGCCTCGGTGATCAATTCGTTCCTTTTGCTCCCAAGATTAGGATCATCGCCAGTCGATTCTCTAGAAATACCTTAATAGAAACCATTAGCAACGAAACGGAATCGAAATAAAAGGGAAGACCGTATATGAAGGGGTTTTTTCGCATCCTCACGAACAAATATGTATACCCCAACCACTGTACAGCATCTCTGGTATTGGCAACCGTTCCAAGAGAAATCTCAGCATTGAGGGCATCTACCATCCCCCCTTTGAATCTTATAAAAACGTGAGTTCATTCACTATTATGACGCGAGAAAAACCGACTGCGATTCAATTGGAAGCTGGCGCGGCCTCATTAGAATCCGTCGCAAATGAACCTCAAAGCCGTACCTGAGAAGTCACCGCATCAAGATAATGCGGGAGCTTGTCCTCAGTTGTGCAGATATAGCCTTCGCCACTGGTCTCCAACCCAGGCCGCCCAGCACGACCAAATACTTGAAGAACATCTAGCACGGACAGGTCAACGAAAGTACCTCTTGAACTGTCGTACACTTGCGTCCCCTTGATAATGACTGAAAGGAATGATTACATGATGATCATCGGGGGACGGTTATACTAGATTTCACTTGCCAGCATGTGCTGGTAAGTTGACACCCCAAGCAAGTGTCGCTGTACAACATAGTACCTGTTCCCATCGGGTCAGCTTAGTTGTGAGTATGTTTCTGTATGATTACCTTGATCGCTCTCGCGTCGAACATCCTCTCCATCATATTTCTGTCAGACCTCAACATACCAGCATGGTGAATTCCAAACCCGCTGTCAAAAAGTTGTTTCATTTCTCGATTCCTGGACTCCCCAATGTCTCGACGGAAAAAGTTCCACTGAGGATGTTCTTCGCAACTAAAGTCTTCCGCATTTCCTTCAAAGAGAGACGTTTCCCTGAGTCCCATTGCAGTTTTCACGGTTTCTTTGCGAGCATGGACAAACACCATAACTTGGTGACCTTGGGCCACTAACTCCGAAACTTTTTGAAAGGTAACAGAATCTAAATTCTTCCGGGATAAAGCACTTCCGGGTTTTCCTTTTATTCCAAGGAAATGCTGTTCGAGTGGTATGGGTCGAAATGATGAATCAAAATAAAACAGACCCTTTTGCCGAGAGACGCTAGAGAGTTTACCGTGAGAGAAGTATCTCGGAAAGGAAGGTCTTTGGTACCACAAAAAGTCCGCGACGTCCACATAGTTCGGAAGCGTAGCACTCAAACCTACGATCCTTATCATTGATTGACTGGATTCTACCTAAAATGCATTTGGTGATTTTCGCATTGGGGTAGGTCATTTGAATTACCTGTCGCAACGTCCGGGCCACAATAGTTTCTATGACAGCGCCACGTTCCTCGTTTAGCAGGTGAACTTCGTCGACTATTAAAAGTTTTATGCTCTACTAAGGTGAGGAGGAATGTGAAGTTCCTTTTAGGAAAAACGAACCGAAGCTAGTTCACCTTCTCCAGTTGGCTTTCTTGTCACAACATCCCACTTTTCAGGAGTCGTGACGATTATCTGAGTTTGCGCAATCTCTGACTTCGTCATTTGCATATCGCCTAGCTAGAAGTTAGCTATAAAATAGGGTGAATACTCGCACTCGTACCGGTAAGTTCACGGACTTCAATTGATAACCATTTCAACCTTTTACCGAGCTTCCGCACAATTTCAGATGCCAAAGCCTTCATAGGTGCACTGGTGCGAATAAATAACCTGCTAACAGAAAATCTGAAGGGGTCCCTACACATAAATAATTTTGAAGGAGTCCCGACGAATAGTATCGCGAATTTGGGAACTTGGATGAGCAATTATTTGATGTTGGTATAAAACACGAAGGATAGTCAACATAGCCACATCTGTTTTTCCCTTGGCGTTTTCAATAACAGAAACGAAGGGTAAAGGGGACCACCTACTGCACCAGTTGGGGCTATTCAGAGAATGAAATCAGTTTAAACGAAGGTGAGGTTAGATTCCCGCATTGGACAAACCGCAAACGAGCAAGTTTTCATTAGATTTGTATGCTGTTGGATAAATGATGGATTGTATACGATTGAGCGTTGAGTAGCCCTGCCATTGCATTAGTATAGATCATCCTCTTAAACGCTTTCAAATTCACCGGAAAGCACCCCCTTGCGAGGTCATCCAGCTCAGCTATCGGTACAAGGCGTTCCATGAGTCGGGGTGGAACCGGTCTCGCTGGCGGGATAATGACTTCTTCATACTCCTGTGATGTTTGAGTAAGAACGAATGTGAAGAGAAACGAAATGGATGGATGGGGACCTCATGCATCTGGCGCACAGTGCCCATAGGCAGCAGATACCTGGTACCAAACTGCGACAAAACATTTCCTTGAGCCATAGGCGTTGAAGTATAAACATGTGGATAGGTCTCTGGTATTGCTTGCTAAATTAAAACAGGCCAAGTTAAACCCCACTAAGCTAGACTGTTGATGGCGAAATACTTACCATGGTACCAGAAAATAGGGGACGAGCTGCATTATCCTCGAATTTTTTTCCCATCCTTCGTTGAGCCATGGAGGCGGAAAAGTAATGCGCATCAGATGCTATTAACAACATTAATAAATGTCATCGCTTAATTGATGAAACGATAGCAATATCATCGGCGAAGGATAACATTACCTTCCGTCTGCTGTAGAGGAATCCCTTCGTGGAGCTATCAAGTCGGAGGTTTTACTAAGCATGGACCGCTTCTTGACAGTTTCAAACGATGTAGAGAAATCTCACCTCCTGCAGAATGGGGACACGTTGATCAAGGATCTCCATCACAAGGTCAATGTCTTCAAACCCAATGATATCAGCTAATTCGCCAGAGATGTCATCGTTGGGCCGGTCGGATGACAAGACGGAATAGAGAGCCTTGAACAGAAACTCGCTGTTTGGCTTTCTGTGACGAAGATACACAGTCAGTCAATTCATTCAAGAATAGCTGATTTGGGACGGACCGACGGAGCTTTGAGAGACAAGGTGTATGTTCGGTCTTTGATGTATTGGTCGTGGTAGGCAGAAAGATTTCATGAAAAACTTCGAGGACGGTATCAGCAGAATTACCGCCATCCTCCCCAATCACGCCGTGTTGGGTTGCGTCCTCGTCATCATATAGCTTCCTTTGAGGGCCTTCAGTAATTCTGTAGGTGTGATGAGATATATCTGTTTGGAAGGAACAATTTCATTTACATTGAAGCCCACTCATTTTCAATCCAGTTGTTGGTGTCCGGCGCGTTCTGAGAAGCACTAACGAGACGGTCGAGGTGGCTGAGAAGGGTCGACATGATGCCGTATTGATTCCAAGTCGATTCGAAAGCCTGAACAGCTTTACTTATGTTGAACGTTTTTACTCACTTTACTGTAGCATTTCGTTCAATTCGACAGGGCCCGTGACGCGTGACAGGCCTGTCGAAATTTTGGTTTCGACAACCACACAAATTTGCCGTGACAAGTCGTAAGTAGTCAGACTATCGTGACGTTTGTCACGAGTGCGTCATCAAATTGGTTCTTGACTCAACAATACATGGTCGTACAAGCCCCTCCCAGCTATGAGCAGATTACACCACAATCGTCTAGCCCTTAAACTTCGCGACTGCATGTTTGGGGCAATCACACTCCTGTTACTCACTAAACCCCAAACAGATGGTAAGTAACCCCCTTTTTGGCAATAAAAACCGTGATATGTATTTTCAATCATTTTTTTGCAACAATGAGGCTTTTAGAAGGTTCCCGTTCTGCTTTCCAATGCCAAGCCTGGTGAGAACATCCCGAACTTCACTTGACCCAGAGGGAGGTCCGCGCTTCTTAGACCTAGTTCTTGACCGTGTCTGGGTAAGCCTGAGGAAAGCATCCCCACCCGTCATTGATGATGCGTGGTCAAGTGTGGAGATAGAAGGCGGTCCTGTTAAGGCCGGGTTGGACATGCTGCTTCGCCCCTCCAAAGCCTCGCGAAGGTCTGTGACTCCCAGCCCTCTGGTAGAACGAGCCAAACTCTGGAGTGAGACGTTTTCAATGTGCATGAGAGCGGGAGATATTTTGAGCAGCGGAGAGATGCCGTCCCCTCTGATCGTCGAATCGTAGTTCGTTAATGTCACGTCGTTTGCTGTTAAAACTTAGCTTCCAAAAAGAGAGATGGTGATGACCATGCTCACAGTTTCTGAGTGCGGCTTCTGCCGTCCATTTGGACGATATCTGGCGATGAAGCCCGTCTTTGTCCATCCCAGTAGCTTCCTGAATGGCCTCACATGAAGCGATGGCCATTAGCGCAGCGTCCAGGTCTACTCCAGGCCAGGAAACACAGGGAAAGGGTGGATGCCCTCCCTCATCTGTACGACTTCCCACAGGAAACAGTGGTGCAGAAGAGAGTGCCTGAGCACTGCTTGTAAGTAACGAAGTGTATAACAAGAAGTCGAAAGTTACCTCTTCAACTAGCTTCTGGAGATCGTCAGAGTTCCAGACCTTGCCTATCACTAATAAGACTCTGGCGATTACTCCTTTCATAAAAATTATGTTCTGTGAAGGAGCTCCTTCATGACCTTCCGTGGCTGCATTCAATGCAAGCAGCATTGGTACACCTGTAAGCAAACCTCGGACAGGTAGGTGCTCCTGAACTGCCGTGAGAATCTTGAGAATATTTGCGTAGTCTGTCGGAGAAGCCATGGGTATTGAGATCACCCGAGACGGTGCTCCTTCAAGAAGGCGTCGGACAAGTGATACTTTTTGCATCCGTGGGCCATGAGGTACAGAAAGGCGACGTTCACTCGCAGGCGACCGGGGTGAGTCTGGCAGGTTGACGTGAGAGGTGTCAAGAGAGATGATTGGATCGCTGGGCGAAGAGGAATTTGGAGGTGGAAGATTGGTGGATGTTGAAGCAGGAGTGATTGTAAGGAGATAAATATAGGCATGTATAGCGTTTAGAAATTTGCTTCCAGAATCGCCACCAAGAGCGAAATGGTTCAAGTGGGCGCCTTCCCCGTGCTTCATCCTACTCGCATTCACATTTTCGTAAATTTTGGGCATCTCTTGAGCCAGATAATACGTAAGCGCATCTGCGTAATCCATGCGCACAGCGTCGTCGCTGTCGCAAACGAGACTAAGGGTGTCTTGCCATACATCAGGAGCAATCCGTGTTCTTCTGGGAAGGCGCTCGTCAGCGCCACGATCTCTCCGAGAGACATTGGCTGAGGAAGAATAAGGTTGCAGTGGGGTGTCAGTATCAGAGGTCGGCGAATTTTGTGCGTCGGCCCCCTTTATGATCTCGGTCTTGTTTGCAGAGCGGATAAGACCCAGTAGACCAGCTAATATGCGTCGTATAGCGGAAGATCTGCTCTGCACAAATGTAGGTTTGTCACGAGCTGAAACACCTTGTACTTCCACTATCACAAGGCGATTGATTAATTCTCCCTAAAATGATTTAAGATCGTCCAAGGTAAGGCGGAAGTAAATCTCACCGCAAGGTCCTGTATTTGGTCCGCATAATACACATGGCAACCCAAAGAAGCAACGCAATCGACCAGTGAAGGGAGCAATGCGTCTTCAGCAGAAATAGCAGTCCGTCGGAGCAAAAGTGTTAAGAGATTGGACATGATGTCAGAAGAAGATAGATTGATGAGAGGGGTTGAAGAGCTGAAGACGGCGGTGACCATGGCGGTAAGCGCAACATGCACAGGCGTAGACGTGGCAGCGTTTTGATTTTCCAGCAGTCGTTCCACGAGCCAAGTCGGAACTACATAACGATATTGATACTGCGCCCAGTCGGCAGTTTTTTTTGCAAACCAACAGCAGTGGCTAAGGCTGGTCCAACCTAGAAAGCTATCAAGACTGTCAAACGAAGACGCCATGATGCATCCCAGCTGTGAGCCGCCGGCATGGTTTAACAAACAGAAGAGAGCCCGCACCGCGGCGTCTGATACGTCACTTTCAGAGGGGCCCTTATCACCATCGATGTGTATATGAATTGAAGCAGCACGCCGTTCCATTGCTGGCCTTGTTCTAAATTCAGCTAAATAGGGAGATGCCGGGGTATCTTTCACCACAGACGCTCTGAACATGATGAGTTTATAACGCATTTCGAAAGAATGAAGATAGTCATGACCTACTGGTCGTCGAGGGTGGACAATGGAGTTTGAAAAAGCACCATCATAATCGGCTGTAACATGACTGAGACTTGAGTTCGAAATTGAGTAGAGTCATTGTATAGAGCTTCGGAATTTAAAGCTCCACTTAAAGCAGCAAACCCAATGAGCCGGCCCCTACAGGGGTTGTAAGATAAGAGTAGCCGGGTAAGGTAAGTCTGTTACCGATTTCGGGACTCCGGGTCAGCAATTTCGTTGCAGCTTAGACTTGAAAACCGCCGAAGAGTTGAAAGATAGTCTTTCGTCATGGAACTGTCCGCGCCAATCAAATGCCCATCTGTATAGGTAGTCCATGCGGTGAACTTGACAATGTGAGCAACATCGAATGCCAGGGCTAAGAGCGAAATACCACACTGGCGGCCCTTGCTACGACTTCTAGGTCTTGAGGAACAGCAGCAAGAGTAACATCCACTGCTGCTATTAGGGATGGTGAGAGGAGAGCGATATCTCGCCTGCACTCTGTTGCAAGGGCTCGGAATATCAGCAGAGAGATGAGAAGAGAGCTTAAGTGGCTATCAGTGATCTAGTTAACGAGGAAGGGCAGAACTTACGCTCTTGTGCGTATATTTCCCGCCTTGGCTTTCCGGCATTCTGACCTCAACCGTCTTTCCAATTCGCTGGCAATTTTAGTCAGCTTTCCCGGATGGTTTGACCTGTGAGAAGCAGAATTGGTGTTGATCTCAAAGGGACGAAGGTAGACTGACGCATAGTAAGTCAAACGGCTAAGCTCATGTGAGTTTGGAGAGTAATCAGGTCCAGCGGTCTGTAATGCAGATCCTGGAGGGTAACACGACTTGAGAAGCTGGATGTGGTTGGGTGTAAAAAGCAGATGCATCGTAAAACTAGCATTAAGGAGCGTTTAGCTGCCAGAGGCGTTGCGAATTAGAATGCTTAGTCTCGGATTGGTCTAAAATAACACAGTGGTAGCTTACATATGTACATATGGTGACGTGACGTAGCAACTTGCTTTGTTTAGTCTTGTTTGGCTCACATAAAAATAAGAAACTGGCGGAAGATTTTCTTTTCGTTACCCTCAACGACTCACCAACTAAGTAACTCACTTGTATATCATCCCATCACCATTTCAAGAATTTTGAAAAGGTACGTGCTGATTTACCAATAACATGTCCACGATGAACTATCGCTGTGCACCAGTCCAAGTGATTTTTTGCTCATTGACGACAACTTCGTTGGTTCCCTTTATACGCTTGGGAATCCCTGATCCTTCTTTTTTTCATTTCTTCCACCTTTTTGAACCTTCTGCTAATCTGCTTGACGTGAACAGCTCAAGAAAGCCTTGGTCTTGACATGAGTCAAGCCCCTTGAGCACTTTTGTAACGGTGTTGTAATCTCATCAATGCGCACATGTAGATACCCTTTAATACCCAGCCCCCCGTACGCACTTACATTTAGGACAATGCCTATCAATCATTTGAATGTGAAATGCAGGATGTTGCGGTTGAAAAAAAGTGTTTTGAACGAGAGGAAGCGTGGTTGACTATCATGATACATCTGTTTACAGGATCTCCCCCATACACCATATCACACATTACTCTGAATGGCGGAATAGAGCCTCTCAGGTCGTCTCCTTCCTGCCGCAATGCTATCGATCACCCACTCTGGCTTCACAATGTGAATCTTGTTCCGTCGGTTTTTCGTTAAAAATATATGGGTTTCCGATGCATTTAAACCATGGGACGTTACGACATGTGTGCAGCGGGAAGCAGCCAATCTGTCGATGAAAGCTATCAGCCTCCATGTGAAAGCAGGGCCAATGCAAAAAAAGTTGCCACTCACTGGATATGTCCCCCAGCTTCGACAACAAGTCTCTTCATCTCAATGTCTGTCGTACAACTCAGGTACCCGTTTATATATACTCGAACGTTTGACAAAACTTTGCGCTCAAGCGTTGAGTTTTTGCAACCTCTTTGTAGAATAAGCTTCTTCTCGCGATCGATAGATGATAGGCGACGGTCTGGACGGTCCTCTGCAACTTGATGGCCAGTAGAAGTGGAGATGACGCGGTCTACATTCAAGGCTAAGTAACCAGCCAGCAGATAGATATGCTTTCAAAAAACCTGAACGGTTGCCGATATCAGAGTGTGTGATTGGGTTGGATGGGTCACCCAACGTAGCAAGCAGTCTCTTGTTTATTGTTGACACTGAAGACCTGGTCGAGTCAAGTCTACCAAGGTCGCTTGCGAGGCGAAAAGACGATGATACTATGATTTCTTTTTCCTGCAACAATCCCGGAGAGCTTACCTTTCCTTGAGAGTGAAATCGGACGAACTTGCAGCAGGTAAGTCAAAACTCGCACTATCTTGTTTCTTGTACGGCTGATAGCGAGGGCTTTTCTGGACTCTCTTAAAGTATCTCTCCATAAATTGGAATTTAAGTCGACTTGAAGGCTAGTTGAGAGTAGGGGCGCCAAGGGGGTCCTAGGATTAAAAAAATAGACCTGGGGTCGATTTTTTTTTTTAAGCCCTACTAGCTTGACCTACCTACCTACGTAATCAGGCACGTGTCCATATATGGTAAGGTGATGTCATCGTCATAATTGCTTTGTCCCTCTACTTGCCTCACAGGCCTCGCACACCCAATTTCGTGGAACAAAATGCAATGTAGATGATACTGGCATATAGGTGAGTGACTAGTAATTTCTGTATGGAATATATTCTTACCCATTGTGTTTCACTAGTGTTTAAAGGTTCAGTTCAGTCCGGTTTTTTGCCCCGAAAACGCGCAACCGTGGACCGACCCAGATATTGAGGGAACCGAACCGAACCACCTAGGACTGGTCTTTTGCAGTCCATGATACCGGTTCAGACTGATCCAGACCGGTTTTTTTGCGTATAATTTATTATACCAATATAAACCATTTGTATCTCAACCATTATTACTCTGAAAAATAAACGGGTTATATAAAATAGTAAAGCATATAAATACCCGTCATTCTACCAATTTTCAAGAGATTTAATGAAGATTTGACATAGCTATGACTGAAACCGAGTTACATCTCGTAGAGACTCGGGTAAAATATGGATTTGGTTATATCTTTCTCAATTCTTAACCGTTTTTGATGAAACAAAAACCCAATAAAAGGCAATAAACGTGGTTACAAGGCTATGTAACGCACGTGACCGTTTAACCGGTTGCAACCAATTAAAACTGGTCTTTGAACGGTTTTAAAAGATTTTCGAAATGAGGCAACTGGCAACCGGACCAACCCCAAATTGGGGCAACTGCAACCGAAAAAAAGACCGGTCCATGGTCCGGTTCAGTTCGGTCCACCGGTTTTTTGCGGTCCTATGGACTGAACCTTTAAACACTATGTTTCACAGCCAAGCCTCTTACATTCAAGAACCCCATCTGATTGTGAGTCCGCCACCATTCCACACAGGCATCCATTTAAGGCTGGCATTTGCCTCGGAATGCGCTTCCTTTTAGTGTTTGAAAGTTAGGTTAGTTAACCGGAAAATAACCGGACCTAACCGCAACACAAACCTAACCGCAGTTAGGGTTAGTTGATTTCGAAAATGGAATAACCGGTTATTTTGCGGTTAACTAACTGTTAAATAACCGGTTATAACCAGCCCTATTATACACCTTCAAAACGCACTTGAGAATGTCGAAAATGCTTAAAATTTGACTAAGTTACGGTCAAATCTCTAAAATATCACTCAAATGTGTAGACTTTCAAGGATAATCACATAAATATGTCAATTCTTCACCGATTTTAGCGTTCTTGGGCTCGTTTTAAAGCTAGAATATGCAGAAATAATATCTATCAAGATACATATGAGCATATTTGCCTTGTTATAACCGATTCTTTATTTTTCGGTCCTAACCGGTTAGTAACTGCAAATAACTGACCGTAACCGGTTAGTTGTGGTCCGGTTAGGTTATTTTAGGTTTCAGGACAAAGGCTAACCAGTCTCGGTCTCGGTTAGAGCCCCTGAGCACCCAATAACCAGACCTAACCGGACTTTCAAACACTACTTCCTTTAGAACAGCCACTTTCTTCCAAGTTGGTACTACTTGCGGCTATCCCAGCGTCGCTAACATTGCAGGCGCATGAGATGGTCTCCGATGGCGGCCCAAGAACAGGGCGCTACATATCGTGTGAGTGCGTGTTCAACTATGTATAGATGATACGCATGCTGTCCTTCTCCAAGCCCATGTCGTCAATGGTGACATTCGTTGCTACGTCTGTTACCGCCATGTCCCCACTTTCACCTACTACACCCCCAATCTACCGTGACGTCGCGTTTGTTTGCAGATTTCGTGTTACCTGTCATGTCCTTCTCCCCTTCTTCTTCAAACTCTGATGTTTGTTCTTCTGATCCAGATTCGGCGCCATTGGACTCCTGCTCATCCGAGCCATCCTCGATTTCTGGAGATTCCATGCCTGCATGACTGGAATACCTCGGTGAGTCACTCTTGCACTAACAAATTGCTTTTTTGGCAAACATCATATGTACCCTCTAGGAATGTCGGCGCGTTGGTCTGAATCAGCGCCCCTCAACTCCTGCTCGTCCCAGTCATCCTTAAGTTGATGTGATACCATGGCTGCATGACTGGAACACTTATGGTGAGTCACTTTTCCACTAGCAATTTTTCTACAAACATACCCTGCAGGAATGTCGGCACGATGGTCTTCCAATATGACAAGAGGTGGGTGTTTCTGTTGATGCTTGGTGGAGAAAATTTATGATTAGATAAGATTAAAGAAATATTATATAAAGCTTGAATATCATTGAATTCTGACTGATCTACATGTTCTGGAGTGTATTGGCACTGCAAACCTGCAAGATATGGCCTTCCAGGCCTGTTTTGAGATCATTTTGTAGAGGGTTCCATTTTTTTTTTTCTGGGCCTGCGGCCGACCTACCTACCCAACCCCTGGTCGTACTTTGGAATCCTAAGACCCCCTTGAGGGGCGCGTAATTAGAGGAATCACGGTAAACGCGGAGATCACGCAACTCACGTCATGTGCCAGTGCGTTCCGTCACGACTTTTTTGACTGTGATGTGCCAGGATGCGTCTAAATTGGTCAAGTCCTATCGATCGACCACCAAATTGTTTGAAAGGCCGATAGCCTCAAGACGAGCCATGTCCACCAGATCTTACAGAGAGGCTGTGGATTGTTTGAATTCCCTGCAGTCCAATGCAGCTACTCTCGAGGCCGTTCGAGCTTCTGGCGGTCGTTTGAGCCAGTTCGCCATACCAGAAATGCTCGAGTATTTGGGGAGGATCGGCTATCACGTAGGTTTTCTATCGAAATATTTTGGATTCAACACTCAAATAAGCACAGCCGGATCAATTAAACGCACTCAACGTTATACATATAACAGGGACAAAAGGCAAAGGTTCAACTAGCGCTTTCACAGATTCCATTCTACGACAGACGATGCCCGGATGGAAAGTAGGTTCGCACGTATCCCCATTCTAGCATAGAACATTGTCTTACATCCGATGATGCTAGGATTATATACCTCTCCTCACCTGGTCGCTGTGCGAGAGAGAATCAGGATCAATGGCGCTCCCCTCTCGGAGGTGCAGTTTGCAAAGCATTTCTTTGAAGTTTGGGATAGGCTCAAGGAAAATGATACGGTAAGATGTTGCATAGAAAACTTCACTTCTTCAAGTAATCGGGATGCTCCTACAGAGGGTGACGGAAGACACCCCCCCTATGCCTGGATACTTCCGATTCATAACGCTCCTCGCTTTCCACGCGTTTTTGGAAAGCAAGGTCAACGCAACAATTCTTGAAGTTGGCGTAGGCGGGACATACGACAGCACGAACATCGTCCCAAGGCCTGTTGTAACGGGAGTCACCGCTTTGGGGTTGGACCATGTCGCTGTTTTGGGAAAGACACTGGAAGAAATTGCTTGGCAGAAAGGTGGAATTTTCAAGGCAGGCGATTAGCTTCCCATGATAACTGGTTTTTTAATAATCCAAATCAGGAGGGCGTGCCTGCGTACACTGTCGTTCAGCCCAAAGAAGGTGCCCAGGTGCTAGATAGTCGCGCGAGAGAACTAAAGGTATTATCTCCGACTGGATCAACGTTGGCCAACTCGTCTGAATTATCACCAGTCATCCTCCTTAACCATCATTCCATTGAACCATGAACTCGACAAAGTAAAATTGGGTAAGTCAGTCACATTCCAATGCCTTTCCAAATACTCAGCCCTTTCGAGGTCTTGCTGGTCAACATCAGTTGCAAAACGCCAGCCTAGCTGTCAGTCTTGCTAGGGAATTTTTAAAGAAGCAATCATCTTTTCAGAACGATCAGGAATTACCGGAATCTTTTGTTTCCGGCCTGGAGAAGACCAGCTGGCCTGGCCGTTGCCAAACCGTTGTAGATCCGAAACGCTCACAAGTGACATGGTATCTTGATGGAGCCCACACTGTCGAAAGTCTAGAGTACTGTATTCAATGGTTCGCGAATCCTGGCGTTGGTTTTTCTTTGGATGCAAGCGGTCACATGGACGACAAGTGAGGCTCAGCCGTGGTTGCATGGGTCCACAGATTAACCTTTTACCAGACAAGTGACTCGCATTCTCATATTTAACTGCACAAGCGGTCGTTCTGGCGATAGTTTTCTGGGCACGATACGAAATAAGCTAGCCGACCAGCTTGTGATTCATTGTCGCGAAGATCAGCCAGAATACTTCTTCGATCAAGTTATCTTCTGTACTAATGTGACTTACGCAGGAGGTCACTTCAAGAGTGGTGAGTCTATTATCACGCGTATGGAAAGCTGACCTGACCAAACAATAAATTCAGACCTCGCAACTCTGGCCATGCCAAAGAGTGATCTCGAAGAACTCAAGACTCAACATCAGCTTGCGGCGGCTTGGTCAAAATTGTGCCCAAGTTATCCTCCTGATTGCATACATGTCTTACCATCCGTCGAGCATGCCGTGAAGGAAGTTGAAGCATCGAAATCGAATTCAGACAACCGGACTCAAGTCCTGGTTACTGGCAGCCTCCATCTTGTTGGTGGATTGATTGAAGTCGCAGGGCTATCAGAAGTGGCGTTGTGAACCAGCTCTTGTCTTCCATAAGATATCTACTTCGGGTCATTACATTCGCCCTAAACTTTACTTGTACGGTCTGCACCATAGAAGTTGATTGCCTATAATCTTTGAGTCACCGAAAATTTAGGTGTTGGATTGTGCTTACCTGCCCATCGAGAAAAGCGCGCAACTGCAGTTTGATTTTACCACTGACGATGACAACATCAGGTGTTAGGAGCTTCAAGAAAACGTTGAAGTGAATCGGCTATATCACATCTGTTACTACTTCTTCGCAATCGCAGCCTTCATGCTTACCTCATAGCGAAGTATACGTAGGTAGAGTTGCTGATCACACATGATCCTAATCATTATTTCCTCTTCATCAAATGCATCTCTGGGGTTCGGCACCGTTTTCTTCCTGCCTCTTGGGGTCCGCGAAACATTGAGCTTAGAGGGTTTTACATCCAAAGTGACAGGTTCGGTGTGCTTAGACGGCACAGGACATAGATCACGAATTCCCAGGTCACGATGTAGACAAACATCATCGAAACCATAGAATCTATCAAGTGGATATATTTCGGGTGAAATGGGAATGACTTTGGCAAGCTGAGCTATCTGAAGTGATGGAATTGTCCGTTCAGACCCAGTGTGAAGGGGGGCCTTTTCGGGAGGATTCTCGATCCCTGCTCGGAGACAACGACCGTTTACGGCTTTGGTTGAAGCGTTTTTGCAAGAGGGATTGTGACTAGATTCCTAAGGTTTATCAGCCACGCTAGGCATCAATATGTTCTAGACACGTACAAGAAAGGCATCATGTTTGTCGGGATAGCTTGAAGTTGAAGGCAAAAGCTGCGTTCCGCGCCGTGTTGCACCAAGCTTGGACGGAGCGAATTTTTGTGTTCCTGGCGAGAACTCGTCATCATGGTGTAATGCGGACTGCATATTGATGTTGTGGTCGAGGTAAGGACCGGCCAAGGTTGAACTTCGTTGTTCCAAAACAACGCGGGCTCGGTCCAGTGTTGCCTTCCGAGTAAGGGAAGCAATCGTTACCGACGATCTGGTAGCTTGAGGCCTTGTTTTCTTCTTTGAGACTGTAGAAGTGACCAAATCCTCGAACAGTGTCTTCTGAGCCTCACTCGAGGGCAGCACCTTTTGTGGGCCATCCCCTTTCAAAACATCAACAGACAATCGCTCAATCTCGTTGCGAATTGCAGATTCAAGGGTGTTGTCGTCAATTCCATGCTGTTTTGCGCAACTTAAGACATGGCGCATTTTCACCGCAGCTGTCTTGGATGTTCGCCATGGAATGTCGCAGCACACACATTTGGCCATTCTTGCCAGGTACGCGTCAGAGAAATCGGGTGCTAATTGATAGGCTTTCGCCCTACTTCTTTGTTTTGTACCAGTTGGGGGTGCCTGTATTGGTGGCATCGAGGGAAAAGAACTGACAGGCGGTCTAAACCTTGACGTATCATTCGTGACTTTGTGGGCAAAACGTGCGAGGTCAAGTTTGGTGAGGATTGTCTCGTCTTCGTCGATATGCTGTTTTTGTCGTGTACGTTGAGGAGAGCTTGAAGAAAATGTCTGGTGTCGCTCAGCCGGCAAAGCTGAATTAGCCACATTTAGTGTATCTGAAACGAAGATTAATTACTACGATGCAGAACCTCTAAGTGACGAGATACTCTCACCGATTTCTACTTCAGGTAGCCTAAGTGAAGTCGATGTTGCAATGTCCATCGCTCCGTCTGACTCACTCGAGGTGAGGGTGACCGCGGCACCTTCAATCGACTTGGGGTGTGGTACGTTATCAAGCCTTTCATCATCAGTAATTTCGATGACATCAATAATTTTCTGGTATCGTTCGCCTCCCATTTGGTCAGTAGGGTGGGTACGCTGGCTATCCTGTGCACGTCGATGTTCTATCCTCTCTGGCTCCGAGTCATCTATAATTTCGTCTGAGAAATCCAACCGTGGTTTGATCATGGTGTTCAAAAGACAATTCGAATGTTGAAAACCGTCAGAGAACAACCTGAATGTTGTGAGCCGATATTGAGAAAATATAATTTTCTTGCAAAAAGCATTCAGGCCCCAAAGAGCGACGTGTGCCAGAACTAAAGGAAAGTTGAGGGGAAGTGATGAGATGGTGTCACAGCGTGACACTGACAGTACAGGACGCGTTATTTACCTGTTGTTTGTCACGGTGATAGTAGGTTGTGTGGCAAGCGAAATCGTTTCACCCATCGTTGACTGACGCCAGAATCTACAGGATATATCTTCACCATGGATGTATCTCGAAAATCGATAGCACGGGGTGTAGTTGTGGAGACAGTTTCTCCAACAGAACTATTACAAGTCTTGAACGGTGCTTGCTCTCCGGACCAAGCTCAAATCATGGCATCTGGAGATCGTCTCAAACAAATGTTGGATATGTTTGGAATTTTTGATTCGTTGCAAGACGTTGCGACTCGGAGGGAACTTCCCTTGCCCATCCGACAGCAGGCCATCATCCAATTTACCAGGGCGGCGCCAAATCATTGGAAGTCAAGAAAGTGAACATGTCCACTTTGAAACGCTTTTTTCGACCTTACAAAATGATAGACTCCTTTCAGATGATCAGAGGATTCGCATTCGGAGACGTTCTATGGTCTTTCTGGATGAGGAGGATGACTCGGTCAGCACATGCGACCATCTTTCTCCCTACTCTTACCGAAGAGATTAGATCGCCAACTTCAATAAACTCTCAGTATCCAAAATTTCCCGCCAAGACTACCCAAATAATTGGTGAGCCTTTTGAGGTTACCGTAGGGTTTTTCATGAACCTCCTCACAGGCCCACCCTTTTAAATGATTTGCTCAATGTGATTGATTCCAACCTGCAGAAGCGTTATAATTCAATTCTTGAAGATCTTCGGGATACCTTGGTTCTGCGCAGGAGTCTTCAGCTTCTAAATGCCATTTTAAAAGAATTTGCCAGTATGAAAATGTTGAATGGTATCAAGACAATGGGCAATGTATGTCAGCTCGATGCGAATCAATGGAAATAACTAAAGTACTATGCTTACCTTCAAGATCGTTGAACAACTCCGATTTGTTCTCTACGGTTATTATTCCAGGATGGCCTCAACCTTCACGGCGACGACTCTGACACCACAAACAATTGACTCACAACGGATATTTGACGATATTCTATTGTCTCACTTGGTTTACAAATGTATCGTCAAAATGGCGGTCTGGATTTGGAATAGAATGGACAAACTATCCCTGGAAGAACGTCAATCATACCAGTCTTGGGTTTGTTTGTTTGTTTTTCGACGTGTACGAGCTCTATCTGACTGCTCGCTGTTCTTTTGCAGCTTGAAGATTTGTTCCGAAACACTGCCGTGCAGATCAAGTCTCTGACGGAACTACGTAAAACGATTGTGATCTCGTTGGGCGACGGTCTCCCAAACCTGTCTTCTCGAACAATCAAAGCCTTAACAAAACATATCCGATCTATGGGAAAGTTTTTCCGACGTATGCAACAGCTCTCGCACCAACGATTTGTGCTCCTACCGACGTGCGGTGATATAATTTTATACCTATGGTCGCAAGTGGTCGAAGCAACCAGTGGTCCGCAGGAACTCATTGGATGTAAGAAGTTGCCCAAATGAAACAAGGTCATCATTCATTTTTGCCAGATTCCGATGAGGTTGCCTATCCACTCGTTTTTCTTGTGCAAGGGATGGTCCTATTCAAAGACAACCTTGCGCAGTGGTCTGAAATGCGAAAGAGCGGCGTTCAGAATATCAATAGTTCGCTCCCTTGATGGTTCTTTTGGATCGCTCAATAATCATTAACCGATTCACCTAGGTTTATCACAGGATTTTGTGGAGAACGCCGTTCGGCTTCTGGTCACTCGATTTATGCCCTTGAACTCGACGGATTTAGAAAACTGGATGGCTGATCCCGAGGAGTGGGCAAATTCAGAAGGTAAAGAGGACGATCAATGGGAGTTCGAAATCAGAGTAGGTTCAACTTCTTTGCTAAATACAGGGCTTACATGTGTTTTCAGCCATGTAGCGAACGAGTCCTCGTACAACTTTCGAACCAATTCCCCCGGTTTGTAGTTCCTTTACTCCATACGACGTTTCAGCAAGTTGCTTGCAAGTCAAATTTTTCGTCATCTTGTTCGCTTAGACTCTTATTTGCATCGATAGCTCAACCTCCTACGGACTTAGCATCTATCGTTCAAAAGGAGGCTCTCTATTGTGCTATTGGCCGCTGCGCGATCCGAATGAAGGACGCCATTCCCTTTGACGAGTGGCTAGAGCATACTCTCGTCATTGAAGCGAGAGATACAAATCCAAAGTTTGCTCGGTCAATCCATCACATTTTTCACACTCTCAACTGTTCAACAGTTATCCAATCATCAAGCGACGCATTGCCTGGCTTATTGGAAAATGGGTGTCCGAGTCTTGCACAAGCCCCAATAACCCACAAATATGGGCTACGTTAGTGCACCTTCTCCAGGACCGCGGAGCAGGTTCTGACGCTGTTGTCCGCTTTACGGCGGCAACTGCTTTGCGGGAATGTATTGACGTACGTCTGGCCGATTCAATATTCAGACATGCCATTTAAGCGACGTCCGCAGACCATAGACTTCTCTCCCAACGTCTTTGCGCCTTTTTTGCCCACCGCTACCTCAGAATTGGTTAGGCTGATTGGTGAAGCGGAGACCTTGGAGAGCAAACGAAGAGTTGATACCACTCTTAACACTGTTATAGAGCGATCGGATTCTCATGTGGGTTCTTTCGTTTGTCCGCTCTGCCACATCTTACATGCAATTGTAGATCATCCCATTTATGGCCATCATCGCGGAACCTCTTCCACATCTTTGTTCGTTTCTCATTATCTCGATATTTTACTAATCTCATGCACAAACAGGGACAACAGCAGGAGAAGATTGGCTATTGAAAGGATCCTTATTAGTCACGGTCACAAAACTCGTCGAGGTAAACTTCTTTGCTGCAACCGGTAGGATGAATGAAAACTTATAATAAATAAATCTAGGCAGTCAAAAGTGAATCGACGACATTGGGGGGTATTGTGGTTCCTCTAATTAGGGAGAGCCTATCGCCTGAGGTACTGACGGTTATTATCATATTTGCGTCGTGATTCATAACCTACGTAGGCAACGGCCCACCTCGATGAAGATGGTCTCGCTCTCTGGCTGAGTGCTCTCCGAAACACTCTTACAATCTCGACGGTAAATGGAGCTCCTGCTTTAAAGGACATCTTTCCACGTGCTGTCACTTTGCTTGCCTCAAATTTGGACCTGCTGGGCAAGATTATCAGCATCATTGAATCCTACTTCCTACTAGATGCGCCTGATATATTGAAGGTCACATTTTTCATTAAGTACTTCGGGGGAGAGGCGTTGACGAGAAGTCAAATAGTCACACGCAACAGAATTGTTCCAAGCTTTTTTGGCTGCCTTGAAAAGCGATGCAGTGACATTGAATATGAAGGATATGATCATTTCTCTTAGTCTCCTCGTCCAGGTCTCTCCTCCGGCCTTGTGGGGTGAAGCTATGCACACATCAGGCCTTTTCAATCACCTGCTGATGAACCTTGTTGAAGGGGAAGTACGTGTGTTCTTGATTGTGATTGACCGTAGTGGGTTTGCTTAGCTTTTGCAGGGAAATTCGCAGTTCCTTGCAGAGCACATCTACCTTTTCTCGCGTATGGTCATGGCAGACCGTCAGCTATTTTTGCAATTGATGTCCGCGGCCTCCGCCACTACTGGCCAGAAAGAGGCCTACTTGTACAACGGTTTACTCGATCAATGGTGGGGAAAGGTATTCCACTCTCGACTACTGCTCTTGATTCGCCGTTCACTACGTTTTTGTAGTTCGACAACATGAGTGAAGCACGACATCGCAAGCTTGTAGCTATGGGGATTGCATCATTGGTTTCAACAGGGAGACCCGAGGTGCTTGAGAGGCTGTCAGGGGAAATATTTAACATCTGGCTTGACGTGTTTGGAGAGGTAAAGGAAGCCCTTGCTGAAGCAGAGGACAGCGAGTGGGTAGCCTCCCATCCTGTTTCCAAACAATTTCATAATTTCATTCCAAGCGTGCCCTTGGCTTCGCCCACAAGCCTTCAACGCTATTGGGAATTAGACGAACCTTCAAGTGCATATTTTCAAGGATCCGAGGGTACTCCGGAGTACGAGCGTCGCAAAGTGGTTTGTCAACTTATTGTTTGTCGTTGTAAAAAATCTAACACCTAGAAAGATATACGAGTGTGACCCAATACGTACAACCCAGCTCAACGCCTACGTCTCTGCACATTTGAGAGAGGCGGAGGGAATCTGCGGACCCGGACTTTTCGAAAGTTTCCTGAAAACCACAGATCCGACGGTATTGAAGCAAATCCAAGATGCGCTTCTTCAAACATGAGTAGCAGCTACATCGATATCGTTTTACTTAGTGATTAGCACTTCAATTGTTCCTTTACTGATATCGTACTCCATGGTTGAAAACCAACTTCATTCTGACAACACTGATTCGCTGTAGCTTCCCAACGAACCTGACATATCGGTAATCATCTCTAGATCACTACTGAACTCGCATTCACTGTCTGGGTCACTCTCAAAGACCTTGATGGACAATCTCTCTGCTCTTTTCACATCCGCCCCACACCTTATGCACTCCCAACTTTGACCATTTCCAGCTTCGTCGACAGCCCATATCATGCGCTCAGCAATACAATGATAGCAGTAGACATGTCCGCAAGAAGTCACGTACGGCGTAAATATTGGGTAAGCTGGAGGTTCCAGAGGGTCGGCAGAAGGCAGGCCAGTTGGGGAATTTGCCAAAACAGTGAACATGTTTGCCGGTTCAGATAGGTTTGGGTTAAACGAGGCGTTTTCTGCACAGATACCACATTGATCTTCTGGCAACGACCAAAATTTCCCTCGCGTTCGTTGTGCGCCGGTTGGAAGGCTTTTCAAATCCTTTACGATGCCGAATATACCGCGGGCCTTTTCCGGTAAAAGGGAGAAAAGATGCGTGAGGGACGCGTTTGAAGCTAGACGGTAGAAGCGGCGCCGAATTGACCGAGCATTCAACAAAGGGAGCAAGAAAAGAAGGAACTCCTAGTTTTCATGCGTAAAGATCAAGACAACATGGTAGCGCGATGCCTTACCGTAAACGCATGCCACACCATTTGTCGGTTCATAAACTCGTAACTGACGTCACGCTTTACGGACCTTCTAGCTGGAACGAGCTTCATTTTGAGGAACCTATCAGCGAGCGTGCGGTATCTATTTGATGTGTGGATTAAATAGCGTAAGGCACATCGCTCATCAACTTACTGGCCACCCCAGAGAAATGCAACGAAGTTTACGAGCCCAAAAAGTGTGTGTGTTGATTCGAGTAAGTTTAGGACATTCCAAGCTTTTCTGCGTCGATCCGAAGAAGGGGCATCGGGCCAGGCGCGCGAAAGAGCATGAGAGCGTAGTCGGGAGTGAACATAGGGCACAATTAGCGTCAAGAAAATATGATTAAGCAGAGTTCTCCGAGGTAACCGAGAAGCTGAAATATGCCGAATTTAAAGAGTGGGCGGGTGAAGTGACCGTGAAACTTACAAGAAAGGGTATGGGAGGAAGTAGAAGGGACAAAAAATTTGAGGTCCTGAAGCTTGGCGCCGTAGCTGGCGCCAGTATTCCACACGGAAAGCTTGTAAAGAGTGAGTTGAATGAGCAGGGTCAACTCGAGCTCAAAATTGGCTCTTAGTGAATTCTGGCGGGCATAATGAAAAGTTGAAGCAAGGTCGAGAGCATATGGTTACGTTTATGAGGGACAACGCTTTGTTGATAGGCTCCTGCAAAAGCTGAACAAGTTGCTGATCGAGTAGCTCGGAGTCGAGCTGCCCAACACGAATAACGCGAGGATTCACGGTGGATGGTGCGCGGATGGCGGTGGTGATGGACGACAAGTGTGGTTGGGCGCTGTTCCAAGCGTTCTCCCAGGCATATAGCATGCTTCAGACGGGCTAAAGAGTCAGAAGATTAGACAGGTAAATTAAGGAGCAGCACGTGATATTATTCTTTTCCTCTACATACTCATCGACATGGCAGAGGCTCTACAGCGACTGATTTTGGATTCTCTTCAGTCAGGAGATTTTATAAACGATACCAGGTCCTTGATCCTACCGGACAAAGGACAGCCAGCAGAATGTCTCGAAGATCAAATCACCATCTTGGGCGCCCTCAACTCCCTCTCCAGCCGTGAGGTAATTATTCGCCCACCATCGTGCCCACCAATTTTCTTCATATATATCCTTTCAGATGGTCAAATATGACACTCATGATGTTTCCTCTCATGTCTTGACACCCGAAGGTGCTCAGATCGTAAAGGATGGCTCTCATGAAGCACGAGTCTGGTCCGCCCTTTCGCTCAAAGGTCAAGGGGCCCCCATTACGCCAGTACAACTCAAGGGCATTGTGGGCGACGAAGCTTCCAAGGTCGGACAAGGTCGAGCTTTTAAGAATGGCTGGATTGGTAAAGAAGGCAATGGACTTATCAAGCTTGTCGGTTAAAATTTAATATCCCATACAATACTTTCCACTAAATTGTTTTACTGCAGGTGCCAGAAATACAGGATGCTACCCAGGTTGAGCTGCAAGAGGTGGCTTCTACCGGATCATTAAAGGCTGGCGAAAAAATCCTGGCGGACCTGAGAAAGAGAAAGTTAATTGTCCTCAAGTATGCATGCTTGATCGCACCCGCGATCGTCAATCATTGATCGATTCTAAGGAAAGGCCAGTGGTTCACAGTCCATAAAGGGTCCCAGTTCAGCACCTCGACTGCCAAACCAGAGACCGATCTTACGGCTGACATGCTCACATCGTCCGTTCTATAATTGATTTTCGGCCCTCTTCCGACTGATCGCCTTTTCGGTATGTAGAGGATCCTGGAAAACCGCGACATACAAGAAATACAACTTTGAAGCCGAAGGTATCCCTACGACTGGCGGCGCTCTTCACCCGCTGTTGAAAGTACGAGAAGAAATTCGCAACATTTTCCTAGAAATGGGGTGGGTGAGGGTAACAGAACAGTTTTTACCACTTATCGATCTAAGGAATTGACAGCTTCGCGGAAATGCCCACGCAATCTTTCGTCGAATCTGGCTTCTGGTGTTTCGATGCGCTCTTCGTTCCCCAACAACATCCCGCAAGAGACTTGCAGGATACCTTTTATCTTTCAGGTGTGTTCAGTGACTAGGTTCGTGGCTTGATCGTTTGCCGACCTCGTTGACAGATCCAAAGCAGTCGCTTGATCCCGAGCCAGCCTATTATCAGCGCGTTTCGGAAACTCACGAATACGGAGGCTTCGGGTCTGTTGGATACCGCGCTCCGTGGTCCCACGAAGAATCGCGTAAACTTCTTCTGCGCACCCACACCACAGCCTCCTCAGCGCACATGCTCTATAAACTTGCTGCTAAATGTCGAGGAGAGGCTGAAGGCGACGGGGGGGGCACATCCTCTTCTGGATCCATTAAAAATCTGAGGGAAAAAGACGACGGCTTCAAGCCTGCCAAATTATTTAGCATCGATAGGGTATTTAGAAACGAGACGATGGATGCCACTCATTTGGCAGAGTTTCATCAAGTGGAGGGTGTTGTAGCTGACCGTGACCTGACATTGGCCGACCTTATTGGTGAGTTCAACTCAATCGTCACCCTGGTCTCTCTTACGTATATTGTGAACCTCGTAGGGTTCATGAGAGTATTCTTTAAAAAAATGGGCATTGAGAAAGTGAGGTTCAAACCAGCCTATAACCCCTACACTGAGGTAGGTAAATGCTAAGCTTCTTCATCGAACTCATAGTGAAGGAGATGTCTAGCCTTCTCTGGAAATCTTCGCATTCCACCCCATGCTGAATCGGTGGGTAGAAGTGGGAAATAGTGGAATGTTTCGCCCCGAAATGTTGGAGCCAATGGGATTTCCAAAAGATGTCCGTGTACATGGATGGGGTTTGAGTTTAGAGCGCCCGACGATGATCCGGTCAGCACCAACTTCCATCATTTTCTCCCTATTGACAAGAACTTAGGTATGGAATCAACAATATTCGCACATTGGTTGGACATAAGGTGTCCATAGAAGGCATTGAGCGTTCCCCTGCAGTGATGTTTTAGAGGCGAAAATAAATTTCCATTGTTAAGGAAAGTAACACTGTATTTAAAATGAAAACACTGCGGCATTCTTTCGCGATCCAAAGGTATAAACTAACGCCTGACTCATGAAAAGACCTACAGTGATCCCGATAGTGACCGCAATCATAGCCCCTCCAATGTCAATACCATTGCCATTAGCAGTGATCCCTCCGGCTTGTGACAGCCCTGACTAGTGAGAGGGATACAGATGAGTGCCATGAGATGCTGGATCAGTCGGAGAGAAAGCATACTGGAACCAAAAAGAGCACCCCGGTCACCATCGACGTAAAAGCAGTCCCGCCCATCTTGCGCGAATATACATTGCCCAGAAGACCGACTGTGAAGGCACCAATGGCAGAAACTACATCCGAGCGATTGAAAATATAATGGTTCGCAATTTTGTTGGATGCGTACGAAAAACAGGATATGATGACCATGACTGGAAGCTGTTTGCTTCTCAGAGGTTGAAGATTTGCAAGCGACGACAACGTCGAGAACAGCGGAACAATTATTGCGGCAGTCCAGGTGGGGAATGGTTGCAGATATAAAGGAAAAGAATTGGGTCGATAACAACCTTCAATTATATCCTGTTGGCTAGGAAGGACGTTACGCGAGAAGGTCCAAGTACCAACCAAAGGGATGGAATTAGCGTCCGTTCCGTTGTCAGAGACCCAGGTCCCAGTCAAAGAAACAGTAGAGCTGAGACTTGAAGCCAACGCGTCCAGTTGACGACGAGTTTGTGGATCGAGAAGGAGATAGAAATCGTTCCCGATCTGCAATCCAAAACCCTGTAGGTATCATATACGTTAGCAGTTAATGACATGAGATAGAATGAACATCACCAGAAATAATGTGTAAATAAGAGCATAAACCATTTTTACGCTTCCACAAACGATATTTTTTGACGCGAGTTCCAGAGAACTACTAACTAGAAAGAAGTCAACATTATTGACTTCTTAACGAAGAAATTAACAGACGAATAAGATACCCAGGCAAAATGCCGATAATGCCTGAGGAAGAGATTGCGGTGTAACAGAAAATCCGGCTACGAATGCTACTCAGGCCTCGAGCGACGAAAGATACGAAAATCGAAATTGTGATCCTATGGCTAGGGCTCAGCATCCGGGCGTGTAGGATGGGGGAGAACACTTGCTCAAAAACGTTTGCATATAAAGCACTTTTATTTGCAACACAAAGCTGTAAGACGGCAAGTAGAAAAGCAGCTGCTCCTGCAATCCACATGTCAAGAAACGAACCACCAAAAGCCAGTGGACAAATTAGCGCCGATAAGCAGAACGCCAGAAAACATCGAAAGAAAATGGAATACAAAGGAGGGGCTTGGAGAAGTGACTCGAGTTGTTCAGTGGCTTGCTTGGCGCTGGTTTCATCGTGGACCACGGAACGATATATAAGGTGAACCTTGTGGAGAGCCCCAAGTGAGAGTCGACCACCACATTTTATGAAGTGCGTTTCAGAACATCCCAGATCCTGATCGCCAAAAGAGCAGATGATGACCCCAGGAAGATGTATAAATTCAGCTTCAACCTCAAGGATGCGCGCAGCGGCAACTAATTGTGATTCAATCCTATGTGAAGGGGCACCGTAGGTCATCAAGGCTCGTGCAAGCTTCAAAAGAAATTCCTGTCTGTCGATCATTGCTGGATTGAGAGAGGTTCAAGTCAAATGTACTGTATAAAAGAAAATAGAGCCGACGTACATGAAACATTGAATTCGATTCTAACACGTTGAAGATGCTTCCTTCGCGTCCTATAATCCATTTGCCGGAGAGCGTTTTTCTCGAGATCGTCTTGGTCTTCAAGCTGCTTTGCTTTCACACCAGTAACACGGGGGTCGTCTGGGTCGAGAATATCGGAACCCAGGGAGATCATCGAGTGCATTGAATCGTTTCGTCGCATATCTCTCAAAGCACTAGAGTAGCCATAATCGTCGTCCGACAGTGTCGATCCTTGACGATTCATATGTTCATTTCGGCTGGTTGCTTGGCGAGTTCTGGATCGGTCTACGGTGTACCAGTCCATCATGTTGGAGAGAATACCACGCCTTTTCTGGGCACCGTATTCTTCTAAGCCACTCTTGTCTTTCGGGTCGTAGACTTGAACATCAGGTGTGCCTTGAAAGCTGACATTGCGGGGTATCGGGGTGGGATTGAATGACCCTGTGTAGGCATATTGTGGGGGCGTAATGTCGTATGGGTGTTCATAAGAGGAAAGGGAGTACTTTCTGTGCGCATGATCATTTTGATTTTCATCTAGCCGCAAGTGTGGGTTGGGAATGCCGACAGGGATGTTGCTAACGCGTCGACGACTTGGTGGCTCAGCGGCTACTGGATGGTCAGAGATCGAGTCGTATTCGCGAGTGATTGGAAGTTCTTGCATGCTCGATGGTCTAGTGCTGGACAAGGGACGAGAATGATGTTTATTTGTCAAACTAACGGTAAACGATTGTAAACATTTCAGAATATGCTTCTTTTTCAACTTAGACACGGCTTGGATATCCGTCGTCTCCTGCATACTTGGCGTCGCGATCTTCTACTGCATCTGTTACCACCTCTTTTTGTACTTGAATTGAGTGAACACTTGTTGTTGCCAGCGTTTGCGATTGATTTTGCATTCGGAAGGTGTTTCCCTGCGTCCAAAAAGATTATTATTGGTAAAAAGGTGAGTTTTGCTACTGACCTCGGAGCTGATTTCCACAGTTGTGTTGTTCATATTTTTGATTGCAATGCGAGCATTCAGGGTGTCAAGCAGTGTCTATAACAGCGATTGAGAGTAGAATCCAAGAATGAGGAAGTTACTCACGTTGGTGTAGATCCTGCCCATGGGGTATGCAAACATGGCGTAGAGGTTGGTGTTACGATGAAGCAAAAAGCTAAAGAGGTCTCCCAGAGCGAATATTGAGACGAATAGACCAGTCTGGACTGCACCGCGAATCAGTCTGTTAAGGATTGTATCCGTTCTGCGGAAACCAGTCTTGGAACGGCTAAGCACAAAGGATAGAACGACTGCACCAAATATAAGCGTCTAGGTGTTTTTAACATCAGTTCAACTTACAGGTGATGATAAGATCAGCACTTGTCTGGAACGTCAACCAGCAAGTGACGAAAGGATTGAGAGGAGCAAATTTGGAGACTCTGTTCATCAGATGAGGGGGAAATAAGGACATAAAAACGGAGACATACTCTCGGAGTATCCCAGAATAGATGCCCGCATACACTCCAAAGATGAAACCGAGCAGGCTCAACAAGCCAATCAAACCGGTGAGAATCTTGTTCTTCGTCAAGATGAGGACACTTGAAGGCCAAAAAAAATTGAGATATCTTCCTTGTATGGTATTAATCAGACACACCGATGTCCCAAAAATAATTGAGTAACAATGGCAGCGCAGGACGTCGCAACAGCCGTGAACGGAATGGTCCATGAGACGACTACAAAGCGGCAATTTTCAGTTAACGAGACCAACAAGCATCAATGGCAGAAACCTTACCAGCAAGACTAGCAGGATTATCGTAGTTGGTGACGCTGAGGGGGAAAAATCGTAATGGATTTTGGCCTTGGATGTGTGCATAACAAACACCTTACCAAAGTTCCCAACCCGCGTACACAGCTCTGCGCGGTATATCAGACAAAGTTTGAGAATATGAGGAGGATAAACACCTACACGGCGCTATGCACTGTATCCAGGATGAACAGGGCGCCAACAACAGACCTAAGTGAGGTAAAACATCTATTTTTAGTTATCGAGGAGCGGCAAGAATATCGCACTTTATCCAGAAAGGATCGTTGAATGCTGCGATGCAAAATTAGTGGCACTTCGAGAAAATAAAATATCCATTACACTTACTTGTGTTGCGATAGACGATAAACTGGTACGTCACTAGACCATAAAGGTAGGTGTTGACTGAAGCACTGTCATCAGCATTTCGTGCTAGCCAATGAAAATTAACGTGCGTACAGAACAATCCCAGTAGGAGGACACCTTTGCGTAGAGAGGTAAGTAAAAGGCAGGGTTTATAGAGGTGGGTAAGTCACCAATAACCAAATCGTATGCGCCCATTCTGTTATATCAAAGGAAGGAGGTAGCCGCCTTGAAATGGGAGGCAGTGAGGACAAGGTGAGGACCTTTCTGTCGGACGACCTTTATTTAATACCTAAGCGGGGCTCCTCATTTTATAATGAAGGCCTTAGAGTGTCCACATCGTTATCAGAGATCGCCGTCGGTCCTGAATTCCTGGCGAATCGGTGTTTCTGGACCTACATGATAGTCTTCAATTGCTTTCGGGTCGCACCAAGTCGCACCAGTGTTCACCAGTGCCAGACTCAGCTACACTAGTACGATTGGAGAATTGTGGGCGGAAAATCAGGGAAGAATGAGATCAGTGACCCTGCAAGAATTTTCCTTAAACTGATAAGTGCCGTTGCCAAGAGGTGTCAGATCCACGATGGGCGCACATAGGAAACAAAGTGACCCTGTGCATTCCCACGTCGACAACCAATTGGCAGACTTGAAGAGAAGGCATCCGACTCGGATGATCCGAGCAGGCAATGGACGGAGATGTGTTCGCATTTTGAGTGCGTTATTCTGCAATTGTTCTGCAATAATACGATCTATCGAAAGGAAGAGGTGAGATGGGGTGCGCAGTAGTCTGTCCACCCAATAAACACACCTGCAAAATGTAGTCAGCACTGTTTACTTTCTGATGATTATTTAAGGTATTGGAACTTGGAGTAGAAGAAGTTCTTGAGAGGCTCCTCCATTGATTGTCTTGTAACATATGTCGCAATTTAGTTGCTGATTTGATGAAGTTTGGATGAAGTTGACGTTTGAACGATTGTGAAGTCGAATTATGGACAGGCGAAGAAGTGGATTCGGATGGTGCACTATTTACAGTGTCAAGTTGCCATGTTGACTCTATCGGGACGCATCTGGAGCCTAGACACGTCGAAGGAGTGGTTGGGTAAACGAGGGTACAACGTTCAAAGCCTCTGTCGCTGAGATTGAATTCAGCTGCCGTGGTATTACACTTCTTGATTCTGCATTTTGGAGTCAGTTAGCAGTATAAAGGGGAAAAAGCTCCCCAATCAGCTCTGAGTAAGTAGACACTGAGTAGACATGTAGATCGTAAGTATGTGTGTGAGGTTCTTGGGCGGTTCTAAGCGGGAGGTTGAACTGACCAGGGTCGAGTTATAAGGGTAACACATATTTAGATCTTCAGTAACCCAGCAGCTATTTGTTGGTTGTCTGGTTGCATTTTCGATCGCATTCCATCAGGGTAGCGAGGGATGCCATAATACTTACATTGTTTTTTTTTTTCATGAAGAATAATCAGATGTCTTCAGATTCTTACGGGAAGGTCCAACGGAAACGTCAATGTGGATCCAAACCACAAAAGTGTGAGCCTTGAAAATGTAGTGGTCCGGCAAGCCGACCACTATAACCGATGGGGACGAGACTAGACACATTGACACGACACATGATTCAGGCATGTAGCGTTGTATGTTGTTGTTAGATTAGTTACTTGTAACTTGTAAGGCAATAAATGAAGCTTTCAAAATTTCAAGGGTCTTGCTGTACTCCAACAAAAACAGAGGTATATTAATCTAGCCTTCTGGTATGTGCTTGAATATTTTCTAAGAGTTTCGAGCAAAACTGACGCAACAAGAGTGTTTTGTGTCATTGACCCAGCTGTGTCATTGAAGTAGGGTCCACCATCTTGAAGTTGATGTCGATGTCGCTACATGATACGCTGTCAGAAATTTTGCGCGACAGGCTAGATTGATTAGTACCCTTTACGGAGCTATGTACATACACGGGCAAGTTGTGACAACCTATAATAACCCTGCATCCCTCAAGGCTGCTTGAACCCTGCGCTCTTGAATCAGTAAATGTGAGATTTCTTCACGGCGAGGATTGGAGGGATCTAGAGGTAGCATGGCGTCAGTTTCTTCGGCATCGAGATGAGATGCCCCTTGCTCTGCTCTAGACGCGCTCTGGGATGCATCTCCTGCCTCACTCTGGCTCGCTCGTCTATTGTTACCAAAACCAAAACCCCGTTGAAGGAGTGCAATTCGTGAGATTCCACGCAGACCAAAGGTTTGTTCAAAGCGCGAAACGCCAGGGGCATTAACGCTGATCGGAATTGGGCGGCTTGAATCGCGTTGAGAGGCGAGAATGCTTCGTTCCCAACGCTTCACGCGATGAAACCCAAGGAAAGAGGTAAGGAGGATAAACCAGCCTGAAAAAGGCTAACTTGGCATTTGAGAGTCCAGTGAATGAAGGGATACAACCTACCAACTGTCATCAGAAAGAAAGACAACCACTCTGCGGTAGCATCACCAACTATCGCGCTTGCTCGATCTGCCGCCACACCTGTTCTTGAAGGAACCGTAATGGAGTTGTTGACTCCATGTGCGGCGTAATATGCATCAGCATCTGCTGCTGATGCAAAGGTTGGATGAGGTTTCCATTCGATCCATGCACCATCCCCACCGTTTCCATCTACATTATCCAATCTGCCCCTCAACGCAAATCCGTATTGGATGAGGGTCACGCCCAACCCTGCGCGAGACCCTAAGCGAGCGGCATGGCTGGTGTGCAGCAGATAGGTCAAAAGGAATCCAACGAATTGGAATGATATCGAAACGAGCATGTTCCAGCAAAATGAGAGGAGGGATCCAGTCGGGAGTGAATCCACGATCATCTCACCCACAGAACCTGGAGAGAAGGGTGCATGAACTGTCGTCTCCCAATAAGGAGGGACCGCGTCTGCTTGGGCAGAAGCGTAAGAAGGTGGTGCTTCTCGCCTTGCATCCTCAGGTACCAGATAAGCATCGTCACCTAAAATATCAGATCAGATACACCAACAACGAAACCGAACGTTCCGCTACATGCCGTCTTGCAGAACCACAGGGGCAGCTGGCTTGGCCGTAACATTTGCGAAAACTCCATCATTATTTGTACCACCACCAACGGGACCAGCAGGCGTCCTTGAATTGAGGGGCCAGCGTTCGAGATAGTGGGAAGGTAGCAAGGAGGCGGCAGCTCTTCTGAACCAGATTTGGCGAGGCCCAGGGCTCGAATCAAGGTTGAAAGCAGGGATGAAACCGTTGGAATTTCCTATATTGTTTGGGAGGGCACTCGAAGATAACTCTGGGGGGGAGCCTGGAGGCGGATAATCGTAGTCGACGGACTCAAAGTCATACGCTCCTGGTATATGTAGTCGTGTGGCTAGGGGTGAAGAAGGACCAGAATGAGGGTTCAAAGGGCGAGACTCCGTGGTATTGTGTAGATCGTCTTCGTCGTCTTCTGCGTAGTCGAACGCTGCTTGCATCTCAACCTCCATGCCATGATCGACTGGCACGGGATTGGGAAGGGGAGCATAGCGGTTGGACATGGGCTTTGTCCAAGAAATTAAATAAAAGGTATACTTATGAAGGTCACCTTATGGTAGCATTTATTTTGGCTTCTTTGTGTCCACTTAGATGAACGTCCTTATCCTCCTCGCTTTTCTTTCCTCCGTTGTCGCCCAATCCTCCTTCAAAATCCACCACCGAATATTCCACCCATCCTTGCAGCCTTTTCCATACGCAGAGCGTGGAACATTAATCATAACAGAACACTCTGCAACCCTCCAACCGTCGCCTTCAATCCCAGACGACTTTGCGGCATTCTTTGAGCTGTTGCAGTCGCTGGAGAGTCCCGAACATGCATTGTATCAGGTTGCGTTAGGAAACATAGGAGATGGTCAATGGGACTTTTCTTCTGTTAAAGTGGTCCGTCTCATCATCTTAAGTCGGCGGCATGAGAGATGACCTCGACTGGACAGTGCCATCTTCACACAATGTCCGCGGATTCCCTTCATCTACACTTCTCCGACTATCTGTCCACCGAACCATTCGCTTTGGATTACTTTGTCTCCCCGACGCCTCATGATGGATCATGCCCACAACTGGCCAAGCGAAAAGGAAAAAGCCAGGCAATAAATACCTCCCCTTTCGACGCGTTCACGACAGGCGGGCTCTCATTGAATACTACAATTTTATTGAAAAAACCCATCGCTCCTCCCCTGTCCGTGTTGCATCGTATTCTTAAATCAGGCAATCGCTAATGCTTCCTAAACCAGGCCCGAGCTCCGCACCCCGCCTCCTTTGACACCAGAGGGCGAAATTGTTCAACCTGTTCCTGAAAGGTCTTTTCTGCAAAAGTACTGGATGTATCTTGCGGCTGTCCTGGTTGCGTTGCGTACGTAGCACATCTGCTCTCTCCGCATCTGACTGACACAACCTTCGTAGTACTATCTGGCGGCCCCGAGGAAGAACAACCGCGACAAGGTGGTAAATAATTCCAGAGGCTTTTGGGGAATGGTTCCTCTCCACGCGAAACAAGACTATAGCATGATGTAGACATGTTTATTCCAATCGTGTACATTATTTCTGTTCTGCAACGGGTCCCTCTAATATTCCTCGTCCGTCCATGCTTTTTGCATCCGCTCCTTGAAGGGCTCTAGGGTGAATTCAAGTGCAGAACAAGGGAAGCCGATCTCGAATTTCTCGAGCACCAAAGGATGCAAAATGCCTAATCGCCCAATTTGAACATCACCTTTCACGGCTTCGTCGACAGACGATAAACCTGTGCAGTTACTCGGGTTGGGACGATAATAAATCGTAGCCGCCCTACCCGGGAAGAACATACCATCTGAATTGACTGTATGAATACATGGAAGAACGAAGAAGGGGAAGGACTTACCACTTGCTTCCCTGATGTAGTACCCCGTCCCCGATTTATCGTCTTCACTTCTAATGCGTGGGATGTCAAGCATCTTCATGACACGATCCAGCATGCCATGTACGATTTCGAAGCCAGCAGACTTATTGCACCAGACTGCAGCAGCGTGTCTTTCATTTCGAGCCTGCCGCTCTCTTGAGACGTCCTTGAAAACGACATCGGACGTTTCAAAAATTTTGATTGGCAAAGCGTGCGAGCGGTTCTCTCGAATAGTTTTGAGGAGTCCTGGTATAAGGGATGTGCGGACGACCTGGAATTCAAGGGTTTTGGGGTTCGCAATCTTCACTGCCGTCCTTCCGTCATCCTGATGATTCAGCCACTCAAAATTTTCTTCATGCGAACACTAAAATAAATTAGATAATCCTTTTGAGATGTGGTGTATGGGATCTCACAAGAATTAGCGGGAGAACTTCAATCCATCCTGCTAGCGCCCATTCCACGCGAACAACATCACTCAGCTTGCTGATAGCTAGTGGTTGTGCAACAGTATTTGTGGACGGAAATGTATCAGGAAGATTATTGAACCCATAAGCGATGGCAGCGTCCTCCATGATATCACACTCGTGCAGTATGTCTGGCCGAATAGCGGGCACATTGACCAAGATCTCGTCGAGATTGGTTGGAGATACCGAGGCGTGCAGCGACATACGCTGCAAAAGTGCAGAGACCTCCGACGAGGTGAGAGAAAGACCAGTACATGAGTTTACATATGATGCGTGGGCCGTCCTCTTTTGGTTGGAGATGTTCGGGGAGATGTGACTTTGACCGTTGGCTGACACAACCTTGACGGGTTCGATGCTGTAAGGTGGCTTAACGAAAGCTAAACTCTAGCGGAGAGAACGTACGTGTAGGGCACTTGACAGTACTCTGAGAACATTGTTGACACAATGTTCACGACAATGTCCAGTTTTGTCTGATCTGTCGCTGTTACATCGATGAAGACATTCCGTGTGTCGAGAGTGATTTTACTATGCTCGGAATTGATGATGGGGGGCATAGATAGAACCCGATCCTGGGCGTCGTAGATGATGGGATAAACGGGAGAGTCGCGAATGATGGGCAAATACTTTGCAAGATGTTTTTCGGACTGATTACCTGTAAATCGATGGCTTTTCTAAGCTAACCACAGAAACATACCTCATATACAGTCATCAACTCTTCTGCGGTGTAAGATCTATCTTTTCCAAGAGGTATGAATTGGATATCCTTTGGGGCCCTTGCCTCGTATCGAAATGGTGCCGTCAGTGTATCTAAATCATGCGTGCCAATCGCAACAAGCTGTCGCCTTCGACAAATATTTTGATGAAGTTTGTCTTGGAGATCCATGAAAGATGCGTAGGAGCGAGGGGTAAATTTGACATTCCGAAGAATGGCACACGCAAACAACGGTCGTATTTTTGATGTCTGAAATTTACCGGTAAGTATTCAAACTGAAACTGGGTCTACTTCTTGCGCTCACTTCAGGAGAGATAGAAGCGGTGAGAAGGGCAGACTCTCCGCCTGGTGGATACACAAGTCTGTATAACGGTGCTTCTGATTTGCCGAGGAAGACTCGGAGAGCGCGAGCGATGCCTTCAATGCAAAGGAGGTCGTATCTGAGAGCATCTGAAAATGAGCTGTCAGAACGGAGGTTCAGAAACAGAACCCGTGCCTGTTTGCAGGTACTTCTATTTTCAATTGCTGTTGATGGTATGAGTATTTCGTGCGGATGGACGAATCAAGTTAACGTACAGGACGCTCAGCAGGCAGACCATTCCTGATCGCTTCTTGTACCTCCTCTGTCGTCTACAGCAGGTTAAAATGTGCGAAGTTGATATACTGGTGATGAGAACACACATCCTCATCTAACTCCAATCCATAATCGAAACAGAGTTGGTCGAACTCCTCAGTTGCTAGTGGAAAATGCAAATCAGACCAGATCAAGGCTTGAAAAGATATTGAGATCACTGTATTCCTGGCCGAGTCTCTCCCAAAGATCAGCCTTATCGACGGCTACCGTTGGCATTCTGCGGATTTGTAGAAGATTGTAGGTGATGTTTGCCAAGTCGCGTAAGTAAGGGTCGTTTAACTTTTACATAAGCCGAAAGTCGATGAAATATCTCGCCTTGCTCAGCGGCGGCAAGGACAGCTGCTACAACCTCCTCCACTGTGCAAAAAATGGGCACGAACTTATAGCTGCAGCGTCCCTAGCGCCAGAATCCGGAAAAGGTTCGACTCCATTAGGTGGACTCGTCAGCGATATTTATCTCAGTTGCAGAGGAACTTGACTCGTATCTCTACCAAACCGTTGGGCAAGATGCGATTGAATTTGTTGCACGCGCTTTGGAAGTGCCTCTATATCGTCGAGTAATAACTGGTGGAGCTTTGGAACAGGGATCGGAGTACGGTAGTCGGGACCCAACTCATTTGGGTGGGGTTGAGGGTGATGAGACCGAAGACTTGTATGCCCTTTTGGCAGAGGTGAAAGTGAGTTTCGACAGTCCAAAACACTTCTTCGACTTATATTTAAATGATGTTAAAGGCTCATCACCCCAAGATAGAGGGAGTTTCCGTTGGCGCAATTCTCTCAGATTACCAGCGTGTCAGGGTGGAGAACGTGTAAGGTCCTCACGTTACCTCGCCATTCTAGCTCGCTCATCAAAATCGAGTAGCTGCCAAAGGTTAAGTTTGACTCCGCTATGTTATCTGTGGCAAAGGGATCAGGGAGAGCTGCTCACTGAAATGATTGATGCTGGAATGGAAGCCATAATAATCAAAGTCGCGGGCATAGGTCTCACAATCGAACATCTTGGGAAGTCTCTTGCGCAGATGCGGCCAACTCTTGTGGAACTTGTTTGTCCTCGAAAACCTGTTTGAATAATTGCTGATTGACGATCATAGAATTCTCTATACGGCTCACACATTTGCGGGGAAGGAGGTGAATATGAAAGCCTAACACTCGATTGTCCCCTTTTCAAGCACAGGATTGTTCTGTGAGCGATCAAGTTAATTTACCATCCTTTGTCTCAATATTTTTACAGCACCGAGGTTGAGACTGTTATCCACGCCGACAACGACTTTGCAACCGTGGCTTTTCTTCGCATAAAGAATGCGAAACTGGAATTCAAAGTTGTGGATTCAGATTTTTACATTTACATGCCGCAAAGAATTGAGGATGACTTTCTTCAAATAAGCGATGCGGTACAGGTGTCAGAAAGGCTAGAGGCGAAAAAGGTTCCTATGACGCCTTTCTCATTCGATTTCAGTGTGGATCCAATGTACCCTGTTACCAGCAAGAAGCTAGACCCCTGGGTTTTTGTTAGCAATGTTCAAGCAGAGACGGATAAAGGCATCTCTGTCGAGGAAGAGGTGGTGCAATGTTTTAGCATCCTTAAAGGTAAGCCTTCGTCTAACATAAGTTGATGTGACTCTAAAATGGTTCAAGCCAATCTCGCCAGTCACGACCTCCAGTTGACAGATTGCGTCAATATCAACATTTTCTTATCATCAATCGAATTATTTGGACGCGTGAATGCCGTTTATTCGAAGTTTTTTGGTGCCAGTCCTCCAGCGCGAGCTTGTGTAGCAGTTGACCTTCCTAGGTCCTGTCGAGTCCGACTAGACTGTGTTGCTCTCAACGAACACGCGCCAATGGACCGTCAAGCGCTCCACGTTCAAGCTCTTAGTTATTGGGCTCCCGCTAATATCGGTCCGTACTCACAGGCGATCAGGGTTTGAATCTGTTTACTGCAAGTGGGCCCTCTCACTTAACTATCGTCAGGCCAAGGAACGCATTTTTATATCGGGCCAAATCGGGCTTATTCCGGGTCAGCTTTCCCTGCCATTGCCTCCCTCCCTTGCAACAGAAACAGCTCTTTCCTGCCAGCATGTCCGACGAGTAGTCGACGCACTGAGGAACAAGTCTGGCGGCGGCTGGGTTGGGTACACACAACTAGAAATTTATTGGCTCCAGGACATTCATAATCTTCCATCGATCAAGAAAGGACACTCTGCAAGCAAGGTGGGATATTTGCACACTTTGACACGACCTGCTAACAGCTGACCAGGCAGCTAATTTTCCAACATTGTTTATCGTCGTCAAGGCACTGCCGAAGGGCGCCATGGTAGAAAAGCAAGTCTTGCTTCATACAGGACGTTGCGAAGTGGTCGACGAAGACGATGGTGAAATGTCGATACAAGATCGACCGCCCGTTTATGAACGAGGTAAACCTATCGTTATTCGTGTGCTTCCAGACGTTTAACGTAAGCCTGCTGACAGACCATTTTGTGCTGTCCAATGGCGGTGCGTTGAGCTTAGAAGTATCGCATTTAAATGGTGCAAACTCGATGTGTGCGATTGTCTACGGAAGAGGAGGTAAAATCCTCACTTTTTGTGTCAAAGATGCAAGTTTATAAATCCGTTTAAAGAGCCAAACCACTTGACCTTGCAGGCCCAAGAAACGTTGAATCTTTCTCTCGATCTTACCCATGCGTTGTCACTGCGATTATTTTACCTGCCATCACAAGGCGTTGCATGTAGGCCATTTTTTCTGGTCACTTGAATAAACATTAACCCATCGATTTTCAGTGCGAAGTATTAGTGAGGCGCTATTCGGTGAACAAGATCTTCCGCCGACTACCCACATCCCGTGCCGATGTATATCGAGTATAGAGAAACAGGATTGGGATTTTGCCTTCTGTTTCCTTGGGATTTAAAACTGTTTTTCATTCGGGACTAGGCTGTTTGTATATTACTCTACAAAGCAATGCACTTTAGCAAATTGAAACATAAACGGCAACAAACGGTGGGAAGCAGGTATATCTAGTGATGTCCTCAGATTGTAAAAGCAAATCATGGTGAGGTCTCTTCTCCCAACAGCCTCATTTCACCCAGTCTCCGACGCATTGCCTTCTCGGTGGGGGTTGGGGGGACCATCCGCGCAATTATCGCCCCAAATAATGTGCACAATCCGCCAAAACGTAGGACCCATGCGACACCGTTTTTGCCGTAATAGGTGTTGCCATCACCGGCCAACTTAACAGTGGACTCGTCGACAATGCGGAAGATTGCACTCGTCACTATGGCTACCTGAAATGAAAGTGTGAGATGTAAGATAACTGAACAACATTGAGACATACAATGAACTGAGGCATGACAATTGCCAGATTGTGAATGCCTAACACAGTCCCGCCAGCCATTGGCGGGGCGACGGCATCCTCCTCGGCGATGTTGTCATACTCATCAACAGAACGGCGGCGAAGGAGAGGCTGCCGTTCGCTCACTACGCCGCTGCCACGACGGACGCTGATAGAAGAAAGATTGCCGGGGGTGGAAACGTTGCGTGCACGTACAGGACGTCCCGCATCCAAGACAGGCTGATTTGCAGGCGGTTCCTTGAGAAGCTAGATGAGGTAAAAGTTAATGCATAATAAGGGTTGATGCCAGGAAAACCCAACCTCCATTATGATTGCAAAGGGCACCCACATCGCGACTGCCCAACAGATACCCACAAGAGTGATAAATATTGTCGCCTAAAAGAGGGTGTTGACACGTCACTTTACAGGACAATCTGCCCACCAACCTGGAAAACCGTTGTAATGAAGAGTGTAGAAAACATCAAGAGAGAGAAAAAGAGAAGAGCACCCGTCCAAATGTTGCGTAGTAGAAATGGCATTACGGGCAAGCGAAGAGGTTTGCCTTGCCGAGCAGCATCTACCCTCCATTGTCGAACAGTTTCCCTGATACGAGATAGTTCAGCATCTCCATCGACATCGCTCTTGTGCCCCATAAGCCGACGATCCCGGCTAGCAAGATGGGGCAGAACTGTTCCGGCAATGACGCCAACTTTATGGCATATTAGAAGCAGAAGAAGCAGTAAATAGTTAGCAGACAAACCTATGCTATAAATCAACATGGCAAATTCTCCAGACCGAATAGCGAAATCATGATCTGGTTCTTTGCCCTGCTCAAACGCCATGATCTGTCCGACATACGTTGTCCTACATGGGAAGTTGCGTTAGTGCGATTCAGAGTATTGTGGTTGATCACTCACGAATAGAACAGGAATGGAAACCTAGATGGGTAATGTTATGTACGATACAGGAAATGAAGTCAACATACACACCAGCCCATGAATGCAAACAGTTGCACGTAGCAAACACGTCGGATAGGTCTGGGCAAATTGATGACGGCTGTACGTATGTTGTCGTAGACATCTCTTGCCCTCCTGATGCGATGGTCAGGATTTCTATTCCAGCTGACATCGATAGAGCAAACCCTTGTGTTCTCTGCGACATGGCAGGACGCTCTTCCTCTTCATGGCATACACAAGTAGTTACCACGGTTGCAACGAGAATCACTATGCAAATAATACAGAACTTGCGAAATTGATCACCTCCCAGCAACCTGATTATGGGCAACTGAGCGAGAGGCAGAAAACCTAATATGATTGATCAAACACGGATGTGCCAATGATCTGAGAATGACCTACCAAACCCGTAACCAACTATGTTGCCAGCATTTGTCATTCTACCATGCCATGCATTTCCTGCGTTCAATTGGCTCGGCGGAGCAATGTCAAGTAAAAGATTCCTGAGAGAAGCTTGAAGTCCGTTCAGAGCGAAATCGAGGACGTAGAATGAGACTATAGCAAGGCCAATGGCAGCACTACTAGCCTAGTTTTGATTAGAAGTGGGCTGGAAACTCGACGACCACATAGACGTACCTTTTCATTCCGCTTTTCGTCCCAGTCGCCTTCACCAACGCCAAGTGAATCAACGAAGAACGCAGCGATCTCCTGACAGTATGCAAGAGTTAAGGTAGATATCACAAGAGCTATTGTCGAGAGCATGATCCAAAAACGGCGACGGTATTTTGAAGTAGAAGAATCGGACACAGCACCTAAAAGGGTAAATTTCCCTTTGCGTGGTGTAAGGATGCTCACCAACCTATGACGGGTTGTGCGATCAGTCCACTAATGGGTCCTGCGAGCCACACGAGAGAAGAGAACTTCTCGGAAAGACCGAGTCCCAGCAAGAATGGAGTACCGTAGCTGTGGACGTCAGGGAGTGTCCATAAATTTTGTAACAGCCTTACCCAAGTTCCACAGTCCAGGCAATTTGGGCACCGGCCATAGATATGCTGAGAGTTATGAGGTCCCATGTCGATAAGAGCCGCTTTCCCGGAACCAGCTTTGCTCTCACTTCACCGGGTTGACCAGGATCATCATCGGGAACGGTTGCATGTGTAGTTGAATATGCTTGAAGTTTGGCCCTCGCGGCTGGCCAGGGGATCTGGGTGGTGGGGTCGGGATCACTATCAGGCAGTGGAGGTATCATGGTTGGTAGGGAACGTGGATAACTTGCATGGAGGATAGACAGGCTTTATGTACGATCTTGGATTCACCCATGCCCTCATGTCCCTATTTGGCACTATCACACCAACAAACCTATTTAATACACTCATAATAAATACAAGTCCGGCGTCAAGGTCCTTGTTCCAGGCAGTGTAACAGCAAGAAAATAAGTATACAGTAGCACATTGGTGGGATAATGGTACAGATTGGGGCAATACAGTGTGTCGTCATGATCCTCGCACGGATGTCGCAGACATCCCTCGCCGGTGGCTCGAACTGGAGGAGTCAAAGCTTTGCAAAGGCTTTGCAAGGATATGAAAACCTTTTCGCCTACCCAGAGCGGCAACTGGAGTGTTAGGTCCCTCTGTCGCCATTGGTGGCTCTGGAAACTGGGCATACTGACTAGGAGGTCCAGTATAACTTTCAGGCTCTTCAAATGACTCTCGATCCGCGCTGATGATCGATCGAAGCGAGTTAGACGTAGAGGATGATCTCGTGAGGAGTGGAAGCGGAGAGAAGGCTGGACGCGACACCGTTGGGCTTGTGCCCGAGCGATTTCTGTTCTCATGATGGTTTGTACCACCGGACATTTCGTGTGTGGTCCGAAGCTGAGCTGCTGACATCGATGGGCGTAACCTTCTCGGGGTCACCGAACCACTCATGTGGCTCCCCAACGCCGTGATATCGTCACCATTGGCTGATGGTCCAGCTGACGCATAGTTTGACTCATTCTGTGACTTGGTATCCGTCGAAGTGGTTCCTTGACTTCCACTACGATTGCGTCTTAGATACTTTTCCATAGCATCTGCGTCTCGCTCCCGCATACGACTGGCGACAGGTGATAGTGCGGACACCGGATTTAACGCTGGTGGGTTCGGTGATAAGCCTTTCGGTGTTGGAGAAGGAGCAGAGAATGTAACCGCGCTACTTGTGGACGTTGTGTGGGCTGTGTGAAAGCCTGAAGTCTGGTGATTCTGAAAGAATGAATTTGATCCAGTGGAACATTGGGAGGGCGACGAAGACACGGTCAGAGATCGTCCGTGGCCACCGCCATCGAGCTCCCCACTGTCCGAGGTGGCAGTAGTCCGGCTCGTCCCCGAACCGCTTCTTAGCCTGGGCAGTATACTCCGGTCCTTTGCTGGGACTGGTGGGGGAATGGAAACAGGGGGAGTGCCACCCCACTCATGTCCTCTTGCAGCTGCCTGTGCAAATATATTTCGACGCTGCTTCTTGTTGTTCTCGAACTGTATTCGTGCTGCGTCCTGGAGCGTATCCCTTGTGCTAAAGCTACAAATTGTCTCAAAACAGTTGTCGATGTTTGACACACAAATCTTACGAATAAGCATAATCTGAGGCGGTAAAACCTTCATTGTTTCTTGCTGCATATTGACAACCTCTCTCAATGAGAAGTTGTACAATCTAGAAGATTGTAAATAAATGAGTCAAGACGGCGAACCAAAAAAACTGACAGGTATATGGCCCCATGAGCTTGCACTGTAAGGTAGATGAGGCAAAACCCAAAAACTTAGAGTTTCTTCACCTACTAATGAAGAGGTGTATTTCCCTTGTTATCAGCCAAGTCAAAATCGGCTCCGAGGTCACACAACATCTGGTGGGGAGGGTAAGATATATCTTGAGACCAAATACGCGCTGTCACGCACTCGAACAAGTTCCTCATTTCCAATCAACGCAGCTATATGAAGAGCCGTCTTTCCGTGTACGTTTGACCAGTCTAATATCCACGAATAGCGGTCGTAATAGAGGCGCGCCATCCGCAAAGTAGCGGCTGTGGAATCGATGGTAGACGAGGGTGAGGCATACACATTTGGTGGGGAAGATTTGAAGTCTGACAAAAGCATAAGAATGGTGTTATTCTCCGAATCCTAAGGGAGGGTCAAAAGTCAAATCAAACCAGTAGGGAAAACCACGCACTTTGCTTAATTCCTCGTCATCGTGGCCAGAACTCAGAAGAAATTCAAAGGTTTCCTCATGGCCCAGAACGGCAGCCCATGCTAGTGACGTATACCTTCGAGGAGCGGGGTCGGGATTTCGCATGTCAGTTCTCTGCACGAGGCGTTTCACAAGAAAAAGGTTGTTTTCTGCATATGTTTGTTATTTTAGTTTTTACAAAACGGCGTGTGCATACCTTTTACAGCTCTCCTCAGTCTTGCGGTGGCATCTTTTTCAGCCATAAAGACGGGTGGTGGTAGGGAAGACAAAGACAATTACCAGAGGACAGCCAGGGAGACGACGCAGGGAGGCGAAGCTTTGAGGGGTCACGTGCGAACATTATTACTCTGCACTCGACGCGAATCACTACACAACGTCAACCGTTCCGTGTTCTATTACTGAACAAGCCTGGTATCTTTGAGGCTTGTTCAACGTCGTACCAGGATGCCCAAAGTTGTCTCCAGATCAGCGGTATCGTCCTCAGCGGATGGTTTGTCTTTTGTTCATTTCTCAAATAAGGGCGCTGACGTCCTCCCAGCACAACCAACGGCGTCTTCAGCAACATCCCTCCGGGTCTACTGTTGAGTCCATTCTCTCGTTGGATTCGCTTGCCAAAACTTACGATGAGGGTACGTCGGCAAGATTGTATTTGTGGCGAGTTCATTGTATGTGGTCATCTCCATCTTTCTGACAATAATATACGTTCATTCACCATCTAGCTTGTAATTGATAAAAGTCTAGCTGCACTACCCAGACGTAAAACAGACGAAGCGATTATCATACGTTGTCAAGACAGTGATCAAGGCGGACAGAGAGTGTTCAAGCTGAATGCCATTGCTAGCGACCCCATTCTGCTGGAAAGGTACATTCCTTTCGCTTTGAAGTTGGTGGTCGGGGGGCTGACTTCATTCAAAGAGCAAACGGTCATGAGAAACAGTACAGGTTCCAGTGCCCACGGTGCTCGTTGGTTATCGGGTATCAGTCATCGCCCCCACCTGTGAAGTCGGCGTCCTTTCTGTACGTCGTAAAAGGAGCCCTGACTCAGATGCAAGGCCAGGTCCCACCCGATGCGTTTGAGGGAGAGCATGAATTGTAGCTTGGTATATACGGTACATATCAACGATATAAAGTCCTGTGGAGGAGAGAGAAATGTCAGTGAAAGTCATGAAACGAATTTTGAAAGCAAATAGGTCGGCTCAGATACCGTTGTAGAAGGGAACTCACAACGACGTCTTAATAGACGCGTTCGTACAGTGTGAATAGATAACATCGTAGCCAATGAAATGATGAAGAAAAAGAATACACACCTTTGCGTTGGAAGATGACCTGGATGAGCAATTTTTTGTGGCTTAAGTAGTGAGGTGTATTTGCATATATTTGCATATGCTTGAGGCTCACAATGATGCCATCGCAACTGGAATTTATGAGTCTCGTCAGAAAATAACGCGAAAAAGCTGTAAGCAGATGGGTTGATCAGAACGGCAACATGTCGAGACTATAATCTGACTATAATCATTTGTTTGAGAGGAAAGCGCTTAGAGTTTTGTTATTTATTAAATAGGTAAATTGAGGGTCCGACAAAATCGGTGTTTCGAATGTTCAGCGAGGTTCAGCGTCATTTGCTCTTGTAACATCTCCTCCACATTAATGGAACTCCCATCCCTTCGAGAACTGGAGCTCGAATCTCATTTAAGGGAAAGGGACACGCGCCTCGCTGAACTCACCGTAAGGTTCTTCATAGACGTACTTGCATTCGTTCACAACTTGGTTCCCTGTCATTTAGGACGAGGTGACGCGGCTACGCCAGTACCTTTCAACGCAGCCGGGTCCATCCACGGCGGACCTGGTCACCCTTCCACCGGCGTTGATTTCCATTTTGTTGCCTCATTTTAAAAGCTCAGCGGCAAGCGCGACATCTAGCCATTCAACGGTGACAGCCGCCCTCACACAGAGATCCCGACTTTTACAAGAGGAGAATGATGAATTTTATGAACTTCTGAAACGCGGAGAGACAGGCAGGTTGAAAGAGGAAGTTCGCGGGTTGCGAAAGGTCGTGGAAAAGCTCGAGGGTGCATTACGAGGTATGTAGCCACTACCTTCGCCCCTCCATTCCAAAGGCTCACGCTAGATCTTCTAGAGTCTCACCAAGTCATAAATTCGCTTTCGTATGTTTTCCGAATCGCAGATTATCAAGCTGGCGCTTATCTTGCGCACAGCACAGAACTGGATAAGTCTTACGACACATTAATGAACTCCTCTCGTCAAGTTAACAGTGTCAACAATTCAAAGTCACATGCGCGTTCCCCGAGGAATGCCTATAACTCGCTGCCTCAAGTCGGAAACGGCAACGGCGCAGGGAAGTTACCGCCTACAGGCCCCCGCGCTTACAAGAAACCTCGATTGTCTGAACCCCAAGCATCCCCACCTTCGCGTCCGAATAATACCCTTCCATCTCACAAAAGTCAAATTCATTCAAATGCTTCTACGCGCAGTGGTGATAGGCGTGACTATTTATCACGGCCTAACAATGAACAACTAAAGTCTAGCCGTTCCAAAATTGATGTGGACGAGGACGACAGGGAAAGTCCTGCGTTGCCAACTGAACGTGTCCGTGACCACGACCGGGAAAGGATTCGGGAACGTAGCAGGAAGGACCGAGAGAGAACGAGGGACCGGGAGCGAGACCGGGATGGAAATAGGACGACTGCTTCTCGTCGAAACGGAAGCCATACAAGTAGTTCTGTGCGAGGTGGACCTGTGGGAGGAGGGGGTGGGTCTTCGCGGACAATAAATGATCGGAGCACGGTGGCGTCTACTAATCTCATCCATGGGGGTGATCGGACACTGGCAGAGAGGATGGGACTTTGAAAGGATATCCTGGTAACTTGACTTTATTACCGTGGATGAAACCCATACCGAATCGTTTCAGGTTACCACTTTTTGTATATTACATATATCCGGTACGATCCTATCACTGCACGTCATGTAGCAATAACTGACATATTCGTTTGCGATCAAGTTAACTACAGTTGTATCTTCATCTTGTTCTTGTCGTCTTTGCTTGCTATCAATGCTCCAAAGGTTTTCATCATCTCCACATGGTAGTAGTAATTACTGTCTCCATATAAGATATTATCATCGTTCATAAATGGGACATGAGACGATTGTGCATCACAGACTTAGCGACAGATGAAAAGGTTAGATAATTTAATAATATTGTTGTCTCTCCTATCGTTTCATTCTTGTCATGTCTCCCATGACAATAGTCCTCCTTCTTCTCCAATACGTCTACGCTGATCATCTCCCTTCGTTATCCAATCACTACAGGGCTCTTGATTCTCAATATCATGTCTCCGTGTCAGGTACAACGTCGTCCTCGGCTCCTCTTGTAATTCTTCCTGAGAAAGAAAATCTTCCTACCAACACTTCTCCGACCCAGGCCTCTGACCGTTTAAACTTGCTTGTTATGGGCTATTATCCTGACTGGGCTGGTCCCCGTTTTCCGCCAGAGAAAATCGATTTCGACCGTTTCGATTGGATTGATTTTGCTTTTGCTGTCCCTGACGAAACCTTCAACTTGACTTGGGACAATCCTGAAGAGTCTCCCTCTATTTTAGATCGTTTGGTAGCCGCTGCTCATGCTAAAAAGTCTAAAATCAAGCTGAGCATCGGCGGATGGTCAGGAAGCAAGTAGGCGACTTTTCACTTCGTTCTTCCAGTGACTTTACCAGTTACCTCAGATACTTCTCTCCAGCTGTTCGTACTCTCGAAAGCAGACGCGTCTTCGCCGAAAACATACTCGCTGCCTATAACACCTTCAACTTGGATGGCATTGATCTCGATTGGGAATATCCTGGTCATCAAGGCGCTGGAGGAAATCTGGTTGATCCGCATGATACTGCAAACTTCCTCTTGTTTCTCCAATATCTTCGAACCGTCCTTCCGCCATGTGCCCGCATCAGTGCCGCAGCACAGACACTCCCCTTTGTTGATGCGCAGGAACAACCTCTACAAGATGTCTCTGATTTTGCTGACTCTCTTGACTGGGTTTTAATAATGAATTACGATGTCTGGGGTTGTAAGTATCTTTAAGCCATCGTAGTTGCGTGGTTGGCTTACTCACGCTGTAGCCTCCTCGCCGCCGGGCCCAAACTCTCCGTTGCATGACGGCTGCGGCAATTCTACACAGGCAGATGCTAACGCTGTAGCGGCGTATAACGCGTGGACTTCAGCAGGCTTTCCGGCTTCAAAGCTCGTTCTGGGGATTCCGTCGTATGGTTACGTCATTACCTCTAATTCGACAAGGCTAAAGACAAGGTCACGGCATCAAGTTAGAAGCGCCTCCGTCAAGGTTGTTGACGAGGACGGCGGTTCTGACAGTCAAGTACAATTTCGAGACCTTCTAAGTCAAGGCGCTCTCGTTCGCTGTGACGACGCTAGAGATGAAGAATCGACATCGCCTACCTTTGCGGCTTCTGGCGGCTTTGAAAGAAATTGGGATGACTGCTCATGCACGCCCTTCTTGCGTTCCTCTTCCTCTGGACAGGTTGTAACTTATGACGACCTGGTCTCCGTTCGCATGAAGGCGGCCTTTGTGAAGGAGCTTGGGATGCTGGGCACCAATATGTTTGATATCTGCGGGGATACTGATCAGTGGGATTTAACGGATTCCATCAGAAAGGCGATGGGTTTGGCAACGTGATTAGGATGCAATCAAGACATATTGACTTCTATATCAAGTTATTCAATGAAGAGAAGATTTTGAGGGCGTTGCAAAGGGGACATCAGGTTGAATCAACATTGAATAAAGGCGCATCATGTCACCAAAGCGCTCCCTTTTGCTTCTTATGCGTTTCCTCCTGCAATATCTAAGCTTCATGTAACCACATCTGTGGGCCCGTAGTGAACCAGAATTATTGGATTATTCCGTACAAAACTTTCAATCGTCCAGATCAAAGATCTCTTCGTCACTAACTCGTGAAGCTGAGGAAATCTTGAACAGCGGTTCCAAGCTATTTCCCGACTTTACGATGATGCCTGGCTTACAGTCAGCACGGCAACTACATCAATAGATATTGCACACCAGATGTTGCCAGTCTCAGCTCCAAAACAGCGGTGTCAAACTCATCACTATTTCCCAGCTCTTCAAAGCCAGTTAATCTAGTCGAGGTATAGCGTCGAAAAATAACGTTAGGTTACACAGTGAATCGTTAATTACCTGTCCTTTGAAATACCGTCCTTGAAGCAGATGACGCAAGGCAATACTTTGATAGCAAGCTTTTCGACGAGCCAAGGGACGTTCTCAACAAATACGCGGAAGAATCGGGTATTGAAGTATTTTGGGGCAAGACGCTGAAAACCAATTCCATCAACACTTGGAATCAAAAAATTTAAAAGTCCACGTACAGCCAGATGCTTGTCCATTATCTCACACCGTTTGAACTGGGAGTGGTAGAAATGGACGACACATCTAGGTTCCCGTCTGCAAACTCCCATTCAGAAAAAGTTCACCAGCCCAAGAACATTACTGAAACTCACGCACTTACCCGTACGACCTCTTTTTCGTCAGTAATTTCCGTGTATCTCCCGTGCTCATTTTGTTGCATTTCCTTCACCCGTTCCATTCTGCATTGTGCATAATCAGGATGTGAGTTTCACACCAGGAATCGGAAAGCACCTCACTCCCTTCGAAGCCCCTGCAAACCATGCTCCCTCATAGCCGCGTTACTGTCGTTCTCGATCTCCTCTTCCAGCTCGGCGAAGAGCGCATCTGGGTCTTCATCATCATCCGTTGAATGTGGGTGGTGGTTAGATTCGACCAGTCGAGAAGCCAGTGAAGCAACTTTGCTGAATGTGCAACGATTATGGACGCTCTCACTGAGAGTTTGCAGAGCTCACTTTTCCATGAGTCGTTAGAACTTGGCAGGTTAGGGACGACCGTAATCTCAAATGTTTTGGGTCACGTATGTTACAAATCAGTGGAGCAGGTTTGCCTTTGCTCAAGCAATCCATCACCATGAAGCTTGTCAATAAATTTATAGATAAACACGGGATGGTACGTTTCTCCGTTATATTGGTGCGTCCTTTTTATTCTTGACAGCATCTTTAGGGGCATGTTACACTGCGCCCAGAGGATGATGAGGATATGTGGCATCTGTACAATCTCATCCAGACTGGTGACTCAGTACGAGCCCCAGCGATACGGTATGTCTATTCATATATCTGCTTGCATTGATTGTGATGTCTTACACTTCATACAGCCGTGTACAGAATGTATCATCCACAGGCTCCGTTGAATCGCATCGTGTTCGTCTTAACCTAACCTTGCGAGTTGTCCGCGTCGATTTCGCTCCGTCGTCTGCTCCATCAGCTTCCTCTCAAGACGCAGAGCAGACGGCGTCGTCGTCGTCTTCACAAGTAACTGCTGCTCTTCATATATCGGGACCCGTCATAGCAGAAAATCAGCATGCACGCCTTGGGGCCTTCCATACCCTTGACATCGAACCCAATCGGGATGTACGGATTGAAAAAAACGGAGGCTGGGACAGCGTGGCCGTTGCTCGCATTGAAGAGGCCATAATCCCCGGAAGAGGTGCAGAAGTTGCGGCAGTTGTGTGTGGGGAGGGCACCGCCGCGTTCTGTTTACTTTCCCAACACATGACGCTGGTGACCCACCGGATATCTGTGTCAATTCCACGTAAATCTGCTTCTGGTTCCACGCAGCATGAAAAAGGAATGGGAAAATTTTACGCGACACTCTATGAGTCTTTTATCCGCCACATCCCATTCGCCACTGCAGGTTTAAGAGCGATTGTTATCGCCAGTCCTGGATGGGTAAGAGATGGGGTAAATGACTACTTGGTCTCGGAAGCAAGGAGGCAAGGGGACAAGACTATGCAGCGTGCATTGAAAGAGAAGGTTGTCAAGGTCCATATCAGCAGTGCTCACGTACACAGTCTAGTGGAAGTCTTGAAAAGCCCCGAGGTGAAATTTACCTTTTTTTTTTGCAGGAAAAGATTCTTTGACAATGCCACAGGTTGCAGCTCGGTTGAAGGAGACCAAATTCGCCCGGGAAGGAATTGTACTTGACAGGTGAGATTCTTATGATATTAACCGTCGAGTCTCAGTGTCTTAGATACCGTAATTGACGAAGGTTTTTCAAGATGCTAGGCAGCGACGAGATGAGGGCGTGGTATGGCCCAGATCACGTCTGTCTTGCTGCGGATAGAGGGGCAATTGGTACACTCCTCATCTCAGACGATCTATTTAGGTACATCTACGTCTCTCCAACCTGGTGAAGCGCTGAATGACCTTGAATCTTTAGATCAAGTGACCCTGTAACGCGCAAACGCTACGTAAAAGTCGTGGATGACGTCCAGCAAAAGGGCGGTGAAGTGGTTATATTTTCGAGTATGCATGAGTCAGGACAACGTGAGCTAACAAGTCCACTTAATTTCGATAGAATACTAACAGTAAGGTAGAGCTAAATCAACTGACTGGTGTTGCGGCGATTCTGACGTTTCCTTTGGATGTTGAAGTAGTCGAGGCGGAGGAGCGTCAAGCAGAGGAAGAGAGAAAGCTAGCTGAGGCGGCAGCAGAGGAATAGTAATAGTTGTAGGTACTCGTAAATCGTCAGTGACTATAATATTAACTACAGTTCCCTGGAGCCTTACACCATTTCTTCCGCAAAAAGATGCATGCACCTCGGTGACAATGTAGCATTATATAATAATAATATTATGTCAGCCAAGTAACGATCCCACCAACCAACCCAACCCCTACCCCTCAAAAGTTGCCCTCAAGGTGTGTATACTGTCTGTTTCGCCCGGGATCGTGCCAGTGCTATTCCAAACGTCGGTTGGATGTCATTGGATTCAAATTTTGATGATATCGGCTGTTCGAAGCAATTGGATGCGTCTACCAGAGTTTGGATGTAGTGTTGATACTTTTCTGTTCTTCTAGATGCGGGACGTCCTCAAGACCGAAGAACTCGAAATCCCCTCCAATGTTGAGATTACCATCAAGTCTCGTCTCATTACCGTTACTGGACCCCGAGGAACATTGACGAAGAATGTTCGACATGTTGATATGGATATTCGGCTGTTGAAGGGCAAAACAACGAAGGTCACGCTTGCAGTCTGGCAGGGAGGACGAAAACATGTTGCTTGCCTCCGCACAATTCGAAGTCTGATTAACAACATGATCACTGGTGTTACAAAGGTGCACGGATCCTAGTACGCTACTGATTCGGAAATGCTGAGCTTGTGTTCTAGGGGTTCCAATACAAAATGCGCGCCGTATATGCCCATTTCCCAATTAACTGCATCATTCAAGAAGACGGTCATTCAGTCGAAATCCGTAATTTCTTGGGTGAAAAGGTAAGCTCCATATATTTGCGATATCGGCCGTTAACGATAATTGGGAGCAGACCGTACGACATGTAAACATGCTATCAGGAGTTGTAGTTGCGGAGTCAAAAGCACAGAAGGATGAACTGATTCTTGAGGGTAACGATATTGACATGGTTTCCCAATCAGGTGAGTTGGCCTTCCTCGTCCACTGATCCTCAAGTGCTCATGTTCGTCTCAGCTGCCTCCATCCAAGGTGTCTGTCGTGTGCGCAACAAAGATATCCGCAAGTTCTTGGATGGTATCTATGTGTCAGACAGGGGCACCATTGCTACAGATGACGCCTGATATCATTACTTTGCATGACCCTCTTTCATAACATGAATGCGATATGATTTCAATCATATTTGAAGACAACCGTTGAGTTAGCGAAATTAGATAGGAATGACATGGTCATCTCATCAGGGTACGAAGGGTATCTTAGTCCCCACTTGCTTTCGATACTTCACGTAGTCATCTCCAAAGAATCTGATTAGAGCAGCCTCTTCAGCTGCAGAAAATAGTGAGTGGAAGAAAGAAGCAAAAAGGGATCAAACAAACCTCTAGTTCTATAATAAAAGAATCTCCACAGTAAAACTGCGAAAAGAACGAAAGTGAACACATTCTGAAGCACCAGTTGAGTCCCAAGTGCCCAATAGAAAAATCCGGCGTACGACGGGTGACGAAACCATCTAGCAACGGATGTAGTGCAAATCCAGACATAGAAGTGGCAACATACCCATAAATGCCATTTGTAACAAGCTGATGAGTGTCGCGTTTGTGGAACGCGACGGAATGCGAAAAGTTGGTGGATGCGTGAATCATAGCAGTGGACCGTAAAGCCTGCCCCGCAATAACCAATACTATGCCTGTGAGATTGACGTAAATGGCTAGGGTCAAAAGCAGTTAGGGGTCGAAACTTGCCGATGGGTGTAACATGTGGAAAAGACTTGGATGAGGGTCTGAAGTACCATACTATGAGGTACTCCAGTAACGCTGCACTATTTGCGACGTGGTACATGGCGCCATTATCGAGAAGATAAGCTGTATAAACAATTTGATTCAAATCCTTTGAAGCTAAGAAACAATAGGCTCACAGTCCACACTGCACTTTTCAAGATTCCAGCCCGCTGTCACGGCAAATTCAGCCCAGTGAAATAGCGCCCATGCTGCTAAAAAGAAACCCAGCTGGTATGTCAGCCATGGAGTATTTGGAAATCCTCCAAGTAGAAAGGTCAACGCCCCGATTGCGAAGACAGAACCAAGAGAAAAGGCAATGGTAGCGCTTGCAAGAGGGGTATTGGGGATGTTGGCACGAGGATTATTTGTCGTGGGGATTGTTTCAAGAGGATTGCGACCAGCCGTTTGACGTTGTCGGATACGGTCGTCTATGCTACCTCCTGCTGTGGTGGCCATGGTTCAAGAGAAAGATTTTGCAACATAATAGTCGCGGAGAACAATAATCGTTTATTTGCTGTTGTTTCCGTTAAAGGCTTCTTGCCTTTGAATTTTCAAGTTCTACATGTTCACTTCTAGATGGCGATTTCGTTTCTGCTCAACGCTCCAGTCCCGCTCTTTTGCCACCTATGACCCATCCAAGATTAGAAACATGGCGCTTGTTGCGCACATAGGTATGCCCATTTATCTATGTTTCAATAAATTACTCATCACTGTGCCGCAGACTCGGGGAAAACAACTTTAACGGAATCGATTCTTCTTAATTCCTCTTATCTGTCCTCCTCCGGCTCTGTCGATATGGGAAGCACTACAACAGACTTTTTGCCCGTTGAACGCGAACGGGGAATCACCGTACAATCTGCTAGTATACCGGTCAAGTGGAAAGACTGGATCTTCAATCTTATTGACACCCCAGGACATGCAGATTTTGGCATGGAGGTTGAAAGCGCAAGCAGAGTGATCGATGGTGCTGTAGTTTTAATTGACTCCGTGGAAGGTGTTGAAGCACAAACCAAAGGTGTATGGAGGCAACTAGATAGGTGAGTGCCAGAGGTGAGATATCTTCCATTCTTGTCATGCAAATTTTCATGGTATGTTTTTCAGGTATCGCGTTCCTACCAGAATAATGTTTCTCAACAAGATGGATCGGCCTGGCGCGTCGTACAAGTCCTCCTTACTCTCACTGCTCAACAACCGCTTGCATCCTCACCCTATGCCACTCACGCTTCCAATTGCTTCCTTTGATCCCCATCAATATTTGCGCGGGGAACCTGGCATACAGGGTTTAGTGGATTTAATCCATTGGAATATTTGGAAATGGGACAGGGAAGGTCAGGCGTCATGCCACCCTCTGCCAGAAGATTTGCAAACATCCGATCTCCTTCCACCAACACACCCAATTATTCCTCACCTTGTTTCAGCCCGAACACAGCTGTTGGAAAATCTTTCCATGTTTCATGAAGACTTGATGGAGCACCTTCTCAACGCGCCCTCTGGGCCCTCAGCATACCTCGGTATAGACAGCCGACGTATCATTCAACATTTACGAGCATCTACCTTACGTGGCGAAGTGCTCCCTGTCCTTTGTGGCTCAGCGATAAAAAATATAGGGACGGATTTGTTGATGGATTACGTAGGGGAGTTGTTAGCTAGCCCCTTGGACGTATCCCATCCCGCACAAGGCAAAAATCCTCCCGTACGACTGCTCGCTTGGAAAGTTAATTGGGACAAAAAACGGGGATGGATGACTTTTGTGAGAGTATATTCAGGTAATCTTCTGAACCTTTGCCTGCAGCTCATATTTACTCGACAATTTAGGCACACTCACTCGTCAGAGTGTTATCCTGAATACCAATAGAAACCAAAAGGAAAAGGTGTCAAAACTCCTTCTGCTGTATGCCTCAGACAGTCAAGAAGTCGACGAACTTCCCTTCGGATCCGTTGGCGTCATTCTTGGATTGAAATATACCCGTACTGGTGACACTCTCGTTTCCTTAGGAGGTGAAACCAATCAGCGGTTCGCACCGCGAGACATCATCCCGCCCACTGCGGTCATTTCAGCATCAGTCGTTCCTCTGTCCAACTCTGATTTAGAGCCCGTTCAAGAGGCTCTTGAATGTCTTGTTCGAACTGATCCATCCGTACGAGTAGATTCACAAGAGGGACAAATTTTGGTTCATGGTCTCGGTGCTCTCCATCTAGAAGTCGTGGAAGGAAGGTTGAGGGATGAGTGGAATGTGAAGTTCGAATTTGGTCAGCGGCGGGTCAGTTATCGTGAAGGGCTGGGATCTGGTGTTCCCCAAACAGGATGGAATGTGTGGGAGTCCGACGTTGGTGGTAAACGCACTTCGGTTGTAGTGCCGCTCAAAGTTCGACCAATGCAAGTTGAGGAGAAAGGGGACCCAACTTGGGATGGAAACATCGTCGTTGATCACGAGGGGAACCCATTACCTCCACCCGATGCTTCTTCTGATTTGGCAAGCATCGTAGATGGGCTCGCGAATGCTCTTTCTAATTCTCCGCATTCATCACTTGCCATGAGCCGCATTCACATCCAAATCAAACCCTCGGACATTCTTCAATCCATGCCGGCTTCGTTGATCACTGGTGCAACAGCCACTGTATTGCGTAACCGAGTCCGTGATGCAGGTCCAGGGCCGCTTATGGAGCCATATGTGTTTCTCAAGATATCTGTGAACGAGAGTAGCCTCGGAAAGGTTGTCAAGGATCTCACCGAACATGGCGCGCAAGTCTTGGACCTCAGTGAGGGATCGGCGATTGGAGTCGATGGTTCAGATGAAGCTGTAGGTTTTCCAACGGACAATCTATATATCCCACCATATTGGCTTTCCCCGTCCGGGGTCAACTCTTCGGACGCAAGTCCATCTGGTGGACGGTTGAAATGTTCGGTGAACGCGATCGCTCCACTGAGTCGGTTCTTTGACTATTCCAACCGTCTCCGCGCCATGTCGGAAGGATATGGCACCTTTGAAATGGCCAATGCAGGTTTTAAGGAAGTCTCTGATGCTCGTAAGATGGATATCTTACGTGAGATAGGACGAGCGTAAAGGTAGTCCATTTCTTGATAGGTAAAGATCAACTAGAATTCTCCTCTTTCATCCGCATCTCCGTAAAACATATTCCCTTCCGTCTCTTCATCATCAGTGACCGCACCTGCTCGAGATTCACCGACGTTGTGCAAAACTTGGCTGAATACCATCATGCCCCCATCGTCATGATCAAAGGCCAAGAGAGTGTCTTCGGAATCATCAGGCAGAAAGAGAGGTCCTTTCGCCTGCAAATGGGCATGGTCCGCCGTCGGTACCAAAGAGGGAGTCACTGATGCGGACCGAATGGACGGCCATGGCTCAACAACAAGACACATACAATATCCGTAGATACTAAATCCCTGGTATTTGAGGCTCAACATTGGCTTCGGCTTCTCCTCAACGTCCATAGGTGTTGCGAGGGGCAGGGAATCTGGATAGGCCTCCATCTCTTCCGATGTTCCTCCGTCGCTAACCCTGTCGCGTTCGTCTGGCAACAGCACTCCCGTAGATGAAGGACCAGCAGAGCCCTCAGACACAGGACGCTCGTCGTCGTCCCTTCCGTTGCCGGCTGTCTTCCTTTTCTTACGCGTATGTGCGGTACCCTTGTTATCCTTTGCCGAAGGCCGTTTGGCAGCCTTAGATTTTGACGGCATGCGTAAAGAGGGTGCATCTAACTGCCGTTGAGGAATTGCCGCCTTGAAGTTCCTCATCTAGATAGGTCCTGGTTAGTACGTGGTATGAAGCAATGTTGTCGAGATGCAACTGGCCTTGATGACTACAGAATGGGGTTCTGTATTTCGAACGAAATAGCAGAACTGATATGTATCTGAAGGAATTGTGATGTCCACAGAGCATTATAATGAAGAATAACCACTGACCTCCTCTGTGGGTATCTACGGTTCTGTCTTTCGAAGAGGCTCCTCCATTAGTTTCTGTTGCAAGCTTCGGCAGTATGCTACAACGTGACCATTGTTAGCCTTCTAATCCTGACAAGCACTAAGTGAATTCTACTTCGGACGAAGATCAGCTATCACATGCTGAAGAATTGTGTCCGACATCCATTCGACGTGGCGCTTGTCAACATATATCTAGACCCGAACTGTAAGGAAAGGAAGAGTCAGAATCTGGAGAAAGATACGACTTGCATAAGTAGGTAGCACCGTTTTTTCTGAAATGCGCAGATAATACAGGTTTCTCGTTCTAAAAGTCATAGGCTTCTTCCAAAGTTTCAGGTGGCGAAATGAGAGAGGTTGTCGGTCCTATGTATGGTTGTGTTTGACGAAAAATAAACTCCAGCTTGCGATACCCGCCACACTCCTCAATAACCATCTCCCTCCTCTTCATCAAACCGCAAAGCAAGTAAATGTGCGCACGCCGCAAATTCAGAAGGTTCAAATGTACGATGTGATGAAAGACCAACTGTATATCGAAGTTGGCTCCAGCGGAACTAATTGAGGTACTGGTACATGATATCACGACGACGCCAACAGCACAAATTTTCCGCGGGGCACTGCCTTAAGCTCACAGTTTAAAATCTCCACTTGGCGGAAATGGTCCTGAAAGACAATATGGTATAATTTTTGAAGGTCTGAGGAGAGAAGGTAAGTATATGAGATGATGATAGAGGTAAGTAGATATTCCTACGTGGGTGAGGTACTCTGGGTCGGGTTTTGCGGCAATCAAGGATGATATAATCCTCCAGAAAAAGAGTGGTTCCATAGGAGCCAGTTTGCGACGAAAACCGCCCTGAATGTTGTGCAAGCTGGTCGCCATCTCTCAGAAGTTCCACCCCCCATCCTTTAGCGGGAATGTAGAAATCCACCCGCCCTTTTGCTGTACCGAATTCAGGAAATGCAATCAATGAGCCACTGGAATGAAGGTGACAGCAGCGGTAAAATTCTTGTTGATACTGAGCTTCAGGTAGACGTTGAACATGACCGGCATCATTGATTCTCCGTGTTGTTGAAAGCATTCTTGGACAGAACTTCTGAATGACGTCGATCACGAAGTCTAGGATATTGTCTGCATGGAAGGTTGTATGCAGAAAACCGCGCAGTTTCCAATCTATGTACCAGCGATGAAGCCCTGACGGAAAAAAGTACCGAGTTTTGCTGTCGATCCTGTCGGTGTGAAGCCAGCCTTTGCGAAAACATAGCTGGAGCGCGTCGCTATGGTCCTTAGTAGTGAAGTCGGTATCCTTCACAGCATTCGTAAGAAGAACGGAGAAAAAGACATGAGCAACAGCTGGCTCCCTTATGTCGTTATCTGTAGGAGCCCCCTCCTGAATACGCCCCCTGCGACACTGTCGAACTGTCGCAAGAACCATATTATACTGAGTCGGTTCTGAAATAGCTCCAAAGTGAAAGTTTGTCCGGAGTGTTTGAGTTCACGATATAGCTGGAAGATAAAATCAGTTTCAACTTCTTGTTAAGAAGAAAGTACATTACGTCAGAGCCAAGAATAATGGTTAGGAAGGAGTACATTGCTCCCACATGTCCCCGGGTAATGCCAAAGACCGCGCTGAGGAAAGAAGAATGGAAATAGTGTTCTGACTCTGGATACTGCTTTGAAACCAGCTCGTCAAACTCTGCACGGGTGAAGTGGAGCCCTGCAGAGGGCAGATTGTCCTCGTTGGCGGTGGGAAGTAAACTGACCCTCGCTGCATCTGCGATGTAGATTGGTGTGTTGTCTAGTATCTCGATGAGCGGGGATGGACTGCCATAACTCGCAAAGGCAATGGCGCGAAGATTATGGTACTCGTGTATGGCTTTGAACATCTGGTCCCACAATTCCGCGTCCTGGTACGACACCTGTGCATCATCAAAAATGAGCACTGTGGCCGCTTCTGGGATCCATCCCTTTCGCTCCTTGAGGTAAGGATGCCAACTCCCACACGCCGCCACATCAACAATCTTCCACCCGCCAATCCAAATAACGCACACATGCGGTTCTTGAGCGCGGATGTGATGACCAAGGAGTTTTGCAAGCGTTGACTTACCGCTTGCAGGCGTCCCGCGAACCTACAAAACTCAGAAAACGTAGTACAATATTCAACATGATGACAATACCTGTATGAAGCTGTACGCACACAATTTTTTATAAATTGCTGAAACTGTATCGCTTCGCTTTACTATGTTCGCTAAGGTTCATGTAAGGTCGAAGAAAACGGTGGTTATGAATGGTACTTACAGGGCAACTCGGGAAACCGCGATGCAAGACGATGCTGTCTGCGAGGTGGGGCCACTGTCGACAGTCACAGAAAGGCGATCAAGCCAACGGGAGGTTATGAGATGGGTGGAAATGTGACGAGTTGTTGAAGTGACGTTCGAAAAACGAAATGGGCGGGACGAGGGCAAGTGGAGAAAGGGCGAGTAGGTGGCATTGTTAGTGTATGAGTGGGGAAAGTTGCACTGGTACTCACCGGTACACGGGCTCGTCACAATGATGTGAATACAGTCGGCGAGAGGCTGTGTTGGAAATATGCTGGAGAGAGTTACTGTGGGGCCTAAACTGTCCGCAAATTTTGAGAGATTGTCTCCCAGGACCTCGATACGGTTAACGAGAGAGCCATGTGGCTCGGCAGCAATGGGGTTGGAATTTTTCACCTAAGAAAATCATGTCATTCCGGATAGAGGATTGTCGATGGAGCTTACCTTCCCTAGACCTAAAAAGTCAGGACCGACATCCCTGAAACTATCCTGTGCTCGCCGTTTTTGTATTGTTACCTTCAAATCGCTGAAACTATGGCCATCCGGTGCTGTTATCGTAAAGGCGGTGTCTTCGCCTTGTATGAGGCAATTGAGGCGGACGGTAGACATAGTCTGGAAGTCTGTTTTGAACTGTTTGTGCCGAGCTGCCTACATGGTCACCCCGCCCAATGGTCTGAGTCTGAATTAGCCTGGAGTAGTGAATGAAAAAGGGCCCAGTTTGCTCGCTTCATGATGGTAGCAAGGCCCCAGTGAGCTTGGACAGACACACAGACATTCACCAGGTAACAGCTAGAATTCCAGTTCAAAGTACGGTCCCTGTCCATAGGTTAGGGAAGGCCCGCAACGGGAAAAAGATGATGACACAGGTGAGAAGACTGAACACAAGAGAGCAGACTAGCCCCAGATCTTGCTGGCTTATTTACACCATGAAAGGCTGAAAAAGGTGATTCAGCTCATGTCTTGAAGGACTAGCCGTGTCAACCCATCTCAATGCACAAACTGTGAAGCGTTTAAATCAGCTGCTTCCTCTACAGCTTTCCCTTTTCTCAATTGCACACAGCGCTGCCGGGCACCTACTCTTGCTTCCTTTTCCTCCGTCTTGGTGTAGGGAACCCTTGGCTTCTGAATTTAGGCGTATGCGAAACGATCAGGAGTGTCTTGCAGGTCAAAGGCTTTAACTGCGTCTTCTGGAATCCAGATTGCTCTGAGCAAGTCGGACTCAGGTATTTCTTTGACCTGTGGAAAACGATCGAGAGCATTTGGAAGAATGGCAATGTAAAGTCCCACTTGAATCTGGAAATAACGTGGGCTCGTGTCACTGGAAACATCGATGTGATCGGAGAGATAAAGCGTGTTGGTTTTTTGAGTTTTTGATGACGAACACCAACACATTCGTATCTCCAAAATGGAAGACAACAAAGATTGAATCATGAACGCATGCCTGCATCCAAGCCCGTTCAGGGCGTTTGTAAGGGAGGGAACGAAGACCAAAACGAGGATTACTTACCTACTGAAGAAATGTCTGGGACTTCAAGTTGACTGAGAAGATACCTTGCGCCCACGTTTCTCCCCAAAATCACGAGCAGGAGATTCCACCTTTCGAGTGTCTCAGCTCAAAGAAAGCTCGTGAAGTTTTTGGAGGTTTGAATGTCATTTTGGGAGGTTTTAGGCCAGCGACTGAGCTACACACTTCCAATCCATTATCGACGACCAAACCGGGTTCGTGGGATGATAAGCAAACATAGAAGTAACTGCAGTGCGTGCTTCAGAGATGTGGTTCTAGGACCTGGGAAATTCATGTCAGATGCCTGATCTTTGGTGGGTAAAATATTCTCACGGTTTTTCCTTTAACTTGTGCATTGGTTCCGCGATGTGCAAGTCCGAGTAGTGTTGCCGCGAGGTGAACCGAAGCGAATCGAAGTGGGGAAATGTGTGCACTTCGACCCACTTCGGTCTTTCGAAGTGAATCGAAGCGAATTCGGTGATCCCCGTAAATTGATCAGCCAATAATATCGTTCGCATTCTTGGTGCTGAACGTTGTAGTAACTTGTCGTGTACTTGAATACATGATGTAGTATTTACTTAGTATCACCCAGGTACTTTAGTATCAATATCTTTCGAGTTCTGAAATAAATCCCCGTCAAAAGCAGCCTCCGTTGAGATAGTGTAATCCTTCTTGCACGCTTCGCAAACAAAGAAAAGAGAGAAGGAGGATGAAGAGCAGGGCTCTCATCCGCAGGTCTGCCTTCATGCTGAAAATGGTGGGGCGGGGGAGTGAAATACAAGCTGGGCATGAATCGGGTACTGGCACGTGTGCCGCTACTGTTGCGCTACTGGATCTTATATTGGCGTTGTCCATGTCATTCAGCTACGAGATCAGCGACGAAACTGAGACGGTTTTCTCATATGAGAACTTCAGCACTCACAAAGCCTCGATATTCTCTGTGAAAATCTTGTCGCGTCGCAGAGAACAAATTTCTTTTGAGACTTTATAGTCGCCATGCTCACCCCTCTTTCCTAAGCAAAATTTATCATACGACACTCATAAATTGAAAGAAACTGGTACTATACATTCAGCCACATAAAACTGGTGTGATTTAAGATTGTATTGGGGAAGGGAGGGAGGAGAAAGAGGGAGAGCGTCGAATCGCGACTGTAAAGAGTCTACTAAAGACCACTAAACGCGCCTCGACGCGGTGCTTCACGTGCGCCAACCTTCCTTTTCTAGCCATTATTGATGGCCATCACAAATTCACCTCGACTCACTTCGATACCTCGAAGTGACACGAAGTGGTGTGATTTTCGAACTGAATCGAAGTCACCTCGAAGTCACTTCGCTTCGACGGCAACACTAAGTCCGAGGCACGAGGGCAAGCACATCTAAGGATAAGATAACGGAAGCGGCAGAACAAGATCCTGACCGCCGGTGTACTTGGTTTTAGACAAGTACAAACAAGCATGCCCAACGTGAGTGACACTGACAACGAGCCAACAACGAGCTCAAAGCTCTTCTCATCGCTCTGTGTGTCAGGATCTTGCTCTTGATGCTGCGTGAATTCCTCACTTAGCTAAGGACGAAAATTTTGACCTTTGCCCACTGCATCCTTCTGCCACGAATTCACACCAAGCAAGGCCAATATCAACTTGCAAGACCTACACGGAACAAGAGCGATCTTGCAGTTTTCTGTGTCTCGAAGTTCAATGAAGACATCATAAGCTAGCCATGCCAATCACTTTCTTTGGTCATGCCGCTCAGCACATACTTGGGTGATCCTGAGGCTCGAGGCATAACCAGCTAAGGTGAGTCACCACCTTCCATATCTTCCCCATCCACTTTCTCGTCTCCTTTTACACATTTCCTTTGTGCTTCGTGCATGGAGATGTTTTCTAGTACTTTTCGCGATCGTCGTGATTGGGGTATTTGCACAACGTATGCGTTACCTCAGACACTCTGTCCCTTTGTTAAAACTCGACTGTCTTGGGAGTGGTGTGTACTTCTACAATCACCTCTGGTTGTCGTTCTCAACTACTACTACTTTCCGTGTGTCGAGCACGATGACTCGACCGTCCTGGGAGTGGCGCGTACTTCTACAATCGCTTCTGGTTCTCTACTACTACTACTACTTTCCGTGTTGTCAAGCATGATGACTTGACCATCTTGGGAGTGGCACGTACTTCTATGATTTGCCTCTGGTATTCGTTCTCTTCTATCACCACTACTTTCTGTGTTGTCAAGCACGATGACTTGACCTTCTTGGGAGTGGCTCGTACTTCTATGATCACACTTTGTGGCATGTACTTCTATGATTTGCCTCTGGTGATTGATCTCTTCTGTCACTGTTACTTTCTGTGTTGTCAAGTACGATGACTCAACCGTTTTGGGAGTGGCACATACTTCTATGATTCACTTCTGGTGGTCATTCTCTTCTGTCACTACTATTTTCCATGTGTCGAGCATGATGACTCAACCGTCCTGGGAGGGGCAAGGACTTCTACAATCTCTTCTTGTGGTCATTCTCTACTACTTCTACTTTCTGTGTGTTGAGCACAATGACTCCATCTTCCTGATAGTGATGTGTACTTCTACAATCACTTCTGCTGGTTGTTCTCCACTACTACTTTCCGTGTGTTGAGCACAATGACTCCATCTTTCTGGGAGTGACGTGGACTTCTATGATCACCTCTGGTGGTTGTTCTCCACTACTACTATACTACTACTACTTTCCATGTGTTGAGCACGATGTCTTGACTTCTATGATCATTTCTTGTTGTTGTTCTCTACTACTTCTACTTTCTATGTGTTGCGCAGAATGATTCCATCATTCTTGGAGTGGTGTGTACTTCTATGATCACCTCTGGTGATTGTTCCCCACTACTACTACTTTCCACACAAGTAAACATACCCTTTTTACATACCCCATGACAAATCTTTTTGTCAGAATTGCCCATGTTGATGAGTACAGCTGGCTAGCTCCAGAGTGTAAGTACCTCATCTGGCATAGAGTAGCTAGTGCCTGTAAAGTATATCTACCTCAATGGGTTAGCTTGTCATCCTGGAACAATAAATGTAATGAACCATCATCACAGATATTCATAGATCATAACCTAGCTAAATGGAGCTACAGGTATGACTTGGCAAAGAGGGGGGAAACAATGGGAGAGGAGGGGAAACAAATTTACCAAAGGGGGGTGACTTGGAAATTTTGGGGGGGAAGCATAGGGAAGGAGGGGAGACCAATTTACAGAAGGGGAGAGGAGGGGGAGGGGGAAGCTGGGGAAACAAATTGGGGGGAGACTTGAGATAGTTGGGGGGGGAAGTATAGGGAAGGGAAGGAGGGAAACAAATTTACAGAAGAGGAGAGAGGGGGAGGAGCAGGGGGAAGCAGGGGAAACAAATTGGGGGAAGACTTGAAAAAGTTGGGGGGGAAACACAGGGAAGAGGGGAAACAAATTTTCAGAAGGGAAGAGAGGGGGAAGCAGGGGGCAGCAGCGAGAAACAAAATGGGGGGAGACTTGAAAAAGTTGGGGGGAAGCATAGGGAAGGAGGGGAAACAAATTTTCAGAAGAGGAGAGAGGGGGAAGCAGGGGGCAGCAGCGAGAAACAAAATGGGGGGAGACTTGAAAAAGTTGGGGGGAAGCATAGGGAAGGAGGGGAAACAAATTTTCAGAAGAGGAGAGAGGGGGGGGAGGGGGGAGCAGGAGAAACAATTTGGGGGGAGACTTGAAAAAGTTGGGGGGAAGGCATAGGGAAGGAGGGGAGACAAATTTACAGAAGGGGAGAAAGGGGGGGAGCAGGGGGAAGCTGGGGAAACAGTTTGGGGGAAGACTTGAAAAAGTTGGGGGGGAAGCATAGAGAAGGAGAGGAATTCTCTGCAGCATTTGAAAGGGCAGGGTATGGAATATGAAAGAGTGGAATACAGAATGCAAAATTTGGCATGTGGAATTTGAAGAAGGGGGGTGGAATTGAAAATTCTCTGCACAGAATTTGAAAGAGTGGGGTATGGTATTGAGAATCCTCCAAGGGGGTGGCGGAATGTGGATCCTGGATATAGGGTTAGGGGGGGGGGGCTCCGCTTGGGGATCAAAATATTTTTTGTGACCTACTTTGCAAAACTTCAAAAAAGTCCTGCCAATAAGCCAAATCGCGCTCCCCAAAGAAGTTGGGAAGTTCAGATGCACGGCAAACACTTAATCTATGTATTTACTGTCTGAAATTTTGACTGAGAGCCAAAAAAAAGTCAACGAACTTTTTTATAACACTGCTCAGGTTCGCAAAAAGTATGGCAAAGAAGAAGTAAGTCCCTATTTTAGATATATATTCTAATGCAATACTGTATTACAGACAAGCGTCGGGGTTTACGAGCGACACCAAGCTTCGTTGCCCAGAATGTGAGAAAGAGATTCCTGTTGGAACAGGCAGTCAAGCAAATCTGCAGCGGCATATCGACTTGTATATATACTATGGGGGTGAAGCATCGTTGCATGTAGTAATGGATCCAAAAATGTAACATACTACATACCTACTTGAGTATGTTTTTGACATAGGAACTCGGAAGTTTCCTTTTTTGGGGGTAGGGGGTAGGGGGGGGTAGACTGAGGGCGCCTTAATTCGTAATGCGACTGTATATCTAAAATCCAGGTTCCGCCACCCCCTTGGAATCCTCCATGTGGAATTTGAAAGAGTGGGGCATGGAATTGAAAATTCTCTGTGTGGAATTTGAAAGAGCAGGGCACAGAACATGAAAGAGCAGGGCACAGAATGTGAAAGAGTGAGGTGCAGCATTGAATATTCTCCATACAGAACTTGAAAGCGCAGGGCATGGAATTGAAAAGAGTGGAGCATGGGATTTGAAAGAGCAGGGTACAAAATTTGAAAGAGTGGTGCACAGAATTGGAAACAGTGGGGCACAAAGTTCGAAAGAGTGGGGCATGGAATTTGAAAGAGCAGGGCAGGTTCTCCCCAGTCTTCCACACCATTCTATGCCCTCCTCATTTCAAATTATCTCCCCCTGTTCCCTCTTACTTTTCCCACTTTTCACAAAATGCAGAAATCAAAGGGACTCCCCACTCTGGGGAGTCCAATCAAACTCCCATTCCAAAAATGTGGAGGTCAAATAAACTCCCCACTTTGTTTTTACAAAAGGCAGAGTTTGTTTGAACTCCTCACTATGTTTTCCAAAAATGCAGTGTTCAAACAAACTCCCCACTCTGCAGAGTTCAACTGAACTCCTGACTATATTTTCTGAAAATGTGGAGTTCAAACAAACTCCCCACTCTGTGTTCACAAAATACAGAGTTTGTTTGACCTCCCCACTATGTTTTCCAAAAATGCGGAGTTCAATTGAGCTCCCCATGCTGTGTTTACAAAATGCGGAGTTTGTTTGACCTCCCCTTTCTGTTTTTACAATAAATGCGAATTCCATTTGAGCTCCCCACTCCATTTTAAAAAAAAGCGGAGATCAAATGCACTGTGTTTTCCAAAAATGCAGAGTTTGTTTGAGCTCCCCACTGTGTTTTACAGGAATGCCCACTGTGTTTTCCAAAAATGCGGAGTTCATTTGACTCCCCACTCTGTTTTCCAAAAATGCGGAGTTTGTTTGACCTCCCCACTCTGTTTTTACAAAATGCAAAGTTCGTTTGAGCTCCCCACACTGTTTTGAAAAAATGCGGAGATCAAACGAACTCCCCACTGTGTTTTCTCTGAAAATGAAAAGTTTGTTTGAGCTCCCCACTCTGTTTTCCAAAAATGCGGAGTACATTTGACCTCCCCACTCTATTTTTACAAAATGCAAAGTTCGTTTGAGCTCCCCACTCCATTTTCAAAAAATGCGGAGATCAAACGAACTGCCCACTGTGTTTTCCAAAAATGCAAAGTTCATTTGAGCTCCCAACTCTATTTTCAAAAAATGCGGAGATCAAACGAACTCCCCACTGTGTTTTCTCTGAAAATGAAAAGTTTGTTTGAGCTCCCCACTCTGTTTTCCAAAAATGCGGAGTTTGTTTGACCTCCCCACTTACTATTTTTTCCAAAAATGCAAAGTTCATTTGAGCTCCCCACTCCATTTTCAAAAAATGCGGAGATCAAACGAACTGCCCACTGTGTTTTCCAAAAATGCAAAGTTCATTTGAGCTCCCAACTCTATTTTCAAAAAATGCGGAGTTCGTTTGAACTGCCCACTCTGTTTTCTCTGAAAATGGAGGTCTTTATTGTCCTCCACTGATTCCTGGAATTCCGGAGGAATCAAATTTGGCAGAGGGCCCTGCCAAATTGATCAAACTATTCCGCGGAATTTTGAATGGAATTCAAATTCCGCCGGAATGGTTCCGGTGATCACCCAGAAGGAAGAGGACATCTCTGAATTCGAAAGTGCGGCGATCATTGTGCAGCAGATCTGTGCGGTGATCCGGGTCACGTGTTTGTTGGCCAAACAATAGAGACGCGTCAACACAAGTACAAGATACAAGCGTGACGCGTTTACCTTGCTCGCTCAGCTGCAAACTTTGTAGCTTTCAACTTTAAACATATTATATCAATGTAACTACACATTCCGGTGAAGGAACGGGAAGATGGGGAGCACAGTGTCACAGAACTGCAGCTATAATGTGGCTGACCAGTAACAGTTGCCCCTGCCCCGAGTGTCACCCAGCGGCTCTCGCAGCACCCTCAATCTCTGTCAACAGTTGTCAGTGCCTCCCACCCTGCTGTCACTGTGAATGGGCTGGGTGGTGGAAAGATAATCAGAAGGTGGGTCCAGACGCCAGGACCGATGATACTCACGACACATCAGTGGTTACAATTGTCATCACACATAGATATTAGAACTTTGATTTGTAATGATTTTTTCGAGCTCGAGGGTGTTGTCAGGCATGCGTGTGAGGCTTCGTAACACAGTAGAATTTTATTAGAATGGTGAGGATGTTGAGCAGAAGTCCCGTGACATGCTCGGCGGAAGTTCCCACCGCACCTGTTGCCACACAGTGCGGCAGTTTTTTCGCCGCACTTTCAAATTCAGAGATTTTCTGGGAAGGAATGCTCATGGAATCAGACGGAACAGAATTCCTGATGCCCAATTGGGCATCATCAACAAACAACGCCACATCTCTTTCCAACCACCATCATCACCGACGCCTACACACCACATCGCCAACGTCCACCACCACACACACCAGCCACAACGATGAGACAACGACGATGGCCACGACATGGCAAATGACGCCTCAACGCCACATCAACAACCCTAGTAAACAAGCATGGCAACACGTTGCCACGTTGCTATCAGCGACGTGGTAACCAGATGACAAACGACGATTTCGTCGTTCATCGTCCTAGGTGAGCACCCCCCCCAAACTCATCCCAACACAGCTCGCTAACACCACGCCCACTACGAGGGACGGACAGCACGTCAGCGCCCCACCACGTCAACGGACTGCCACCACATCAATGGACAACACCCATGTCAACAGACAACAACGACAACGTCAGCGGACGACGACGCCCATGTCAGCGGACAACAAGCACATAAGCGGACGACGACGACAACGTCAGCAGACAACGCCCACATCAACGGACGACAACAACAACATCAGCAGACAACGCCCACGTCAATGGACGACAGCGAGCACGTCAATGAAGACACGACAGGAATGACGTAAAGCACAGGCCAACGAACAGTGACGAGGCCCAGTACTCCCCACCACACTCTCCCCCCTCCATCAGTCCTCACCACTCCATCCACCCTCCCTCTCTTCCCTCCCTCCCTCCTTCTTCCCTCCCTCCATCCTTATTCCCTCCCTCTGTCCCTCTTCCCTCCCTCCATGCCCCCTCTCTCTCCATTCCTCCCCCTCTCTCTCCATTCCTCCCCCTCTTTCCCTCCCT